TTCCCTCTTTTATATAACTTTTATATGAGGATTTTTAAGCTATTATTTTTTTGTCTAATCGGGTCAATAGGGTCCTTTAACCTATACAGCTTGTACCTGAGTGAGTTTGTAGGTTTAAATGCCACCACTCTAATTCCTGATTTATTAAGAATGTTACTACATAGGGTCTCAGATGTCCCCTCCTTATATAATATAACAATAAATGCCTTATATTCTCTCCTATTTATGTTATCATTATTAGTTTCACCATTATTTTTTAAATTTTGCTGATGACCTTTTCTGATCTTCCTGATGAATTTTATAAGATAGTTATTCGACACTAACCAGCTATTCTTCTATATGATTCACTTCAACATTTCAGCTTTTTTGATGTACTACTTAGTGCTATTGCTCAGTTTGTTAGACACTTAACTAAGACTGCCTTAACAGTTAAAAAAAAACTATTAGAATGCGCTGGTTTTCTATAAACGCTAGTGTGCACTTTGCCTTCTCCTGTCCGTTTTATTTTGCACTCTAACAGCTAATTCTCCTTGTTCATTTTCTCATTCAAATGTGGATTTTATCCCATTCACTGTTGAGTTTATGTGTGTGTGTGTGTGTGTGAATAAACTAGAGATACCTCCTGCTTTTAGCACTGTGAAAGTGTCATCCAGATGCCTCTACCATATCTTTGGAGTAGGATTAAATGTTATGAAGATCCATGTTTTCCCAGCTATCCATTCATAAACAGATCTGCTACGATTGGTAGTATTCGTGATCCACCCCATTACTACACCTTCTGTTTGTCAATATATATTCTGCCCGGGAATTTAAAGATAGTAGACCTAAGATCCTTTCAAATAGCGTGGATTCGTGAGAAACCCAACCGGATCGTAACAAACCCATAGATTAGTACGAAAAATCGTTTCTTTAAATGACCGATTTCAATTAGAAGAAGGAATAGTCTATGCATATTATGGAAGAAGCAGCAAAGACAGAACTCCAGGTGAACATAGACAAGACGGAGGTTATGAAAATAACCAACCAACAACAACAACAGCAACATCCAACGCCAATCACCATCAATGGGGGATTTGAAAGAGGTTACTTCTTTCACTTATCTAGGGAGCATTGTCTCAACCACAGGAGGGACGGACGAGGATGTCAATTCGAGAATCAAGAAGGCGAGAAACACATTCATCAACCTGAAACCAATCTGGAAATCTTCATCACTCAGCCTGCATCAACAACAAAATTCGGATTTTCAATACAAACGTCAAGTCAGTCAGTTCTTCTTCTATACGGATCAGAAACTTGACGGGTTACAAAGAATATTTCCAACAGCCTGTTGCAGACCTTTATCAACAGCTGTCTTCGTTCTATACTCAAGATCAGATGGTCGGAAAGAATCACCAACAAGAAACTATGGGAACAAACAAAACAAGAACCAATCACCCAACAAATATGCAGGAGAAAGTGGAGATGGATTGGACACTCGCTGAGTAGACCGCTGGGTGACATCGCGCGTCAGGCCAACGCTCGAGTGGAACCCGAAAGGGAAGTGGCGAGTAGATGGACGTCCACGGGTGACATGGAGGAGATCGTGTGAAGAAGAGTTGAAACAGTATGGACTGACATGGATGCAAGTGAAAAGTACAGCAGGAGACAGAAGCAAGTGGAGACGTGTAGTTGAAGCCCTATGTTCCACTAGGAACCCAAGGGAACAATAATAATAATATTATTATGGAAAAGAATCGCAACGGCTGCATGAAACTGGAGCGGTGATACCAAGTTAATCAAATAAGAATATCGCTGTGTCGGGATGAATCATCGCCAGTTTACTCCTCATAAACCAACATTATCTTTACCGAGTTCATTTAGAAATTCCTGCTGATTAATTTTGTCAAAGGAAGATATTGAGTCTCTCTATGTTTTAGCGAAGTCTCGATGTGATTTAGTTGATGGTAGCTGCCAGTCGAATCCAGTGAAATATGTGTTTCGACCTATTTATGACTCCTCAACTCAGCGTACATTATATTTAACGAATCCATGGTCAATCCGTGGTTAAACTCAGAAAATCTATCTAATCCTTACAAACCAACTATTAGGAACTAATCTGATGCTCACTAAAGACTTCCTACAGGACGGAGTTTCCTAGAACTTTAGTGAGAAGTCGTGACCAATGAGGTTCATCCAGTCAGACATTGGTTGGTGGTCGCGCTAAAAATGATGAATTGGTAGAAGTTAAAATTCATGGGCTGGCCACTGTATTGGGTCTCATTGGCTAAATGGTATACAAACTTGCCTTATGACCGGAAGGTCTTAGGTTCAAACTCCAGTGGCTAAGCACTTCCGATGATTCCCAAACTAGTGAGATGGAAGAACAGCTGTCCATTACTTCCCGCTGGTTTTCATCAGTTCTGTAACTGATATTGATCCGTGGTCAATCTGTGAAAACGAATCCACATATCACTTCATTGTTTGTTTTAGAATGATATCCAGTATGTAGTAACCCACTAGCGTTCTCATTTAATTATCCCTTGACTACATTAACCGATTTCACGATCATCTAACGAATAATGAATCTTTTTTCATTCTTTTGCGTCCTAAGTGGAAATATAGAGCTTCATGTTTGAGCTTTTGTAGTCTCAGTGCCGGTGGTATTGGTTTTCTGTGAGGTGAGATTGCTAGTCAGACACTTGACCTTCCATCTGCACCAAACTTATCACCCGTAAAACAAGGTTTAGGAGTGCACCACAGTGCAGAATCGACATCGGACAACGTGAGGCGTGGTTGGCGAACATTCTCACACTATTCAATCTCTAATAACTGATATTATTTCACTCAAAAAATGTTACTACTAACAAATCATAAGTAGTATAGAATAGAATACAACAATTTTCAATTAGAGAACCATTGAAAACCAATACAGGAGTACTGGACAGATGTTTCACCCTAGTCTGGGAATCATCGGCAGTACGCACCCACCTTCCATTCAGCCACTGGGACTCGATTCGATGGCAAGCCCATAAATTCTAACTCCTACCAGTTCGTAATCTAGCACGACTGGCACCAACCAATGTCATCGATGAGAAATCCATCCTCACACGTGACATCTGGATGGACCTCACTGGTCACGACTTCTCACTAGAACTCCAGAAAACTCCACCCATCCTGTAGCAAGTCACTAGCCAGCATCAGATATGAAATGAATTGATTCACAAAACACACACACACGCACACTCACACAGTTCGATACAAACCAGCATATATTTATTAAACATTTGAAAAAATTATATTTGTAAAATCTCAGCGAGATTGAAATGAGTAATGCCAATGTTTCGTTCGGAAATCTGGTCCGAACTTCTTTTAGAACTATTCTGTCAAATCTTGACGACAGTTCATTTGAATTATTTTGCAATCGAATTAAATTAACAACGAAACTGTGTAATTGGAACAATCATCGTGTTTTCACTCTACGTTGTCTGCAACAGAATGCACATCCTAAATCCGTAGCTGTCGAGTCAGCTGACAACTCCAGTAGGTCGAATAAAGCAGCTCAATATTCAGAAAGAAGACAAAGCAATAAGTCCGACAGAGTGCTTCTACTAAACTCCAGTCCTAAACACCATAATTTTGAAAATACGTCTAATCATAAAATTCTAGATACTAACAGTTTGAACAGACATGAAGGTTTGATGTTAGCTGATGCATAGGAAATCCTTATTATTAAATAAAAAATGGATATGTATCACTAATTATTAATACTTGGTCAAATTCCTGACTGTCTATATCTTCTTATAGAGACGTTAAGAAATGTTTTATAACTGTTTACCCACACACACACACACACACACACACACACATACACACTCTGTTTAAAGTGTTTAACAAAGGTAGACCAATATTTGTAAGTCCGGGGTCAAATTTTGATCACAGCTCATAAAATTTTGTTTATTATACTTGTTAATACTTGTTTTATGAATCATGACTGGACAAAGTTTTTAAAAACAAAAGATGTGCCTTTTATATATAAACCTCTGTTATGTTAATTTCGATTAATTTCCCTGAAGTTCGGACCAGATTGCCGAACGCAGGAAACGTTGGAATTACTCATTTCAATCTCGCTGAGATATTACAAATATAATTTTTATACAAATGTCTACTTCTCACTCGGCGCCCAAATATTTTAGAACTATTCTGTTAAATCTTGACGACAGTTCATTTGAATATATTTATTAAGACTGATAGAATAAACTGACAATGTGGAAGATTAGTTCGGCCAGTTCATCATCGTCTTTATTTCTATGATCTATTACGCAAAAATATGACTTATTTATCACACAATATTATGAAAGCATAATAACAAAACAAAACAGAAGAGAAATGGAGAGAGCACTTTCAGCTTATCACAGTGACAAAATAAGGTTATTAGAAGAAGCAGAAAAATACCAGTGCCTTATACACACGCAGTAATAAGAAAAAAAATGAGAAAATAGCTAGGGAAACGCATTATAGCCTCATATAAAACCAACCAAAATATTTAACAAAAATATGTATAGAAATTTAACTTAGGAACCGGAAATATTTTTGAGGTGATTATTTAACTGACTGGTCAGTTACAAAAGGTGGTTGAAGGGTGTGTGTGTTTGTGTGCGAGCTGGGGCTTATGAAACCTTATGAAGTGTAACGTTATGAATTACGATGATGAAATTTAAATTGTTCAAATGGGAGGATGGATGTACCAATGGGGGTGTAAAATATATATACGAAAGACAATATTAGATATGTATATACACAGAATTATGCGTTTTATAATGGTTTTTAGAAAGAAAATAAAGAAATTAACTCTGAGGTAAGCAAGCTGTTGGAGCATGCTTACACAATAAACAATTTACAAGAATACTTACAGAAGAGAAAGGCATAAGAAGAGAGTGAAAGAAAGACCTTTTTCAACCAGTTAACAAATCTATAGAATATCACAGATACAAGCTGAAACAGGCACTCACAATTCCAAGATATCAGCGTAACTTTTTATTCCTTTGAACTGATTGAAAGACAACTAGATTACTGTTAACCAGTGATAGCATAATATGAAAGCCTTCCACAAGACGTCCACTCCCCGTAAGATTTGACACTAAAGACATATCAGTAATGCCTTTATCTAAATTGATACATCGGATAGGTGTTAATGTTTCTGCTAACATGATAATGAAATGTCCTGTACTAAATGACATTAAAATATGCTGAGAGATAATGCACTCGTCAGTAGTGTTCTCACCGATATCAGATTGTTTACGATTCACACAACTAGTCCTCGTTGATATCGGTGTTGAAGTAAGCGATAGACGTGTAACAACAGTGAGTCGACGTTCATCTAAACTCAGCTGGGAATAGTCATCCGCATAGGTTAGTGGAGCAACATCAGATAACTTTTCACCCGTTGGATTGAATAAACTTAAATGTGGTCCAATCTCATGGTCAGTAACAGTCGACGAGAAGTGATGTATATGAGATTCAGGTGTATAATTCCATTGGACATAAATTAGTCCCAGTCTTGGAGCGATTAATAAATGATGCACAGAATAAGAATTTGAACAAGTGAATATATCCGATTTAGGATAGGAGTATATCGGTATGTGTAAATTGTCCACTTCAATTAGAATATCATCTAACATTAGAACACGTGACCATGTGGATAATTTTGCACTGAATAGATACACCTCTCTACAATGATCTGTAGCCATCAATGCAGTATCCAACGAGATATTCAAAGCAACACAAGTGACTGGATTACCGCAACCATTTCCATGGAAAAATCGTATAATTTTAGCTAACACTTTTGGTTTACCATGCATTGAAGTTGACGACCCAGGAGGATAGAAAGCGATACCAGCACTTTTATATTGTAGAATACAACCTGTTTGTGGTAGGCATACTTTATTACTTGATGTTGATAGATTCGGTGACATTATCTCACTGCTAAATTCATCTTGGAAAAGATTTTCACTAGATAAACTTTTACGTTGTGTCATCTGATGATGGTCAAGTCGTAGATCTTGTCCAGTATTCAAAGGTTTCGTTGTCGTAGTTGTAGTACTAGTCCCAGAAGTGTTAGGCAACAAAGAATCTTGACTACCAAAGAATATATTCGTTTTCTTCTGTGACGATCTTCGACTATATGCAGACAATTGGGATTCATTAACACTGATATTAGAGAATGGTGCTTCATCTGTCACACTTTCATTCATCTCATCATCTTCCTCCCCGTCGAGCATATCAAAATCCCAAACAGCACATGTTCCATCACGACTACCTGTGATGATATATCGTGTTCTTGTTGAAGTCACCGTTTTACTTGTTGACGATTTATCCATTTTTTCATAACCTCCACGATTTGTAAAGGGACAACGATCAATTGAACTATACACTGAGTCAATAGCAACACAACTGATTGTATCACAATGTGGACTTGTCAGAATTGCTTCAACTTGTGAGGTGTGCATATTGTAAATGGTTAAACGTCCATCCCATCGACCACCAGCAAATAACCACCTGTCATCAAGACTTAAAGCGAATAATTGTGCACCAGCAATATGATTTGTTAACGATGAACATGGGGAGGTGTTTTTCGCTTTATTCGGATTTAAACTGAACATGTTATCAAGTCTTTTATATTTTGTATTTGGAATAAACTGTATCCATGATTGATCCAGCGGTCCGATGGAACTGTTTTGTATATAAAAGAGTAATATTAATATATATATGGTATTAAAATTAATTGATAGAGAAATTTAGTCTGCCATGTGCTACGTGTGCCTAGTCATCGCCTTCCTCGACAATGGGCAATGTTAGCTGATATAGGGCCAGGCTGGAAAAGAGCTAGCGGCAGTCAAACCAAAACATGGCACCAGTCAATGAAATCTACAACAGTTAGTCTAGGCCACGTAGGAAGATGTAGACTTCCTGACTGGTTGGGGTCCTCGGGACGGTAAAAACCAATGGTTGGAAACAATTGGTGATGATATGGCTCAAAATCGTTCTCAATGACAGCGCAGATGCATCCACTCCTTGTGACTTATGATTTCCAATTAAACTGTTTTGTTCTTCGTTATTACTATACCTTTGTTTCACATCTCTGTTTACTGTCTCTAATATGCATTTCTTCTACTTTCTTCTCTTGCTTTGTGTGCTACATGGAGGGAGTGTGGCGACTTGAACTGCCGCACATATGTGCAAAGTTCTATGTCGAAAACCGACCGACCGAGTCTGCCATGTATATTTAAGTCTGAAGTCAGACTAAGAAAATGAAATCAATTAGGGAATCTCTTTAGTAAGGACCCTCAGTCACAGAGTTAGAGCTATATGCTCAGAAGAGGTAATTGAAGATGAACTAAGGATTGTCTATGACACCCTAATTGAAAACAGCTATCCAGAGAAGTTCATCAAGAAACATATCACCAAGAAAGCAGAAAAAGACGATTCTCCATCTCTAAATGAGAAGCTTTTATATATAAATGACTGCAGTTCAAGGGCGACGCATTCAGTGAAGTAACGGCTAGCAAGTTAAGAAAATCTATTCAAAGAACCCTTAAAACTGGTAAACTACAAGTCATTTTTCTACACAACCGGTTGTTATTCCCCGATTGAAAGATGAAGTACCCAGACTAGCTAGCCACTTCCAAATATGTCTACCACTTCAACTACACTTTTGGTGGAGCGAGTTATATTGGCCGTTGCTCTAGGAACTTGATATTTCTTGCTCCCTTGAGAACACCTACCAGTGTGGCTAAATAAAGGTGTAGTAAAAACCATGAATAGTTCAATATTAGACCACCTAGTCCAAACCGACCACAAGGCCAGTATTTTAGAATCCTTCTCTATCATCTACCAGGTACCAGATAATTTTCAAAAAGCATCCAGGTACCGAATATTCGAAACGCGGAAGAGGCTATCTCAATTCGTCGTCTAGGAATTGAGCTCCATCTGCATGCATGGTTAGCAAGCACTCTAAAAGCTGATTGAAAGTTTCAACGTAGACCTTTGCACAGATCCGCAGCAGTTCGAGTTACCACTCTGCCTCCAAGTATCACACAAAGTATGAGAAGAGAGTAAGTAAAAACAGGTTCATCAAAAGAGAGATAATAAACAGAAATATGAGGCAAAAAGAATGGTAACCAGGGAGAATAATATAATTATACATCACAAAGAGTGGATACACCTGAACCAGCTATTGAGAATGATTTTCAACAATATCCCCAATCGTCTCCAGCCATTAGATTTTATCATCCCGAAGACCCTAACCAGTCAGTCATTATCTTTACCTCCCTACGTGGCTTCAATGAACTGTTGTGGATTTGACTGACTGATGAAGCCATCTTTTCGTCTGACCGCCACCGACTAGCTCTTTACCAACCTGGTCCCATATCAGCTAACACTGCTCATCGACGAAGGCGGTCGATGGCCAGTCATCATGCTTATCGCATTTCTTAACCATCTCACTCAATCGGTGTAATTTCACAACCTCGTCCACCGATTTTCCCTCCTTACCTAGCACTCGACCGACCCTATTATTCCACTTCACAAAGGAGATAGAATGCAGACACCTATGATCAAAGACACACAAAAAGGAGGACAGAGTAGTACATAGGCCCTTTGTTCGACAGCCGGAGATCATATATACTAAGGCAGAGATGGCATAATTTGGCAAATGCCAAACAAGCCTTCTGTATCCGTACTGAGATTTCGTCAGCGATCAATCCGCTGTCAATGGCTGAGGCAAATTCCCAAAGAAGTGAGGTGATCAACACTCTCCACTAACCACTTCACTCCCTATATATTCAAGCTAGGAGTTATTCAATATATTCCAATCCTGTAGCATCACCTTACATATCACAGGAGAAGGTGAATTGCACGCCGAACATTCGAGGATTTCTGCTCTAGGTGTTCAGAAGACTCCACTGAAACCATGGATGCTTTCCAGTGTATTAAATAACTTGTAGAAGATAGAAAGTTATAGTACAATGTATTATATAATGATGTGAAACTTTTCAATATGAAATTAACTCACCCATAGTGTTGTTGATTATTAGAATCATGTAGTAAACTATACGGATCCATAGGTTCAATATCACCTTTTGCATCTGACATTAACACTTGATCATCAGATGGTATCCAAAAGTATCGATTGACAACACCTCTGTTGTTCAACACAAAAACAGCTGATGCTAAACGTTCCCATCCAGTTTTGGTTGCATTCAACTGATTTGAACTTTTAAAAGGAGCTGATAAATTTGACGCGGTCGATGTCTGATTGGAGGATTCAGTAGTCAGTCCACCTGATGCAATTGATGCCACTGTTGGTAGATAATTTCCAGTGGAGAATAACCGATTCTTTATAAAACCCCCACTACTACTATTACTGTGATTGTTATTATTATTATTGCTGCTAATACTAAGTGAATTCCGACCAGATTCTCGGTTGATATCACTTTCAGAGAAGGTGAAAACGTTTGAATCTGTTCTTGCCGGTCGACAAAATCCAGGGACAACAGCTAAATAAATTGAATTCAACTGCATAGTTGTATTTCTATGCTGAGATTTCAATAAACGAATAGACAGAGCTAGATTATCAATTGGAGGAGATTTAACAAGCATCCACTTTTTTTGTACTAAACGTTTCAATGAAGTATTACACTTTGGTATTAATTCTTTCTGTTCTACGGAGGTATGCGTAGAAAGTATGGAGTTGACATATTCATTTCCAGTGTTATCCGGTAGGATACGTTGAAAGAATGATGGTGTTCTTGAAGACTTTGGTGTCGGGGTGGATTCTTGATGACATCTTGGTTGAATGGATTCAGTGTTTTGTTGTAATGTTGTGTCAGTCAGTTTTGATTCATTATTGGCTAGCAGATTGATTACTGGTAGTCTGCGTTGATTGATTAGAGTTGACAACCATTCTGAATGTGTTAAACGTCGAGGATGTGGTTCCTGTATTGATGGTAATAATAACAGCAACAGTAAATTATATATATATATATATGTATTAAATTAAATTAATGTGACCCGTTGCACAAGAGGTCTGGTGGATGATGCTTTGGCTGGCGTTTGAAACTATGGGCACTGGGTTCGAGCCTCAGTGGTGGGAACATCATCACTCACTGAGAAATGCAGGTACATACAGTTGACGAGTCCCAAATAGGACGAAATGCGCGTTGTCCTGGATTCCACATAGCTAGTCACCATCCACCAATTAAATTCTAATTAAATGCTCAGACATCGTCGAAGCATCTACATAAGAAGCCGACATATCAACCTGAGACCGAGCAATTCGGTCCAGTCAATCGACGGGAAAATTTAAAATTCAATTATATTTCATGGATATATATCATAACTTCTACACAATGTCTTTGAAGGTAGAGACTAGAACTTTCAGGTTTAGAAGTAAACACACTGCTATTCAGCAGGTGGTGAATGAAGCTTAATTGTCACTGTCTTTCAGCTTCTGTTCATTTATAATATAACAGAAACAGCAGACACTGATAGTGACGACACCTTTATTGTTTTCTTGCTAGAAAATATGGTTAACCCTGTTGGTGATTGTAACTTTAGTAACATATCCGCCTAAAGGCTAGTCAACAGTAAGTTGTGGGGGTTTCATTGCTTTTAGCATTTCATCATGAACTGACATTGATTAGGGGACGATTAGAAAACCTGCAGGGAGTACTAGACAGCAGCTGTCTATTTCATCAGCCTAGTTTGGCACTCTTCAGTAGTACACACCCACTGCCAAGGTTAGAACCCTGGACCTCCTGCCAATTCATGATATGGCGCGACCACTAGCGAATTTCATCGCTGTCGAGTATTTGTCCTCACACCCGACTGACTTGCTGCACGCCACTGATCACGACTTCCCACTAGAACCCCAGGTAACTACCTACCTGGATAGGGCCAGTCACTAGTCAGCTAACATATAAATTTTCTCAATGATTAATGGCACTACTGGACGCAGTCATAAGACAGCGCTGTAAGTGCGTGCTAAAAGATACATTTGAAGAGGTTAATTATCTTGATGATATTAATATTATGAATAAGAATATGTACTCCTTTGATATGAACTCTTTATTCACTAATGTGCCTCTACTCAAAACAATTGACATTTTGTGTGATTGGATTTCCACACGTAATTTTCTAATCCCATCCCGTGTATCTCATTTAAAAGATTCATTATTGTTGATGGTGTTACTATAGGAAGTCCGTTGGGGTCCCTTTCGCAGATTTCTATGTGTCGTATATTGAAAGTTTAATCGAAAATGTCCCACTTTATAGAAGGTATGTAGACGAAACTGCATTGTAATCATAAGTGGAAAGCCTTGTTGTGCCACCTCAATTTTAAATCCAATGAACGAAGTTCAGAATAAAGTATCACTTACATCTGTAGAAGAGGAAGATAATTGTTTAGTCGATGGCCTGATGGACCAACAAAACGATCTGTTTATAGAAAACCTACTTAGACAGGACAAGACAGTATCTTAATTATCACAGTTTCTGCCCCATTCGGTACAAAAGAGCTTTAATGAGGTACCTGTTCAGTAGAATCCAACGAATATGCACCTTAGACACACTTGATAATAAAGAATCAAAGTTGACATAAACTCTGGTTGATAATAATTAATAATAATAATTTGTTCTGACAGTACTGTTGAGTATGAAATAAAATCCCTGAAGGATAGCTTATCTAAGAATGGATATCTTGAGAATTTCATTAATAAATACTCTAAAGAAAACACCCCCTGCAAAACAATCGAAACAGTTCCGAAGAAACCTGTCTATATCAGTTTGCCGTTCAAAGGAGATGATGTACAGGAAGTAGTCAAACGAAGACTCGACAAAGCCATCAAGAGAACTTATTATGCTGCGAAACTTGTTTTCCTTAACACCACTAAGCGAGTGCTTCAACAATCTGGGAAATACCAGTCGCCAATCCTCGACACTTCAAACTGCGTATATCAGTTTGAGTGTGTTTGTGGAAGCAAATACATAGGTCGTACGGAAAGGAGATTGTCTACTCGCATGATGGAGCATTTGCCAAAGTGGTTGAAAAGAGCTGAGTGCAAAGTGCCAAAATCCTCGATAACAAAACATCTTGTGGACTATGGACATGATAACGATGTGGTCAAGTCATTCACTATTGTCAGCAGACAAAGAAACAAGAAGATGCTTGCAATTGCAGAAGCTTGTGCAATTCGAGTTTACAAACCAGGTCTCTGTGTACAAAAGGAGACGGTCTTGACTCTGAATCTACCATGGTAATACGTTTTACTTATAATTTTACCTATTATTATTATTTTTATTGTTACTATTATTATTCTCATTATTATTATTCTTGATTCATTTAAAACTATCCTTTATCAGTAGCATTATCTTAACTCACTTCAACACTATTATTATTATTGTTATTATAACTATTACTATTGACATCCCTCTGGTTGCAATTATTGTTAAATTCTCTAATGTCTAATTGTTTATCTAAGTGATGTAATTGAAGCGTAATGCAATTTATCTTAATTTTGATCTCCCATACTCTCTCTCCCCTTATCTAATTGAACATGACCTGGAAAAACATTCGCACCTGTCTTTCTGCATGACTAATTCAATGTAGTTTATTTACTTATCAGTCCTATGTCTCCCAATGTAATTTCAAAAGTATATATATATCCGTGTATGTAGAGTATTCAGCTGACGAGTTCTACCGAAATTTGATGAATTCATTAAATCCTGCTTTATTAACCTGCTTTGTTGCTTGTTTTAAATTATCCAGACAAGTTCATCAAGAGATGCAAAGTAGTCCCCAAAACCATATTGTGACCATTCTGGCGATATATTTAACACAGGATCTTGTATATGAAAGAAACTGCTGGTTTGTTTAGTTTAGACTGAGTAAACGACAGCTGGTTAAAGCTGAAGGCGCAGGCGCAACTGAAGTGTCATCCTCTCCTAGATTTCAATGGGCGAGATTCTCCGTGATTGATTGATTGATTCAAGAAACATTTCATTATTCAAATTTCCTTAGCTTATTATAAAAATGTAAATCAAACTACAGAAAGATTGAATCAATAAACAAGGAGAAGTAGAGTCTTACTTTGAGTAGTTGAGTTGGTATTTGTCCAAAATTCTGTATCATACTTTCCATAGCTTGACGTTCAAATGTATTGTCAATTTTATCCAAGTCAATAGCACCTTCATATGTTACAAAATTGAAGACATTCAAGGCTTCAACTGCATTCTGACCACGTTGTTTATAACTAATGGTAAATAAGAAAGAAAAATGAGGTTGTTAATAATAACTAACTTTTTGAAAACTCTCTTTAGATTTTTTTGACTATAACTTTATGAGTTACGTAGTTGCAGACAGTCGACAGTACATCCAACACTAAGGTCTCGTAATTATTGAAGCTTTTTAGCAATGCTAAAGGAATTGATCCTCTAAAGGAAGTTAACTGAAAGATCGACTAACTGCAGAACTGGATGACAAGCGAACGCCAGCAACTACAAAACCTAGGTCTAGGAATTCCTGTAAGAGAACGATTGTTTAGAAAATCCCCCCCTCCAAACGATCTAATTGCAACACTAGTATTTATTTGGATATTTAATTGGATATTTCAACTAACCTTGTAATTCAAGTATTGGTTTGTCGGGATTTGATCGGTTGGTTCCAGGATTTCATCATGAACTCACATCGGTTAGAGAACCATTGGAAAACCTGCAGAGAGTACTGGACAGCTGTTTCGTCAGCCTAGTTTGGGACTCTTTATCAGTAAGCATCTACCGCCAGGGTTCAAACGCAGGATCTTCTGGTTACAAGGCTAGCTTGTAGACCATTGAAAGGCCACTGGGATCAAGATCCAATGGCTAGCCCATGAATTCCAACTTCAGCCGATGTCTTCGGCGCGGCTAGTGGTCGTGCTATGTACTCAATTGGCAGAAGCTGGTCCCAGTGAGTGAATGGTCTATGACCTCGCCTTGTAATCAGAAGGTCCTGGTTTCGAACCGTAGAGTTGGTGTCGTACTGCTGAAGAGTCCCAAACTAGGACGAGACAGCCGACTGGCAGTAATTCCAAGTTTTCCAGTGGTTCTCTAACAGATGTCAGCTTATAATGTAATCCTATAACTGACTTTGTAATTATTACTAGCTAATTTTGTTGTACAGTACTTCTTTCCTAAATAAGATACTACTAGATCTGTATAGTCAGCTACCTAATGACACAGTTGAGGTAATTTCAAGTTTTGATACGTTATTATTTTTAAACAGTACCAAAGATTTTATTGCAAATAACTATCTTCTTAAGAAAGAGGCACAAACAGCGAAGAAAATTTTCTTTTCGACGATTCATTTTCATGAGCTGTACAATCGTAATTATAATTAACAAAGAAATCTTTAGACCAATCAGATACTGGTAAATTTTGTCCTTGGAAAATTGTATTACATAATGTAAGGTGTAAGAAGGGATGACTAATTGTAAGTTAGAAAGGAGACAGAAGTTGGCATGACGTAATAAGTGTGAGATAGTGAATAATCAATAATCTCGTGTAAAATGGACAGGAACTAGTGGAAAGGCTATAAAGTGTTTTTGTATAAAATATGTATGAAAAACAATGTTATTAATAAACATTGTTTTTCATACATATTTTATACAAAAACACTTTATAGCCTTTCCACTAGTTCCTGTCCATTTTACACGAGATTATTGATTATTCACTATCTCACACTTATTACGTCATGCCAACTTCTGTCTCCTTTCTAACTTACAATTAGTCATCCCTTCTTACACCTTACATTATGTAATACAATTTTCCAAGGACAAAATTTACCAGTATCTGATTGGTCTAAAGATTTCTTTGTTAATTATAATTACGATTGTACAGCTCATGAAAATGAATCGTCGAAAAGAAAATTTTCTTCGCTGTTTGTGCCTCTTTCTTATGACTCAATATGGGAATATTTCGTTCATTGAAGAACTATCTTCTTCTTGATGTCAGGATATTTCGGGACTGTGAGGCACTCAGGAAGTTTCGGTTATCTATACAGTAGAATAAAAGGATTGGTTTCCTGCATTTAGATCCCAACATGTTGCTTTTGGTCAATACTTGTCCTATTGACTGCCCTAAACTATCCTATATCCATTGAAATCATACCACGGTGGTGTCTCATCTAGGATAGCGATCGAATTTCAACACTGACTGATGGAATTCAGTCAATACCAAGATCATGGAATAGACACAAGCCATTGGCTACTCCCTAACGACCAATCCATGTATCCGTTAGCGTCTTACTGTGTCCAGAAGTAAAGATCACTGAGCTGTACGGCGTATTATTCAGTTTCGTTTGGTCAATATATAGCAACCAGTTCATATACAGGTCAGGCGTACAGGTCTCCGTTATAGTGAATTCCACTCAGTCATATATGAGGCCAGATATTCACCGATAACGCTGACTTTCAGTGGTCCTACATACAGCAAATTGGTAGAAGTCAAAATTCACGAATCACTGCATTCCGTCCCAGTGGAAAGATAGTCAACTGCTTCTTAATATACGTGTAAAACTTAGGCACTGTGGTACTAAGTAATTCCATATTAGTTTCTTTATTAGGTATATCACACAGTGAAACAGTATTATTTACTGGATGACGTTTCGAACAAAATTTATTGTTCATAATCATATCAATTGTGATCACACGACTTTGACACTTGAGTTTGATAGTTTACTTTGTCCTCTCCTATTTGTCTTCATTGGGGTAGTAGAATTTGCCAGATATCTGGGTGGATAGGTGTTGAATCATTCCTATTACATGTATTTGCAGTTGATTCGATAAACAAAGCTTCTGTTATCAATCTCTCCCTATACCATGTGACATTAGATTTTAAAACTGTCATCCTATCCCATCACCATATTGTATGGTTGTGTTATTGCATGCAGTGAGTGGTATAGCTGAACTATTCTCTAGATTTCTTATGTTATTCGGGTCAACCAATCTAGATTTTGCTAAGATTTTATGCTCGGATAGTCTGACTGCACCTGTTCTACTAGTTTGACCTATGTATTTGACCTGACAATCATTGCAGGGTATGAGATAAACTAAATTGTTTTGTTTTAAAGGCTCTACAGGATTGATCCTTGAACCGACAAAGCTTGTGTCTAATTGAGTTTATGGGGCGGTTTGAATGCCGTTTTTATTCCTGCCTTGTTAAGAATTCCGCGTAAAGCTTCCGAGGTTCCTTCCTTGTATGGAATTACTACTGATGATTTAGATTCTTTATTGTTGGTGTCGTCATTAATATTATTATTATTATCACTATTATCATTATTATTGTTATTATCACTATTACCCGGATAAATTAATCAAGAAATATGTAAGGAAATGTAAAAATAAAATAAATAATCATAGTAGCGATAGTGATAATAACAATAATAACGATAATAATAATAATAGTGATAATAATAATAATGTTAATGACGACACCAACAATAAAGAATCTAAATCATCAGTAGTAATTCCATACAAGGAAGGAACCTCGGAAGCCTTACGCCGGAGAATTCTTAACAAGGCAGGAATAAAGGTGACTGGCATTTAAACCCACAAACTCAATTAGAAACAAGCTTTGTCGGTTAAAGGATCCTGTAGAGCCTTTAAAACAAAACAATTTAGTTTATCTCATACCCTGCAATGATTGTCAGGTCAAATACATAGGTCAAACTAGTAGAACAGGTGCAGTCAGACTATCCGAGCATAAAATCTTAGCAAAATCTAGATTGGTTGACCCGAATAACATAAGAAATCTAGAGAATAGTTCAGCTATACCACTCACTGCATGCAATAACACAACCATACAATATGGTGATGGGATAGGATGACAGTTTTAAAATCTAATGTCACATGGTATAGGGAGAGATTGATAACAGAAGCTTTGTTTATCGAATCAACTGCAAATACATGTAATAGGAATGATTCAACACCTATCCACCCAGATATCTGGAAAATTCTACTACCCCTACGACGACAAATAGGAGAGGACAAAGTAAACTATCAAACTCAAGTGTCAAAGTCGTGTGATCACAATTGATATGATTATGAACAATAAATTTTGTTCGAAACGTAATCCAGTAAATACTTATACTGTTTCTCCACTGTGTGATATACCTAATAAACAAACCTAATAATATGGAGTAAACTGCTTCGTTTCATCACTTAAAGGCCAAGAAATAGCTGCCTAGCACTCTCCCGTTTCCAGTAATTTGTGATTTAACCTGGAAAGAATTTTATCAATGGAACTTATCACTTATAACTTAATCAAATCACATGTTTTTATGATGTAAATCTATTGGTTGACAAGTGGTCATATGATTAGTACACGAAATTGTCACATGTCTGTTAAAGCACTTCTCAATTCATCAGATTACGTATTCCACAAGGAGACATAATGACGTAAAAGTGTGTTAAAACTGTGTTCGATGTGTTAAAATAAAAATGCTTATTGAAATAATATAGAAACTAGATCAAACCAGTAGTAGTGTAACGACAGAAGACAAGGGTCAGGCAACAGGTCGTTTATTGAGAAAATCAACAGATATTTATAGTTTGAATAAGGTATTAAGAAGACAAATTTCGCGAGATGATATCATTTCGTAGTTTCTTTACAACTAACATGGTTAACAATAATAAAATAAGGCTCGTGACAATTACTCAGTTAAATGAAAAAACAAAAGTACATACTAATGACCAATCATATTTAGATAGATTTGATAGTGTGGAAAATTCCCATATTATTAATTAAAAGTCAATCTGAACGAAGAATATTCTTTTCAATAATTTCTCTTCAGGTTCTTACAATTATAAAATATAATATTTGTTGTCGTTACAATAAAGGCCAGTTATGCGGCAGATACATTTTTAACGTAGAATAGCAGATACATAGTCATTAGGGTGACGAAATAAGTAGTCGTATTTGTGTGACAAACGTGCTAGGCTGAATTCGATTACAAAATATTGTAAAACGGGAGACAGTGGTGGTGATTAATCATAATAGATTTGTAGAGTAACCTTGAATTGACTTGTCAATTTTCCTACCCCACACTCTACAAATCTATTATGATTAATCACCATTGTCTCCCGTTTTACATTATTTTGTATTCGAATTCAGTCTAGCACGTTTGTCACACAAATACGACTATTTATTTTGACACCCCATAACTAATCTGTTATTCTACGTAAAAAAATGTATCCGCCACATAACTGGCCATTATTGTAACGACAACAAATATTACATTTTATAATTGTAGGTACCTGAAGAGAAATTATTGAAAAGAATATTCTTCGTTCAGATTGAGTTTTAATATTTAGATAGGTCAAGTAGTCCAAGGTAGGCGAAGATTGAAGTCTATTGATTTTTGTACACACAGTTTAGGCTGTATGTGATTAATCCAAAGTGCTCCCATCACCTTCAATAACCAAGCAACGTATTCTGATTGGTGGTTTTCTTGCTCAAGGTTATTCTGTCATTTCTTTGTGACTGTTTCTTAGAAAGTCAAACCATGTATCAGCGAATCGTATTTACACACGTCAAGTCTGCTGTGATTGGTTGATGATTTCCTCAAGGTTAAGCTTTGTTATTGTATTTTTTTCTCACATGACCCTGATTCGGGATGTGAATATTGAGGTCAATTGTTGTCTACAATTTTGGCTTGTTCGGAGCCACCTCTCACCACAGTAGTACTCCAACAGGTATAGATATAAACTCAATCTATCCTATTAAAGGTTTTAAGCTCAGACATTTTCGCTCTTATTGTAACTAGCTCCACTATCTTTGTCAATTTAACGATTGTCAGATTATTAAGATTTCTATCTGAAATCCTAATGCCCTCAGGGTTTCCATTTTAAATTTTATCAGTCTCCGATACACTCAAGCTTATTTTCACTCGACACTAGGTAGTGATTGACTAGTGTCCAATTAAAGTATCTATTGCAACCAAACATTAGGTCATTTGCGAGCCCGAACAGCTCAGTGGTGGTAACGTCTGTGAATGAAGGACTGGGTGACTCTGGTTTTACTCTCACAAGAGACATGAGTTCCTTGAAGATTTTAGGGACACCTTGTTGACTAGTGAGTACCAACAGTCACTAAACTTAGGTCAGGCAAGGCTTCTTTTCGATTGCCTCCAACTAACTAATAACAGTCATGCATCTTTAGAAAGTTCTATCAGAAATGTATGCAGAGGAACATGGGAACACATGGTGGTTTAGAGGATACTAGAGATCACAGACAGTGAATTCACTTGCGTTACTGGGAACGATTTTGGTGCGAATCACCAATATTGTCTAGCTATTGGTTCTTAACCTCCCCAGGGCCTCAATTAGGTGGTCTGCTCCTCTCTGTATGGCTCAGACCACTTGCTAAAGACTTCAGGGATTGATTTCAGCCTTAGATTTGACCACACCTAACTGTTTTCCAACCCATCCCTATGTCAGCTAACATTCCTCATCGAGGAAGGTGCTGGTTCAGATTAACAAACTCATCGATTGACTTGCCCTCTTTGCCCAACAATCTATGTCTAGACCCAATATTACTCACCATATTATACCACCTAACATGATAGACAGAACGCAAACATCTGTGATCGAAAACAGCCAACCTTATCAGATGGTTGGAGAAAGTCGGCAGGAAGCGTTGGACCTAGTTTCCGTGCTAGTTGGCACTCGTTACGACTGAAGTCAATCGTTAGCCGGAATAGCTCGTTAGTAACGTCTCTGACTGCATGATTAAGTGGCGAGGGTTCGAATCTCAGGAGAGACATAAGTTCCCCTAGGGTATCGGACAAATCTTGCTGACTGCTGAGTGCCAACTAGCACGAAACCTATTTCCAGGTAGGGCTTCCTGCCGACTGCCTCCAACCATCTAATACCAACAATTCACAGTGCACCGTTATGGTAAGCAGCCTAGCGTGGTGGCCATATCGCAAACATGACTGGTAAAATTCAGTATGCAGTGTCCATAAAAAAATAGCCAGCCTTTTCACATTTTCCACTCCCAGACATGAAAGAGTACGGAGAGAACTGCTGTACAGTGCAAATTCCCTTCGATCGATAGCCAGCCGGATATTATGTCTACGCAAGAGATGAAATAGGCTGACAAATGCCACACTGACCTTTTATATTCGTGCTGAGACTTCTTCAGCAATAAGTACATTGGGGCTGATGCAGCATTCTCAAACGATCCATACCCTATCTCTAAGCTGGAAGACAGAGCAGTCCACTCCTGCCATATGCCAAATATCCGAGAATTTCTACTCAACGTGTGTTCAGAAGACTCTGCCTTTCGTCAGCTGACGAATCCTGAATTCCACTGCTAGTCACTGTCAACCAAGCGCACTCTAACATATCATTCAAAATGATTTCGTTAAAGAAAAAAAGGAAAGAAAAAGAAACCACTTACCCAAATATTAAATCAATCCATTCATGTAAATGTGCAGAAACGTAGTCAGATTCAAGTGCACCACGATGTTTACGTATAAATTCTTCTGGTGTAGATGCCCAAGCCGGTAGTTCAACATCATTGATACGTGTATGATTTTGTTGAAGACAGCCTAAATCAAAAGCTTTTTTTGACAGGGAGAAGAGAAAAAGTGGAAGATGATAAGTAGAATTATGACTATACGTATATATCTTTAAATTGAAATGATTTTGTTTTGAAACTGAAGGAAGGAAGTATCATCAATAAAAGTAGTGTTGTTAGATAGGAGAGAGGATAGCACGTTAAAAAGGTAGATTTATTGAAAGTCAAAATGTACAAGGGAGCACATTAACTTCAACATTTGGGTACCTCTAGGTAGGAAGATAAAGCTTATCCGTGCTTTGTGCTTCAGAATGCATGAAGTTTGCTCTACAGATATGTTCGAGATGGAACTGGGAAACTTTCGCATAACTCTGTTGAATCATGGATACCCTGGGAGGTTAATGGACAGAAGCATCAAGAAAAAAACCGTCCCCGGCCAAGCAAATCGCAGTACCAAAGATGATACTGTTTATGAGTTTGGCGTTGAAAGGTGGCACTGTTACTGAAGTGATTAAAAGTTGTTTATCTAAATGTGCTAAACGCTCCTTTTATGCAGCTGACTTACATTTAGTATTTACTAACCGAAATGTGATTAGACAATGCGTCAAGGATAAACTACCACTTATGTCCACCTCTATGTGCCTACACTCATTCACATGCTCGTGTGGAGCTGATTACATTGGAATTTGTAAGCGTGTTCTCCATTTAAACGAGTAGTTGAACACTAGCCGGTTCGGTTAATGAAAGGTGAGCAAAAGAAGAGAAAGTTTTTTAATTTGTGAACACATTCTGGAGTCAGGTCATTTAGCCACACGTGACTTAACCTTCAAAGTTATTCACAGAACCATATCCAACTACTCTAATAGGTTACGTTTTCTCCACTCATGCATAGTCGAAGCTCTAGCTATACATAGACAGAAACCTAAGTTATGTATTCAAAAGCGTTAAGCTAAACTCCTTCCTTTACCTTGGTTTTAGTAATGTTTGTTTATTTTATTCTATTTTACCACTTAAATTCATTCCACTTCACATTCGCCAATTTTACTGTTACTATCACCACACTGTTAATTTTTTGGACAACACTTGACCTACAACTTTAAAATCTTTATACCAGTTCATTTATCATCTTTAAAAGTTTTGTAATTCACCCATTTCAAATCTGCCCCTTTAGGACATCACCTTAATTATCTTTATTCTTATCATATGTGCATTAATGACTGGGCGATTTCTAGTGACACTTGATGCCTTTTTCCGTAATATGAATACGACTGTACAGCTGGCTGAAAATGAGTAGAGTGCTTTGATCAGTGTGATGTATTTTCTCGGCATTCTCCTCACAGACAAACATCACCATAGTACCTCTCGTTCGACGGAATCGAATGCCGCTTTCAGGTCAAGAGATCCTCTTCCTAGTCTAAAGCCTGCCTGGTTCTCTCGTGTTTTTTTTCTCTTGAGCACCACTTAGTCTACGCATGATTATTGAGCCTAGAACTGTAAATATCATATGGGTCAAGCTAATCCCTCTGTGATTATCACGGGAAGACTTGTATTTCAGGACAGTCAGTCAATTACACCAGCCCAGGAAATGGTTGTTTTCAGCTAACATTGTCTTTCAAGAATATACGTATGCCTAAATGTGCGTAAAAGACATACCACAGTCATCTAAGTTGAAAGAGCCTCAAAACTCAATTAAAAGCTGGTATTAGCCTGTAGAAAAGTTTACAGTCACATGCAATAATCATGTAGGCCCACTCCATCTAGTCAAATAGAAAATCAATATAACCATCACAGTCTTACAAGTGGTCCGTCATACACTAGAATATTCCACTGTTCATAGGAAATTTCCATCCGAACAATAATAAAAAGAAGACAAGAAGTTCAGCGAACAGACTCTTTTCGGCAAAATTCAATCTCCTCTTTAGCAGTACAATCGCATTTATTTATATAATCTCTTTTTTATGAAATAGGGTAGTAACAAAAGTGATGAGTTGTTACACCCATGGTTGTTAATATTAGCCAACTTGAAAAACGCGCTCATGAACACTATCCAGCCTGGCTAGTAAAAGGAGAACGGAAACGTGTATATAGTTCAGTGACAGAACTTCTGGTCAATTCAAGACATTCAGTGCCATTCGAAAAATCCTCTAAAGTAATACACACTATCCGATCAAACCTATCAAGGGGAGTAAAATTAAGACATCTGAGCATAGCCAAGGCACTAGCCATCCAATAGCTCAAACCCAGTCTATGTATCCAAAAGAAATACGTTCAACCCTTGGCCCTGCCGTGCCCATCATAAACAGGTATTTCTTCCAATAGTGACCATCCCATTGCATTTCTTAGCCAAACTTCCAGTTTATTCATGTTATTTTTAAGTTCTTCTTAATCCCTTCTATTTACAACACCATATTTTCATATCCGAACTTCCTGTCTATTTTGTCATTTTATTATTTCTACATATTTAATCCCTGATTACATAAACAATTATTCGTTACATTAGTCATGATCCCACTAGATTTTTTATTCAAGCATCCTGTCTGATTTGTTATTTCTACATTTCAAACCCTCAATTGCACAATATGTCAATGTTCTCAGTAATTCTGGTGCTACTTTGTTTGAGTTTTATCCGCCCCCCTCCCCTTGTTTATTATGACATTTTAATTCCTAATTGTAATTTTATTAATTTGACCATTGACCGGAAATTATTCTGGAACTTTCCCACCCATTTATTATTAATACACGAATGTACAGCCTAGTTGACGGTGACTTCATCGAAAAGAAAATCTTCTTGGCTGCGACTGCCTTTTTAATAATTCTTCAGTGTATAGGAGGAGTTGAATAAGTATACAAGAGTTACGTAACAAAATGAATAATTTAATGAATGAGTTTTAATAATGGTGCACATAGAAACAAAGGAAAATGTGAAATTATGTAAGAGTTGTAACAAAAAATACACGAGTTCTTAGGGAACTAAAAAATAAACAAGCAAAATTCAAGTCAGTAGAATTCAACAAGTTTGTTCCCATGATGGCAGTAGTGGTTGAATAATTCTCTTTTGTATGCAGAGCTTCGACTGCTTCATCTGAATAGATGGAGCTTCAGCAATGCAAAGAAGACGAAAGCGCATTACTCTTGGCAAGTTATTCTTCACTTAATGTATTAATTAACATTGACAACTATTGTTGGTGTTAGATGATTGGAGACAATCGGAAGAAAACCTTGCCTGACCTAGGCTTCGTGCTAGTTGGCACTCACCAGTCAGCAAGGCGTGTCTGAGACCTTGAAGGAACTCATGTCCTTTCTGAGATGCTTACCCGCGTCACCCAGTGCTGCTACCTCCAGCCTCTAATGCTTCCAACCATCTAATACCAATGATTCACAGTGCACCGTGTTGGTGGGCCACCTAATGACATGGTGGCCACATTCCAAACTTGACTAACAGAATTCAGTCTGCATTAAAGTCAGGACTAGACACATTATACTAGTTACTGATTTATGTCCAATCAAAAATTAATAACTATGTTTTGTAACAATTCATCCCTTTTGTTACTACTCTCTTTCACGAAAAACTGTATATAAATGAGACTGTACATCTTATGAAAACGAATTCGCCGAAAAGAGCCACATCACTGAACCACTTCCTTCGTTATCATTATTATTATTATTTCATTGTTCACGTAACGGATTGAAGCGCTAAATTCAAATCTCAAGGGAACACTTCCTCACCTTCAAAGTTGTAGATACGTCAGAAAGCAAATGTAATGAAAAGGCATAAACAAACACTTACCATCATTATTTTTCAAGAATTCTGGTAAAAAGAAAAACTCTGGTATCAATTCTTTATTATCACATGGGTTGTCTAGAATAAAGCGCCAAGCATTTGGAATGGAATAGAATTGACGATCGGCAACATCGAATCTGTAAATGTAATTGTTTTAAGAAAAACAATCATTTATTAAAGACTAATTTGAATAAATTCTTTACCACGGACTGATTTCATTTAGAGAGTCATTTAAAAATAGCAGGGAGTACTAAACAGCTGTTTCGTCCCACTAGTTTGGGACTCTTCAGCATTACGCATCGACTAGCTACAGGACAAGGTTTCCTGAAGTTCTAGTGAGACCTTATGCCCAGTGGACTCACCAGGACAGGCGTGAGGACAACTATTCGCCACGAATAATGAGCATTCGGACTGGGTCCGTATGGCTGAATGGTCTGCGAATTCGTCTTATACCCGGGAGTTCCTGGGTTTGAACTTCGTGGAGTTTGTACGGCCGAAGAGCCCCAAACTAGGACGAAATGACCTTCCAGTACTCCCTGGCTTTCAATGCTTCTCTAACTGATATCAATTCGTGATCAAATTTGGAACAAATCAATTCCCTACAGACAAACTCATGAAATTTTTTTGTTATTTTCATTTGAGTACTGACAAAGATTTTAAAGGTGATATGTGATGGTGTAGTGTATATTACTGACAAGATTTATCAGTATTATATTGAGAGACGTTCATCTGCACACAAAAATATCAAATAGCGAAGAGATAGATTTCCCGCTTGAAGAGAGGAAATGAAACAGTTTATTACGGCAAAACATGGGAGACACGAAAAGAAGAGGACAAAGAAACACAACGGCAAGGACAGAGGTAGCAAATCAGGAAGATCTGTGCAAATGGCGATTTATTAGGACAGTTGGCCATTTCAAAAACCATTCCTTTATAATAAAGTAAGCACTGAAGAAGTTATCCAGAGGGATAACTGAACATTTACAATTATAATATCCAACTGAGAGAAGACGACAACACCAAAAGCATCCACCTGATCTACGGACATTCTCCATTATTTCAAAATGATTTGGTCACACATATATGCTCACCCATTACCAATGTTAGATGGTTGGAAACAATCAACAGAAAGCTCTGGACTTAGGTTTAGTGATTATTGACATACATTAGCAAGGCATAACTGTAACATTGGTGGAGGGACTGATGCCCCCTGGAAGATCCAGACCCACGTCATCCATGGCTATCGTCAGAAATGTGGGTTTGAATTTCACAGGAGACATCAGTTCCTTCAAGGTTGCATATAGACCTTGTTCGTGAGTGGTGAGAGGCACAAATGCTGGATCTAGGGCTTCCTGACGATTTAACCAAGGGCTGACATCAGTTACAGAACCAGTGGTATACCATGGAGTAGTGGAAAACCATTTCGTCCCCCTTCTATGGGACTCTTCATCAGTACACACCCGCTGGGATCTAAACCCAGAACCTTCCATCAGCAAGGTGAGCTCACAGACCATTCAGCCGCTGGGACCCAATCGAATGGTCATCCCATGAAAAGTGTAGTGTGATGACGGATGAGCCTTCTGGACTGGTGATCGCACTGCATTTATTCAGCACCAAGACTAAGGACTATAAACATGACATTGGTTACTGAGTAGCTATCAATCAATATAGATCGGTAATTTCATGATACTCGTTTTAATGCGTCAAATTCACGAATCTCCTCTTTTTTACAGTGTGGAGTCCTCAAACGAACATCATAATTATTATTATTGTTTCCTTTAATTCCTACAGGAACATAGGGCTTCAGCCGTGCGTCACCATCGCGTTCGGTTCACTGCTACAGTCTTTACCTGGCTCCAAGTCTGCCCACACGTTTTCATCTCCTCTTCACATGACGTCCTCCAAGTCACCCTTGGACGACCAACTCGCCGCTTCCCTTTCAGTTTCCATGCAAGGGCTTATCTAGTGATGTCACTTGATGGTTTCCCCAGAGTATGGCCAGTCCATCTCCATTTCTCCCTGCATATTTGTTTCACAATCGGTTCCTGCTTTGTTGGTTCGCTCATTGCCAGAGATCTCCGTTGCTGATCTTTTCTGGCCGGCCATCTGATCTTGAGTATTGAGCAAAGACAACTGTTAATGAAGGTCTGTAGTTTGTTTGAGATGCTCTTTATGACGCGCTACCCAAGTCTCTGATCCGTATAGAGTAGCACTGACTGACTTCACATTGGAGTTGAAAATCCGGATCTTATTTTTGATGTTGAGAGTTGTTGACGTCCACACAGACTTGAGAGTAGTGAAAGCTTGTCTTGCTCTTCTGGTTCTTGCTTTGATATCCTCGTCAGTTCCGCCTGTAGTTGAGATGATGCTTCCCAGGTAGGTGGGTAAAGGAGGTTGTTTCTTTCAGGTTCCTCCCATTTATGCTGATTTCTGTCTGTTGTTGTTGTTCTTGTCCAGGAATCTTCACCACCTCTGTTTTCTCTATGTTCACCTGAAGTCCTATCTTCCCTGGATGCTTCTTCTGCCAACTTGTTTCTTTTCGCTTGCATATCTTCCAGTTTGTGGGAAATCAGATATATATCATTGGCGAAGTCCAGATCCTCCAGGTGTTTTGTGAACATCACAATAATGCCTATTATTTCCATATTATTTGGGTAACATCATCCAATATTAAAATAAAGAAGGTATATTTCATTGTACTTAGGACTGAATAAATGGATTTATCTACATCCTAATAACTAGTAATGGATTCAGCAGTGAACTTTATCTTACAGGCATCCCTATCAAAAGCATAAGTGAACCACACTTGTTTCATTAATTTGGATTCCCATCAGAAAATAGAGCTCTAAGCTTGGGCTTTGAAATTTCAGTAGTGATGGTATGTCTTTAATGGGGGTTAGCCTCACACCCAACCTTTCGTCTTTACCCGAATTACCACCTAGGATAAGTAAGGTTTAGGAGTGTGTCACGACCGGGAATCGAACCCTTGACCACGTGAGTGATCGGGAAGAATTCTACTACTACTACTGTAACACAGAGACACGTGTGAAGTGTACATATTGGCAGGTGATGGTTGATGAAGGTAAAATGAATGTCTGGAATGTGGCCGACGACTTAAGCTGACAATCTTCAGAATAATAAGCAACTGACAGGCTAGATGAATCACAGTTTATCAGATTACAGGAAAATATACAATGGGACATTGACAGTTGTACTTACTTATTTCCATGTAAATGAATATGGTAGGTTGTAAATGGTTCCAGACGAACAAGATAGTGAAGTACACCAGCAGCACTGGAGTAATGTGTTCCATGATGAAATTTCTGCATAATTCCACTTGGATCTTCAAAAGAATTATATCTAATGAGAAGTAGAAACAGCAAACGGGTAGAAATTAACTTTAAATAAGCCATCGCTAATGTGAATAAATGGAAAAGATCTGACTCAGAACAGGACAATATAACAAGCGAACAATACTATTGTTTTCAGTTAGATCTTCTTCAGGCTTTATTCTAATTCACATAGCTTTATATATAAGAAAACATTTAACCAATGACGGTGAGTTTGTGGATCAAATAATAATAATAATGTGCTAAATGGTTTGAACGTCATGAATAACGATGATCATAATGATAACAAAATAATGATAATAAAGTTTGTGCAGGTGGCGATAAGAATAACGAAGGTAGTAATATGTGTATATGTAGACAATTCAGTTCAATAAATAAATTAGGTCAAATCTTAAAAGTTATGTAATACCAAAGGTGAAGTGGACAGATAATCAGAGTTTAAATAGATATCATAAAAGTATGAAGGAAATGGAAAACAATAAAGGGTGAGAGGGTTTTAATTGGAGTTTACCTAGGCCAAGGAAGAGACAAAGGTAGAACAAACTTCTTTTTTTGTATGCAAAGACACTAGGATTGTTCTCTCGAATTAATTCCCATAGCTTCGGCTATGTGTAAAATGCTGGTTCGAATTCCGTTCGAAAGGCTCGATGGAATGCGATAGATAACTTTGAAGGCACTACTTCTGTCCACCTGGTGACCGCTATCAATCAAATGGGTCAAAATAGAACTTCTTATAGGCTTTATTTGGCCTTTTCCGAACCATGAAGCAAGATGCTCATTAATGTTTTTGTTGAGCTGTCTAGTTTCTTGCTCTATGTAGCTTTCTCCACAGGAGCAGATAAATTTGTAGATGCACATAGAAATGGCAAAGCTAAGTAGCTTGTCTTTCGCTTGAGCAATCATAATTCGTCGGCAGCTTGAAAATAACAAACAAAGGGTGGTGGCAGTACAAGTCCATTTTATTGCTCTCGATAATTTTAGATATAGGAATTCACTAGTTACTTCCCTATTGAATTGCAATCAGTCAAGCTCCTAATTTGACTTAAATTCACGATCTTTTCCCAAAATTTCGTTGGATGTATGTTTACAGAGACTGTGTATCACAAACCAGTGTCTGTTGTTGAAATGCTTCAGATCTTTATATGACAAAAAACATCATTATCCGAACTAGACTTTTAAAGACAATCAATGAGAACTAAAGCAGTAAAGTTTCCACTCTGTCTGCAACCGCGACGACAACACGCATTACCCTTCACTTCACTATCCAGTGTGTCCGCTTATCTCAGTCTGACGTCATGAGGAATCACAAAAGATTACGTTTAGACTGATACTGATAACCCCACCAATGGAATCTAAAGATTACAAAACAGTAAACCATATATACGTCCAGAAATGGGAAAAATTCACTGTCTGAATATTGTTTAGCTGAATGGTACGATTATGAAACATGTAGAAATAATAAAGCTATAGACAATTAACTTCATGTTACAGTTAATACTGAATATGTTCTCTAGAAGGACAATGAAACCTTCACGATTAAACCAAACAACTCAGGCAATACAACCACACTAATACCCCTCAAACTGTGTATACTGTGGTATATGTGGATTTTCAGAGCAGCAAGAAACTCTAGGGACGCAGTAACCATGAGCCTACTGTCACCACATTCAGAAAGAAATGAAGATGGATAGGAAATACGCTGAGAAGACATTTGAATGACATCGCCCGCCTGGCCGGAGCTCAAGTGGGACGCGACTGAGAAATGACGAGTTAGGCGACCTAAGGTGACATGCGAGGAAATTATATGAGGGGGACAAGTATGAAAATTTCTGCATGCGATAACGGTAGCCCAAATTTAGCAGGCCAACCATAGATACCAGGTGTGCGTCGGCGGTGGATCGAACCTCGGACCGTGTGCTTGGTCGGCGAGAGTCCTAACTGCTGTGCCACCGATGCTAGTCACCGTCATCCAATTGACTTCAAGGTACAAGACCAAACATCGACGAAGCATTTGCACAAACAGCCGACGTGTCAACCTGAGACCCAGCGCTTCGGTTCAATTAACCTACGGAAAAATCAAATTTGAGTTAAATAATTAATATGACCCGTTGCACAAGAGGTGGATGTCGTGACCTAAGTGACCTGGTGTATAACGCTTTCCTGGCATTCGAAACTTTGGGCACTGAGTTCGAGCCTCGGTGGGAACACTATCACTCAATGAGGAATGCAGGTACATCCAGCTGACGAGTCCCAAATAGGACAAAATGCGCGTTATCCTGGATTCCACTGCTAGTCACCATCCACCAATTAAATACTAATTAAATGCTCAGACATCGTCGAAGCATCTGCTCAAGAAGCCGACATGTCAACCTGAGAAAGAGCACTTCGGTCCAATCAATCGACGGGAAAAATCTAAAATTCAATTAAATCAATATGACCCGTCGCACAAGAGGTGACTTTCGTGACCCAAGTGATCTAGTCTATAACGCTTTGACGTTCGAAACTCTGGGCACTGAGTTTGAGCCTCGTTGGGAACATCATCACTCACTGGGAACATCACTGGGTACATCTAGATGACGAGTCCCAAATAGGACGAAATGCGCGTTCTCCTGGATTCCACTGCTAGTCACCATCAACCAATTGACTTCAATCAACAGGAGCTCTAAAACAGTCTCAATAAATATCAATCTACACACATTAAGCAATAATAACTGACTAATTAAATTTAAAAACTCACTTGTCTCTGACTATATCGATGAATTTAGGATTTGCCAATCCTATTGGACGTGACAGAACACGAAATGTTTTCTCAGACGTTAGATCGATTTCAGATGATGTGTAATCAGCCAAAATCCAAGGGAACTACAATTTGAAATTAAGAAGAGCAATAATAAAAATCGTAAATACTAACTAGTAATAAAGTGTAGTATGAGTTTTCATTGAAGGTTGCTCAGACAGTCGTGGGTGCAGACTGATGGACCAGTAAGATTTATTCATTTTATCAACACTTTTTAAAGGATTAATTCATAGTGGATGTTTCATTCTGCTCAGTTCTCATCAACTGTCTATGCCTGCACCCCACTGAATAGTGATGTTCCTAGTAAATCTTGAAAACAATACTTAACACCTCACATGACAAGATATTCCTCACAGACTTCTGGCTTTGTAGAGTTTGTGATTCATTACAATGAAGATTTTGTCATGAAGGCCTGTCAGTCAGTGATTTATTGAAAGCCAGAGAGCGTAGTGCACCCAAAAACTCACCAGGAATTAAATTCAGGGTCTTCAGGTGACATGATCAGTGAGCAGTCCATTCAGTAACTAGCTTGTGATTCAGTGTTTCAAGCGTTCTAATTTCTGTCAATCCGTGTTATCGCCCTATAGACATCCAATATCATCAATGAACATCCTTTCCAGATTTGTTTGTTTATTAGATGTATCACACAGTGTGAAAAAGTATTATTTACTGGATGAAACAGTGTTGAACACAATTTATTGTTCATAATCATAGCATCCATTATAATCACATGACTTCCAAACTTGAGTTTTATAGTTTTCTTTATTCTCTCCTATTTGTCGTCGTATGGGTAGTAGAATTTTCCAGATATCTCGGACAGGTGTTGAATCATTTCTATTACATGTATTTGCAGTTGATTCGATAAACAAAGCTTCTGTTGTCAATCTCTCCATCCATCTAGCTGTTACATTAGATTTTAAAACTTTCATCCTGTCCCATCCACCCTATTTTATGGTTGTGTGTAAGTGCATGTAATGAGTGGTATAGCTGAACTATTCTCTAGATTTCTTATCTTATTCGGGTCAACTAATCTAGATTTTGCTGCTAGGTTTTTAAACTTGGCTAGTCTGACTGCACCTGTTCTACTACTTTGATCTATGAATTTGACCTGACAATCATTCCGGCAGGGTATTAGACAAACTATTAGATAAACATCCTTTCCCTAACAAAGTTAATCCCACCAAATACTTTAGTAAAAAGGAATTCTGCTGAGGTGACACTTCAGTAGGATTCAGCGCATGTACACAGAGGATACACGTGAATATTTAGGAAGTATACCGGAGGGAGCTGTGGTTGGAAATAATTACCTAGAGAAGTTCAGACCATCAAAGCCTATTCTCCAATAAGATATGTATCACACTGTCCTACATGGGTGACCATAATAGTGTGATACTTAGACAAAGATTGAATGGTGAAGTCAAAAAGACTTTTTGTGCACCTAAGGTCTGGACAACTGAGAACATGAAGCTTATATTATCTATCTAAGCCCTTAGAAAATGTGAAAATGTGATTAAAACGAAGACGTTTCCAAGAGGCTTTGGAATATTCTTTCTCGTCTTTTTAACTCTTCAAGAAAACTGATTCAGTTGTTCGCTAGACCTGAATATATAATTCCAGTTTCAGGGACTGATCTGTCAAAAAAGTGACGTTATTTTGCTTGATGGTAATCATCAGTGAAATAGAAGGTGCATATTTCGTCCCGCTCGGGACTCATCATCGCAGCAACTCTATAACATCTTACATCGGTCGGTCGGTTTTTGACATAGAACTTTGCACATATGTGCAGCAGTTCAAGTCGCCACACTCCATGTAGCACACAAAGAAAGAGAAGAAAGTAGGAGAAATGCATAATATAGACAGTAAACAGAGGTGTGTGACAAAGGAATAGTAATAACGCAGAACAAAACAGTTTAATTGGAAATCATAAGTCACAAGGAGTGGATGCATCTACGCCAGCCATTGAGAACGATTTTGAGCCATGTCACCAATTGTTTCCAACCATTGGCTTTTACCGTCCCGAGGACCCCAACCAGGAAGTCTACACCTTCCTAAGTGGCTTAAACTAACTGTTGTAGATTTCACTGACTGGTGCCATGTTTTCGTTTGACCGCCGCTAGCTCTTTTCCAGCCTGACCCTATATCAGCTAACATTCCTCGTTGTCGAGGAAAACGATAGCTACGCTAGCATACGTAACACACGTCCTAACCATCTCAGTCGATGTAATTTCACAGTCTCGTCTATTGATTTCCCCACCTTACCTAGCACTCGACAGATGCCTAACCTCAATATTGCTCACCTTATCATACCACTTCACACGGGAGATAGAACGCAGACACCTATGATCGAAGATAGCTAATCTTTTCATGTCTTCTGCTCTCAATGGCCAGGTCTCATAGCCATAAAGGAGGACGGAGCGGACTGTTGAGGAGTACGCACGCCCTTTGGTCGATAGTCGGATATCGCGTCTACTCCAGAGACGGCGTAAACTATAACATCTTACATAGAGGCTGCCTATTGAACAGAATAAATAATAACAGCCTTATTCAGAGCAGTGTTTATATAATGTACAGAATTTCCAGCGGAGTTGACTACACGATATTTTCTCTTCATCCAGGAGTTTCAAATAAAACATTAACTGACAGTAGATGGTGTAACACAGCGCTGCCTGACTCGCAGCACAAACCAATCCATTATGATGATATCCCTTCTTTATCTCCTTCCTAGAATGCACACTGTTTGATTGAAGGCCAACTATAAAACGTTCTGGAGTAGATTTTGAGAACCAAGAGGACAGAACTCAGGAAGAGTTACCTCATTTATTGCAATACGTTGCCGCCAACCCCCATGACTATTCTTTTTCCCAAGCTGAAAGGAAGCTCATGAACCAGCAGGTCGTAAGAGTGAATAATACTGCAAGAGGTAAACCAAGGGCGTTACTCAGGAACAGTTATCTCATGTACTGGGATAGGCTGCCATCCATTGAGGATAATGCTTTTTATCATGTTTAGTAAAAATTGATGAATCAGCAGGTTGCAGACGTTTTAAATACTCCTAAGAGTAAACAATACTAGTAGAGGTCATATTTGAATCGATTAAAACAAATTGAATTGTAGGCATCGTACGCAGTATATTGATAGAAAGAATTTTGGGAGCCAAAATTTTAAACATGGCGCCTGGTTCAATAGAATTCAAATCATACAGTAAAGGAAACCAACAGTAATTTTACTAAATCACTTACCACAGGATATTGACCAAGATCATTAAATGTTCTTCCAGCTATTGTATTCAAACGCATAAGATATTCAAAATTTGATATTTCTCTATTTATCCAACGCTAGAAAAGATAAGAACACAAGTGGAAAATGCTTACTAATCATTCAGTCATATATATGAGTGCGGTAGAAACACAGTCATTCGAAGTGAACATACTTTGTCTTCAAACAAAGCGCTTTTATTTAACAGTGCATACCAGCAAACACCAGATGATCATGTCTGACCACTAACCTGCCTTTGAATTGTAATACAATTTCTGTTTTTTATTATAGCTTGATTTCACACAGTATTTATGGTACAACTATGGAATTTTCAGCATGTGATATCGGTAGCCCTAATTTTGCAGGGTAACCATTGATATCAAGTGTGCGTCGGTAGAAGATCGAACCCCGGACCGTGTGCAAAGTCGGAGAGAATCCTAACCGCTGTTCCACCGACGCACAAAGGAGGCAGTCTCCAAGCGCCGACCGCGCTGTCACATGGCCACCATTCGCAGGTGCTGTCTATCTGTCTGTCTGTCTATCTTCAACATAGAACTTTGCACTGATGTGCAGCAGTTCAAGTCGCCACACTCCACGTAGCACACGAAGCAAGAGAAGAAAGTAGAAGAAATGCAAAAAGAGACAGTAGACAGGGAGATAATAATAATTTGCTTTATTCCAAAACAGTACTTCTGATACAGAATGGAATTCTCAGCATTTTTACTACAGTATTGCATGCAGTTAGTACATTACCAATAAATAGAATTCTACATAGGTAAATGATCCTGTTAGAATGAGACAAAATGAGATGAGACAAAAGGAATAGTAATAACGAAGAACAATATAGTTTCACTGAAAATTATTAGTCACAAGGAATGGATGCATCTGAGTCCTCCGACAGGTCATCCATGTCGGCGCCGTGCTTAATGTGGACGCCCGATCAGCATTAGCACCCATATGCTAGAACTCCGGGTCTTGCGAAATTCCACGACCTTACCTCCAAGTAGCTAGATTACAGGCGTACGCCACCACGCTACATTTATATTACTAGGGATCATGTTCCACATCGAATTCCGCAGCAATCTGTAGAACCATACTTTAGGATGGTGGCAATCTGCATGAGGCCCTGAAACTGCATTTCGTGCACCAACACTAAGAACCAAAGAAATGATACTGGTTAACCCCAGTAACCATTAAAGTCCTATAAGATACCGATTGACAAGGCGAATAGCCCAGCAGTAATACTTCTGATTGCAGCTTTAAGTAACGCGAGTTCAATCTTACAAGGGAAATCACTTCCCTCAAGGTTGTAGACTGAGAAGTGCCAAAGGGAAAATAGTCCTAAGATTAGAGCCTCCTACGGACTACTTTCAACCGTCTAACATTCATTCCAGAAGCACGTCACAATGGCAAGTCTTCTAGATTCGTGATCGACTACATTACAAACTGACTGATAGAATTTAGTCAACACTAAGACTAGGGAATAGACAAGTCAGACTGATTACTCTCCAGTGACTAATCAATATAATAGCCATATTTGGTTAGAAACTGGGAAATGTGTACACCTAGTACTGCATTTGAGCAGATTATCACCAAAGCAGTGTGATAGTAATAAAACTTTGTGTCTCACTAGTGAACACTTTTCGGCACTGAGTCTAGACACACGTTCCTGATCTATAATTGTGAATGAACCCTAGGAATTACTGTTGCCTTTAATTATTTTCACTTTCGATTTTGTCACAAACTGGCATCCGCTGGAGAATCCCTGAAAACTAAGTAGCCTTGGACGGTTGTTTCGTCCTAATTTGGGACTTTTCAGCAGCGCACGTGTATGACACCATAAAATATCGGAAGTTTTATTTATTTTTAAAATGATATGATGTTTTTCTCAGTCTAGAATCTATTCACAAATATAATGTTTTAGCCAGTAAAAGACTCCATTGGGTTGTAGGTATATTCAGGTGACTTTCGAAATTATCAGCCACCCTCCAGAAATGCGATATACATCTATTTATAATGAATAATGTTGTGTACTGTATAATTAAGCCTTTTAGATACATTTTGCATTCGATATGTATCAAACGACAAGGGGGATGAAATCAACAATCAGAGTTAAACCTAAATTGTTCTGTATTGATTGAATCTTTTTTTGGAGTACTGTAACAACAGAAGACAAGGGCCAGGCAACAGATCGTTTATTGAGAAAATCAACAGATATTTATAGATTTTTATGTACATTATTATTAGCGTTATTGTAAGCAGAGAAGCAACGTCTTCTGATTGGTTGTTTTCTTGCTCAGGGTTATTCTGTACTGCTTGTGACCGTTTCTTAGAAAGTTAAGCCATATATCTGCGAATCGTATTTGCACACGTTAAGTCTGCTGTGATTGGTTGGTGAGTTCCTCAAGGTTAAGCTTTGTTATTGTTCATTTTTCTCATGACCCCGATTCGGGACGTAACATTGACGTAAATTGCTGTCTACAATTTTTGGCTTGCACCTAGTTTTCACCACAGTTCTAGACCCCTGTTGACATTTTTACTCTAGTATAGAGGCTTCATTCATGCCTCTAGTTTCACTAAATGTTACTCGATTAATGATGGCTTATAGTGGAATTGAAGACAAACATTTCGTCCTCCTTCCGACCCACCAACTAGATTTGCATGTATTCGAAATGAATGATGGTTGTAGCCCCTAAAATCCTAACTCATTTCGAGTCCTAATCTGCTATCTAGTAGGCAATTGCAACATGGGAACTGAAATGCTGGGTCAGACGAACACTTCGCCTATGACTTGAGTTTGATTCCGTAAAACTCCACCAAAATTACCACAATTGAAGAAAATCATCATAACATGATTTCATATTATACCTAATTTCTGAGTTCTTAATTACTTTAAATTCAATTTTATAAACCACAAGGAGACAACAGAAGAAAAAATTACATAACAAGGGAACATAAATCGTAAATTAGAAGGGAAACAGAGGGAATATTCTTAACATGAAGTATGTTTAAGATTTCATTTTGCATGATTGACAGTTCATAGAAAGATAAATCTTGTCTGTTCCATAACTGTTTGCATTTCAACTCTCTCTCTCATCGCCACTCTACGCCTCTTTCTCTCTCTCCCTTGCCTCTTAGGATAAATATACCCTAGTAACATAATAAATAATGGTAACTGGAGAATTGAACGGTTAGATACACGACAGGATTCAGCCAATGCTCCTAACATCTTTCCATCATTATGTTACCTACCCTACCTACAAGATTTTATTACTCTCTCGTCATCTAATAATAAGTATAAGAAAATGAACCAGTACAAGTTAGTGACGTAAATCCAAACCAAACTCTGGAAGGCATAGAATATGACGCTACAGTAACCAAAAAGTTAAAATGCATGAAAGAAGTCAGAATAAACGCACACACACACACACACAAAGATACGGGGAATGGGAGTAAAAGTGGACAAGACGAAGAAATTTGGTGGGTTGAGGGGTTTGCGTGGGGGGGGGTTGTTGGCTAGTGGAGGGAAAGAAGCCCTTAATGGCAGAACACTGTAACAGTCAGTCACCTGCTGTTTTTCTTTTACAATCTGTTTATAGTGAAATAATTTAAACAAAATTTCGTCGTCGTCTGTTATATAATGTTAACTTTAAAAAAATTAAAAACATACTTTACAACTAACTGATTACATATATATGATAAAAAGACAGTGTTATGTTTATTTTATTTGCCAAGAGGTTGGGAGGCCGTGAAGAGGTGTAGGTGGGTGGGAATAAACACTTGAAATACACTACATCTGCTTTTAGAATCACTGACAGTCACACTTACCAGATGTTGATTCCTTTTTTTGAAAATAATAGAGAAGGTTTCTATTTTGGTGTGGTTGTGTTCTCTGAGCTGGATGGTTTGGTTGCGCATACTTCGATGTGAAGTATGCGCAACCAAACCATCCAGCTCAGAGAACACAACCACACCAAAATCATCCACCTGAGCTACAAATCTTCTCTATTATATTTAGATGGTTTCTATCTCAGGTGAATGGTTTTCATATTTTTGTGCTATCTGAGGTAGAGAGTCAAAGATGTAAGTCGTGATATCTCTATATGGCTAAATTATATATGTATAACTCTCCATTTCACGGAACAGCGAAGTGGTTAGTGAAGATTTTGGGTCCTTTGCACAGAGAAGTCATGCAACATAGAATTAGTGATGTCTTCGATTTTATTTCTAAAATATCCGAGACTAATGTGAAGTATAAACGCATGTTATCCATGGATGTATCATCACTATTCACTAATGTACCACTAATCGAAACAGTAGATTATATCTGTCAAGAAATCGTCGAAAAGCAATTAGACTTAGGAATCCCCTTGTGTAGCCTCAAAGAATTACTTCTTAAATGCACAATGAATGTTCACTTTGTCTTCAATAATTCATACTATCGACAAGTAGATGGAATAGCTATGGGTTCACCATTAGGCCCAATATTAGCTGACTTCTTTCTCGCAAAACTTGAAAACGGGAAATTAAAGGACATCATCAAAGAGTTTGGTATGTATTACCGATATGTCGATGATACATTTATCTTAGCTGATGATAATGTTAACATAGATGAATTGTTGCTGAAATTCAATAACATCCACCCTTCGCTTACCTTTACTTGTGAAGAGGAGCAGGAGAATGAACTACATTTCCTGGATGTCTTGCTAAGTAGGAGAGAAGATGGGTCAATTGGGAGAGGCGTGTATAGAAAAAGCACTTTCACAGGGCAGTACACACACTTCCTTAGTTACGTGCCCATTAAATATAAAAGGAATGTTGTAAAATGTCTTGCGAGTAGAGCAAGAAAGATATGTACGGATGACCTCTTACAAAAGGAATTTGAATATATTCACGATTCCTTGACGGAGATGGGCTATCCGAGTAGCTTCATAAAGAAACATATGAAAACATCGGAGAAAAAACCAGAGACTCTGACTGTACGTAAGAAACCTCTATTTATTAAGTTACAATTTAATGGTGACTTATCAAGTGAGATTCTATTCCAAAGACTTTCAAGGAGTATACGAAGAACATTTTATGCAGCACACCTATGTTTCTCATTCTCTAGCCGACGAATGATTGGGAGGCAAACGAAGGATAAGCTTAATAGTTTTGCCACATCTATGTGCATTTATCATTTCAACTGCACCTGCGGTGACAGTTGGGCGTACTACTAGACAGCTTAGCCAACGTGTTAGTGAACATCTCCCATCGTGGTTTGGCAAAGGAGAGACTAAAACAGTTCGTAGCTCAATTTTGTCACACTTAGTTGATAGTGGTCATGTAATCGAGAAAACGAGAGCCTTCAAAGTAATTCATCGTATCCCACCAAATCTTTCCAATAGACTTCGTATTCGTCTACTACACACAGCTGAGGCGATAGGCATTCGAACTATTAAACCTAAACTATGTATTCATAAAAAGTTCGTACAGCCATTATCCCTCCTTTGGCCTATTAAGACATAACCAACTAATGACTTCTACACCACCCTTTGTTTATATTGCCAACCTCTTTCTTATCATTCCTTAATCTTATCACATCTTCATTATAAACGTGTTTCATTTCCTTCCCTTACAATCTAACATTACTTAATCGGTTCATATGTTTTTACTAGCCTTTATCGACTACTTTCACCTGAACAGTTGTTTGTTTAATCATGCTGTTTTTCCATTATTTATGTAATCACAGATTGCCTCACTTTTTCATCCTTATTATTGATAAGACCATTTTTATTATTACTATTACTATTATTATTATTATTATCATTACTACTATTATGACTAATTGCACAATTCATATTCCCCATCTTATTACCCTATAAACAATACACCATGATTGGCTTATATTTGAATTTTTATTTGTAAACTTATGTATATTAGAGTTAAGCCTGATGAGATCTAATTGAAAACAATATTGTTCGCTTAAATGTGTTGTTCTGAATTTCACTATGGGAATATTTAATATATTTAAATTATATACACCTTATCTTCAACGCATCATTTGCACAGATCTTCCGTGTTGTACTACTTCTCGCCTTCATATTGCGTGTATTTTTTTTCTCGTGTGTCCCTTTCACGTCTCCCGTGTTTCTCCACAACGCTGAATCATTTACTTTCTCTGAGGTCAAATTTATCTCCCTATTATTTAATGTTTTTATGCCGATGAACGTCTGTTTATATACTACTGATAAATCTTGTCAGTAGTGCAAGCTAGACTCAATTTATATCACCACATCTATTAACTGAAAATTGATGTGAGTACCAGGCTTCTACAAATTATCTGGAATTATTTTGATGTGGTTGTGTTCTCTGAGCTGGATAGTTAATTTGCGAAGCTTTCATCGCCCTACTAGGCAACATCTTCAGCGCATACTTCAATTTGAAGTGAGCTTTTAGATTTCTCCACGAGTTATTAATAATCTCTCCCGGTGGATGACCTTGGACGTGATTAGTTGTTTTTGTGTGTTTTCACACCTTCTAGGTTACTTGTATTGGAATTGATTGTTTCTTTGACTTGAACTTTGACCCTTTGTGTGTGAGGTTTCTTTCTTATCGGTTGATAAATTTTGTCTATCTCGATGTGTCTATTGATTGACGATTCACTGGAATACCAGTCTGGCTTCTAAAAATTCTATAGCATTCTTGTGTTGTTTCATCTGTCTGATATTTGAACATTGGTTGTCCCAGTCGAACTGATGTCCGTGGTTGTCTGTATGTAGTGATATGAGGGAGCAGATGTCATGTCTTTTGACGGTTAGCTTATGATCGTGGATACGAAGATGAAGGGGACGTCCACTTATTATTATTTTTTTATTTTTGATTACAGCTTGATGCCACACCGTATTTACAGTACAAGTTTGGAATTTTCAGCATGGATATCGGTAACCCAAATTTTACAGGCCGACCATGGATATCGGGTGTGCGTCGACAGGAGATCGAACCCCGGACCATATGCATGGTCGGCGAGAGTCCTAACCACTGTGCTACCAACGCACTTTGGCCAATGTAGTGTTTTTCGCAGTTGTTACAATTTATTTTGTAGATGATGTTGGTCTTATCTTCTTTCGTTGTTTAGTCTTCGGTTGACATAGAGCCAGCCGAGTGAAGTCATTTTATTGGTTTGTGCGCGACGTCAATTCCTAAAGGTTTGACGGGTCTTGCAGTGATTTCAGAATTCACAATGTTCAAATATTAGACAGAGGAAACAACACCAAGAATGCTAGAGAATTTTTAGAAGCCAGACTGGTATTCCAGTGAATCGTCAATCAATAGACACATCGAGATAGACAAAATTTACCAACCGATAAGAAAGAAATCTCACACACAAAGGGTCAAAGTTCAAGTCAAAGAAACAATCAATTCCAATACAAGTAACCTAGAAGGTGTGAAAACACACAAAAACAACTAATCACGCCCAAGGTCACCAGGAGAGATGATTAATAAACTCGTGGAGAAATCTGAAAGTTCACTTCAACACATTGAAGTATGCGCTGAAGATGTCGCCTAGTGAGGGAATGAAAGCTTCGCAAATTAACTATCCAGCTCAGAGAACACAACCACATCAAAATCATCCACCTGAGCTAAAAATCTTCTCCATCATATCTATCTGGACTTAATTTGATGAACAGTGACTAGATGTGGGATCCAAGATGCACCACATTTCGTCCCACTTGGGACTCATCACCTGGATGTACTTGCATTTCCAGTGAGTGATGGTGGCGTCCCCACTGAGGCTCAACCCCATTGCCTATCGTTTTAAATGCCAAAGCTTTATCCACTAGACCATTTGGGCCACGAGAGCCACTCTTTGTGCAAAGGGAGTCAGATATTCTTTGCTTTTAATTCAATTTTGATTTCCTCATTGACTGACGGGACTGAAATGTTTGGCCTCATAGTGCGGATGCTTCGAAGATGCTTGATTACTTCAAGTTAAGCATCAGACGTCGTCAAAGCATCTGTAAAACTGAATTAAAAATTATCTGGAATTCTTTGTGTTCCCTTTATTCAAGATGTTTATATTATTCAAGTTGAACTGATGTCTGCAGTTCTTCATGTGAAGTAATATGAATACATATTATCCGGTTAATGTTCAGAGAAGGGAAGACGAAGCGAACCTCCACTGTTAATCAAGTCAGTTGGTCAGTCTATAACCTGACATAAAACACTAACGATTTCAAAAACTGCTGTTGACCAAATGTTCAGATACAGTTTGAGTGAATTACATGTAATTCCTTGTTCAACAACTTCATAAAAAGCCTGTTCACCTGCTGAAAAGCTGATTATTGTTGATAAGGATTCTTTGCAGTCTGAGTGGAACACATAGGCTTCAGTGGGACGTCTCCACCGAGTTCTCTACTCTGCTATCCCTTTCAACTGTTTATACAAATGCACACAAGCTTTCATCTCCTCTTCACTTGGTCTTCTCCATGTCATTCCAGGAATCCCAATTCATTGCTTTCCACTCATCTTCTACTTGAGAGCCTGCCTGGCGTATTATCTCATCCAATGGTGTCCTCAGCGTATACCCAATCCCTCTCCATTTTTCTTCTGCATATTTGTTGGGCAATAGATTTTTGGTTGGTTCGCTACCAGAGTTCCATTGGTATTCTTTTGTCATCCGCTATCTGATCCTCAGTATCGACTGAGGGCAGCTGTTTACAGTTTGCTGGAAACACGTTTACCGTACGCCCACATTCTTTAAGCCATTAGCGATGAAAATTAGGATGTTGTTGTAGGTTTCCATGCCAATTTCGCGGCAATGAACACCTGCCTTGCTTTACAAATCCTCCTTCATGCGGCCTGTAGTTGAAACAGTGTGTTGCTGAGGTAAATCAGCCAGCAAAACTGAAGAAGTCGAGTAAGATGAGAGTCAAAGTTAAACTATAGCGTCCCAATAAATGCGATCATACGAGCGACCTTTAGCCGACCAACCATAAAAATAAACGATTTTTGCACAAAATTGACGTTTATTTACAAGAAAATGCAGGCAAACACAGTAAACAAGACATTTCTCTCTGAAACGACCTGAAAATAGCTGGTAATTATAACGTGGAGTATCAGTTTGTAAATTAGACCAGTTTCTGTACACGTATTCACCTAGGTGAGCTTTCTTGTGACCCGTTCATCGCTCTTATTCTGCTTTGCAGTCTTCCCCAAAAGCCCCCAGTTGGATTACTATGGTTTCCAGTAAGAGGATCGACGACTACTTACCAGGAAAATGTGGATAATAAAACAAATTAAAATAAATGATATCAACTCCAAACCTATCCCTAATCCTAACCCTCACGAGCTTGTCCAGACAGTACTTAAAAACATGATCTGGGTGAAATTTGCTCCTTAGTTGGTGAATAGCGTTCATATTTGCGCTATGACAACGGCAGGTGTCCTTATCCAACGATTAGGATGCGTTCAAGTTCATTGGAGCGTTTATACCCCTTGGACCCCATAGTTTAACTTCGTAAGGTTAAACATATATCATTCAAATTAAACTGGCACCTTTCATAACAGTTACTGCTTACCAAAACAGGATTTAGCTAACTTGACTAAAACAGGATTACAGATAGGTGATGAAAGTTATGCGGAAAAAACCGAGATCCAGCTTGGTGGGAAGACAGACTTCGAGATGATCCTTAAAGATCATTCATTTCACAAAAAGATAAAATACCAAAATAACAAGAATTTAACTAGGTCAAGAAGTAAAAATAAGCAAATAAACTGTGTTACTTACCTCTGTGAGTCCAGATAGCTTCAACACTTCTCTAGGATTACGACCTTCACTGTAAATTAACCGAGGTAATCGTAAACTCATAATAACCGAATAGAATTTATTACGAATCTATAAGAAAGAAACAAATGAGCAGTAAGCATTGAATGAAGTCGAAAAATATAATTACGAAACATGATCTTCTCAAGGAAATTTTTTATCTGAATAAGGGTTAAAAAGAGAATAAATACAAACCAACCTACAGTTCAATGGAGACCGATCTACAGAAATACTGAGAAATCGGCTCTCCCACTCACTGAAGAAAACCTTCTCTGCAGCTGAATTACGACTGACGTTCTCGACGAGAACAATGATTTGCATTAACGTGAAGGATAAGCTACCGCTGTTGGCCTCATCTATGTGCATCTACCAATTCACCTGCTCGTGTGGAGCCAGGTATATCGGCCGTACTCAGCGTTCGCTATCCAAACGCGTCAACGAACATTTACCTTCATAGTTTTATAAAGGAGAAAACCGATGCCCCCGCAGCTCGATCCTTGAACATTTGATCGATTCAGGACACCAAGTCAAACCAGAAATAAACTTCAAAGTTATCTACAGAATACAAGACAATCTTGCTAAAAGTGTACGGATCAAACTTCTCCACATCGCAGAAGCAATGGCAATTCATCTGCTAAATCCTGAACTCTGCATACAAAAGAAATTCGTTCATTCATTAAATCTACAATGGACGTAATCTTTCTTAATTTCAGTCTTACTAATTGTATTATTTTGTCTTTTGCATTTTATTATTTCACATCTTCATTTGTATTATTCTCTACCCCACCCTTTTGTAATCTCTACCCTCATTAACAATGTTGCTAACTCGACCCACGTCCAATTTCTAGTCAACTATATTACGTCATCCGATTAACTTACTTAATTTTCAACTGTATTATTCTCTACCCCCACCCTTATTTAATTTTAACCACCACTCATTAACACTGTTGCCAACCTGACCTACTCTGAATTCTACTCAATTGTATTACGTCATCCAATTCACTTAATCAATTTTATTTTATTTTCTATCTAATTAACGTTTGTTTCCAAGCCAAATAATACTTATATTACGTAATTATCTAAACTTTATAAATCTAATGTACACACACACAAACAAAATTGTATATAAATGCGATTGTACAGCTCAGTGAATGAATTCGCCGAAAAGAGTCTCTTCGCTGAACGCCTTCTTTTCTTTTATAAAACCAACCAATTATTTCCACCTGGTTTTCAACAGTTTTCCTAATATACGAAGCTGACTATGCTTCTCGAGAACAGACACATGTTTCAAAGCAACGATGTGATGAATTAATCCGGTGAGGAAATGTTAATTACTAAGGACCCTCAACCACAGAGTTAGAGCTATATGCTCACAAGAGGTAATTGAAGATGAACTAAGGATTGTATGTGACACCCTAATTGAAAACAGCTATCCAGAAAAGTTCATCAAGAAACACATGACCAATAGTGAGGAAAAGGACTATTCTCCATTTGTAAATAAGAAGCCTTTATAGGGATATACGAATGCAATTCAAGGGTGATGCACTAAGGGAAATAATTATTAACAAGTTAAGAAAATCTATTCAAAGAACTTTTAATGCTGGAAAACTATAAGTCATATTTTTTACACGACCGGTTGTGATTCCTCGATTGAAAGATGAAGCACCTAAACTAGCCACTTCTATTGTATCTACCAATTCAACTACGCTTTTGGTCGGGCGAGTTATATTGGCTGTTGCTCTAGGAACTTGATTTTTCGTGCTCCCTCGGGAACATCTACCTATGTAGTTAAATAAAGGTGTAGTAAAAACCATGAACAGTTCGATATTAGACCGATTGGTCCAAACCGACCACAAAGCCAGCATTGAAAAATCCTTCTCTATTATCTACCGGGTAATAAATAATTTACCAAAAGCATCCAGGTGCCGAAAGTGGAGACGTGCAGTTGAAGCCCTATGTTCCACTAGAAAACCAAGGGAACAATAATAATAATACAGTAATAATCCAGGTGCCGTACACTACGAACAGAAAAAGCTCTCGCGATTCGCCTAAAACAGCTGGTGCTCTGTGTGCAGAAGAAGCAAGTCTAGCCACAACTATTGACCTCGCCTTCAGTGGAGACTATAAATTCATGAATTTGTATTATTATCTTTGCTAATTTTTCTGATATTCAGTTTATTGTTATGTTGATGGCATCGAACTGTAATCCATTGATATTATTATTGATTCGATGTTATTTAACCCACAATAATGTTCTTAAATATCATTAATTCATTAAAATTTAAAACAATTAGTTCCCTTTATGAATTTAGATAAAGCATTAAGGAGACGTAATTTGTCTGAATCGTGTAATGCCGTGTTTGAGCAACACATTTCGAGCAATCTGATCACACACGGACTTGTCATAGGAATATATACGATGAAATTAATAAAGAGGTAAGAGGTGAGAAAATAGACAAGTTAGGTCAAGGTAAAAAGGAGGACATATTGATGGTCAAAATAACAATAAAGACCAATAAACCAAATAGCAGAAGTAATAGTACATCTCCTATGGTATCAAAACAAAATTTACCAAGGAAGGTTGTTTAATGTGATGACGAATTGTTGCTTTGAACGCATAAAGGTGGTTTAAACTTTCTAAACGCCAGCTAGGACTTCCACAAACTTTAGGATACTCCACCCCCAAACACGTTTTATAGATAGGTTTAAAAGATCTATTAACATCAATTTTATATCCTGTCTCTATAATATGTTTAGCAATAGAGGAGCTAGGTCTCCTGTTCTCACTATTAATGGGTTGTGAAGATTCCATTTGTTTCTGGAGCCATTTAGGAATATGCTCTGAAGCCCTTAATATAATGTTATATAACTGAGAACTGATGATGAAGTTACCGAAAAGAATATTCTCTGTTCAGTAACCACTATTCGGAAGAGGATAATAGTTCCAATTACAGTAGAAATCTCTCAGTAACACCTGAAACGATTACTGGATATTATAAGTGTCACACAGCCATAGTGGCTTAGCGGGTATCTCTTCGGTGTTTGCAGTTATGGGAACGGTGTTCGTCGGTGATTTATTGATAGAATACCTGTCAGCCACACAAGTGATGCAGCGGTTCGATCCCCGGCAGATGAACACCCAAATTCCACCTAACCAGCAGTAAGCCTGGAAAAGACAGTACATTGAGGCTAATAACCTCACTTGGTAAAAATATGACCCCTACTGAAACTTCAGTGCTCCACTAGGAACGTAGAGTGAATGAAATAACAAGCATTACAAGGAGATCCCTTAGAGTAACACACATGTTGATGCCTACAATGACGAGATTAATCTTCACTATTTCAAAATATTTTGATGATTTGAATGGTATTCTAAACTGCGTTTTGTTTGCGATCCTTAAGAAATTGACGGTACTAAACAAACAACCGTATATAACTGCGACTGTAAAGCTAAGTAAACAGAATGGCTGAAAATAGTTTTTTTTTACTGAACTAAATGAATATTTCAGGATTCCATCATGAACTGACATCGGTTAGAGAACCATCGGAAAACCTGGGAGTACTGGACAGCTGACTCGTTTATGACTTTTTAGCAGTACGCACCCACCACCAGGGTTTTAGGTCTGGACCCTCCGGTTACAAGACGAACTAGCTCGTAGACCATTATGTCACTGAGACCCAATGCAGTGGCCAACGCATGAATTTCGACTTCTGCCAATTCACTATATGACGCCACCACTAGGGAATGTCATCCATGGCGAGTACTTGTCCTCTTCCCGACTGACTTGCTGTACCCCACTGGTCATGACTTCCCACTAGAACCCAGGTAACTACCTACCTGAATAGGGCAAGTCACTAGTCAGCATCAGGTTGATATTCAAGTTTTGGTTTGCAAGGATTTGATTGGTTTCAGGATTTCATCATGAACTGACATCGGTTAGAGGACCATTATGCTTTTGCATACCACCTTCATTATTTTTATCGTCACCTGTGTCAGCTGCTTGTAATTTCGTTATGATTGTGCTCATTATCATTATTATCGCCTTTATTATTATTATTATTGACGACATTTTTGTTTATCATTATTCCCATGGGTTCCTAGTGAATAATAAGGCTTCAAAAGCTTGTCCATAAGCTTCCATCTTCTCACCACACGATCTCCCCAATGTCACGCTCGGAACCCCCAGCTCGTCATCTCCCCTCTACACTCCAGCGATGTCCTAGCTTGCGATTTCGCCCAGTGGTCTCCTCAACGTGTGTCCGGCCCATCTCTACTTTCTTCAGGTTCTTGATTGGTTCGTTCCCTGAGTTTCTTGTTGCTGATTCCTTCTGGCTGGCTATCTGATCTTCACTATGGAACCAGCGAAGGCAGGTGTGTTGATAAAAGTCTGCAGTGACCTGTTGGAAATGCTTTCTGTGACGTGCCAGCAAATTTTCTGCCCCATATAGAAGAAGTGACTTAACACTGCACTTGAAAATCTGAATTCCCTTCTTTATGCTGAGTGCAAAAGATTTCCAAACTGATTTCAGGGTGATGAAGGTTTTCCTTTCCTTTGCGATTCTAGTTTTGACACCCTCATCCTTAGTGTAGCCAGTATTTGAAACGATGCTTCCTAGCTAAGTTAGGGAAGTAACCTCTTTCTAATTTCTCTCGTTGATAGTGATTGCTGCTGGTTGTTGTTGCTGTTGTTGGTGGTTGGTTGGTTATCTTCATCACCTCCATCTTCTCTATGTTCACTGTCTTCGCTGGCTGTCTCTTCTGCCAGTTTGTTGGTTTTCGCCTGTAAGTCTTCGAGTTTGAGTGACATTAGACATAAATCATCTCCGAAATCCAGATCTTCTTGTTTAACATGAATTTGCAGTCGCAGTCAAGTCGCACACCTTTATTATAACTGCCTCGAGGAGCATGACTAGCATACGTAACAATGTTTCATGATGAGAGTCTTCTTATCACTGCAACGTATTCCTGTCTTCTCGCTTCTCACCATCTTCCGCATAATCCAGTCCACCACAGTTAGGAATATCATCGGTGGTAATAGGGAGCAGCCTTGTCTTTTACTCCTGTCACCACTTCAAAGGTCTCTCTGAGTTTTCCATTGTGGATCACTTGATATGTGGCATCGTTATATAGTCAGCTGTTGAAGGAGGTTGATAGGACACATTTACAACATTTAACACCTAATCTTGATCGAAAAAAATTCACCGTTATTGGTTAAAATTTTATGAGACACAATTAGCTTACTTTAGTTTCAAAATTGAAAAAGTAATTAGAATTATTCTCAAGGAATATCTCAATAGCTGAACGACGTAGATTATATCGACGTAAATGTATTTCACGTATTTTTGACAGTGACCATGTGTATCGAATACAGAAGACATCAGTGGCTAAGAAACAAAATAAATAAATAATTAATAAGGAACAAAGGAAAATATATGACACAGGAGAGTGAAGATTATATTGATTGATCACTTGTGAGAGGTCACCAGTATCACGTGTCTGGTTCTTAGTCTTGGCGCTTCTTCTAATGTGGTCGCCAACTTTGGAGACTCGCCATCACGGTGAATTTTTTTCAACTAATGTTAGATAGCTTTCGTCGTTACCGGTGTGGCGTGTACTACTGATAAACCCAATCAGTAGTATAGAAAGAGATGCTAACCTGCATAAAAACATCAAATAACAGGGAGATAGATTCGTCAGCTCCACCGCCAACGCTAGCGGGTCTCCGCCCAGCTCCAGACTAGCGGCACGGCACTGCTGCATCTCCAGATGACTGTTCGTCGGGCTGTCGAACTCTGCCATCAATCGTTCAACCAACACCTTCTAGGTCACCTTCTCACCTAACCGCTCCACACTGTCATACGCCGCCTTTCCCCGACCTCTCAGCAGCGTCCTCAGCATAACCACCTTCGCCACCAGATCACTGACGCCCACCAACTCAGCGACGGCCTAAAACTCCACCAAGAAGCTCCGTAAGTCTCCTACCTCGAAAGCAGCTGGCCATGGGATCTTCATTGCAACGGTAGAAGACGAAAGACGCGATGAGAAGGTTTATTCGCAATTTGGTGTCTCTATATAGCGAAATTATGCACACCTTATCTTCAACGCACTATTTGCACAAATCTTCTGTGTCGCACTGCCTCTGTCCATTATGTTGTGTTTCTTTGTGTTCCTTTCACGTCTCCATGTATCTCCGAAACGCTGAATCATTTACTTTCTCTGATATCAAGTCTATTTCTTTGCTATTTGGTGTTTTATGCATATGAGCATCTCTTTATATACTACCGATAAATCCTATAAGTAGCACACGCCACACCGGCACCCATCAGCAAGACGTATCTATAACTTTCGAAGAACTGAAGTCCCTCTGCTTCGAGATTCAAACCTAATCCTGCAGTTTGGTACATTACTACCAAGTTATTTTGCCCGACGATTGAGTTCTTGTAAGACAGAAAGGTCCTAGGTTCTATAAAGGGTAGGTTGATAGCTAGCCGGTTAAATGTCTTCTGATATATTACAACAAATAATCACACCCTCAATAGGAGCAAAACTTTTTATCTTAATGTATACAGTTAGTCAAAATTCTTTTTACAATCTACTAGATAATGCGTCTGTAATCTATTGATCTGGTGGGTAACGGTTTTCGGAGTATGAAGTTCAGAAGGAGAATGTTTACCAGCCATGCGAGTGGTCCAGATTCCATTCTCGGCTAATGCCCTTCCAAGCCTTACCTTGTCCACTAGCTGATAGTTAGCACCTAAAAGAGGGAAGATGTGGCATGAAGTCAGCGCCCCTCCCCCAACCCTGTAAAAATCAACGCCGTCACTACCGAAAAACTTCAAAGCTTAAACCATGAAGCTCTATATCCTCCCCCCTCCCTCGAAACGTAAAAGGGCAAAATTGAACTGAGAATTATAATTTCTGCAGACAATATTCATTCTGACATGATTTACTGCAGTGAAGGAATAGTAAAGTGTCTCAATGGATGAATAATCAACGAGCTCACTTTGTAACCTGTAAGTCATAGGTTCGACCCTCAATTGGGTCTTGGATACGCTCTGTTGAAGAAAGAAGCAACTGTCAAGTACACCCTGGTTTCCAATGGTTCCCTAAATGGTCAAACTGGGAACGGAGGCGAATCAACTACATATATAAATGTATATATAACTTAAGCAATAATTGGACTTACAATTAAGTGATTTCGTTTCATTCTCATTGACTTTTTGATGAACAATTTTATATCCAGATGGAATAAACAAATGAGTACTAATCGGTTCAAGATAATTTCTACTACTATTATTATTATTATTACTACTATTTTTGTTATTAGTAGTATCACTGCTATCAAGTGATAACATTAAACTGTCAATTGATGCTTCAAATATTATCCGACTTTGTGTTAAAGTCAATATCCCTTGGATCACTTTGATCGCTGTAACTAGTTGAGCATTAACACTTAACAGGATCCCTTTGCCTTTCTGTGTTTGTGGAGATTGTTTCTGTAGCTCAGTGGATATTTGTGGTGTTGAATTCGATGTGGCATTATTATTTTCACTGGCTTTAGTCTTAGCCGATGGTACAGTACTCTTTGATAATTTAGATTTGTCAGTATTATCATTATCATTGGCAGTATTAATGTCTGGTGTCGCTTGTTTCAATTCGTCAGAAGTATTTGAACCTCTTCTTTGAGAGTATCTATCAGAATTGGTCACGTCAATAGTCCTGAAGAAATAAAGAAGAGAATAACAGATATTAATATAAACTGGTAATGCAGATTATGGATAAGATTTTATTTTGATAAATCACACAGTCTTACACAGTAATATTAACTGATGACCACGTTTCGAGCACAAACTATTGCCACTCATAATCATATCAAGTCACTACTCACACAACTTTTTCCTTCATTTATATACATGTGTCGAAGCAGTTAAAAAAGAACTAACTGCAGATCCTGAACTCACTCATAGTGTGGTGAGAGCTGGCTGCTAGCCAAAGTTGGTAGACAGTAATTGACGTCAATGTTTATGTCCCCAATATTGGTGGTGAGAAAATGAGAACAAAGGCTTTGCGTAGGCGGATACAGTTAGCATATGGATGATCTGACACAGCCACAAAGAGATGCAAGGTTAACTTTCTGTGAGAAACAACCAATCAAAAGACTGTATTTTCTACGAACAATAATCTACAATAATGTACATTAAAATCTATAAATATGTGTTGATTTTCCTTAATAAACGATCTGTTGCCTGACCCTTGTCTTCTGTTGTTACAATAGGACAAAGCTGCCCACTGGAAATTATTTTAGGAATTCAGTTATGCCTCACATCTACTGTCTTTAAATTCCAAGACAAGATATATAGACAAACAGAGGTGCGTCGGTGGCCGGGGATCGAACCCCGAACCTCATGCATGGTCGGCGAGCATTCTACCGGTGTGCCACCAACACAATATATATATATATATAATAGGTTTTATTGCTGACGTTCTCAACGTCCATTCAGAATTGAGTTCCAAATCATGAAGTACACCTCATTAGCACACATATGAATCCTCACACATACTAAGAACGACAACTTATTTTCTATGTGATTGATATTTGCATGAACGATTATAGAATTCTGTAGTCCAACCTTTACACACTACATATAATATTTGGTCAATGACTGGACTTCAGCTAAAATCATGAAAGATCCATATTTATTTCCAGCCATCTTCTATAAAAGGATGTATCTTTGATAAATTGTACGCTGTATGACTGTTTACTCCTGGTCCACCGAAGTTGTACCACAGAATGATACTGCATGCTGTTCTGATCTCGCAAGAGGCTGGGATGAGTGTATTTCATTTCTCTTGAACACCACTACTGTACAGTTGTCCAGTCAGTGGGTGGATCACTGTGTGAATAGTCCTTCATTGGTTCATCGGTAGTGATATTCGTCAACTAGGCATCTGCTCTGGGATTCGATACACCGCCGACACGTTTCTAAACCTCACTTAGCGGGTAGCAGTCTCGATAAAGAGGGAAGATTGAGCATGAAGCTGGAGACACTAACCAGCAAGAAATAAACACCACTGCTACGGAAACTTCAAAGATGAAGCTCTTATGTTCCATTAGGATCGCGAAAGAATGAGTGAATAGTTTCCATAAAGCATACAGCATTCAAATTAAATTAAATTGCTTTATAAATTTCTGTTTAAAAAAAGAGAAAAGAATCAACTTACGGAGTTTTTAAAGATAAATCCGGTATTAATGTCCCACGTCTACTTTCATCTAGACAAAATACTGGCGATGCTTCTTTTTGCATTTCATCATACTGCACAGAAGATTCTTCTTGATCATCACCTTCTTCAAGAGAGGATTGATTTGACAAAGGTGGACGTTTGATAAAACGTTTCATCAGACGAATACTACTTTGATCTTCAATAGTATCACTTCTATAATCCACTGTAAGCTGGGATGTCAAAGCAGCAGCAGCAGCATGCGGCGATGTTTCCATTGTGGATAAAGAATGTCGATTTGGTATATCAAGTGTACCACCGGTAGGCTTTTGATAACTGACCCCCAGTGATATAGGACGTAGTTTGGAGTGTAATACCCTGGCTAGGCTTAGGCCATCTCTTTCAGCACTAGCCTCCATATGTGCATCAAAGTGTAAATTTGGTTCAAGTTTTGGTCGCATACGACAAGCTGTCTCTAGTTCACATAATCTCCAGTGATCTATTTTTGCATAACTAGTAGAAACAACGATGATAATAATAATAATAATGATAATGTTAGAAATGAAAGAAAAAATAATTGAGGATATTTTCAAATCAAACTCGTAGTTTTCAATTTAAGCAGTTCGTAGGTGGGTAGAGGCTGCGAGGGGGGGCGGGTTGAGTCTCACAACATGTTTCCTTCGGAAACCGAAATTATTCAGGTGAAAGTAATAGATGATTCATGTAAGTTATTTGGACACTCCTCGGTAGCTTAACGGCAGAATTCTCACCAACCACGCATGTGGTCCGGAGTTCGATCCCGGGGCTGGCTCACTCCTTCACCTCGCTAAGCCAGTAATAAAACTGATAATGATGGAACGTCGGGCATGAGGCTAGGAACCCCACTTCCGTAAAAATAAACACCACTACTAGCGAAAATTCAGAGCTCTAGCTTGTCAAGCTCTACTTTCCACCGGGGAAGTAAAGGAATAAAATAATGAATAATAAAATACCTCACATCAACCAGTAGTGCTTGCCAACCAGTCGGATTGAAGTGATCTAATCACTAGGTGGCCGTTTCACTCATCTGGAACCGAGCACATCAGTGGTGTACTCACTGAGTTTGACTCAGCTCTAAGAATCGGATCAGTTCAAACTATCTGAATTCCGCAAATTACGAATGTCGTTTAGTTGACTGCCAGTTTGACTAAGTAGCTAGACAGAATTCAAGTGGCTGAGTCAAAAAGGGGTACACACTACTGATGAGCTCTGCTCTGAACGAATGAACAAGCAAGCACTATTGGTTGGTGTGAATAGTGTCCAGATAATCAGATAAATTAGTCAGGATTATATAGCCTCATGCATCAAAGTAAAAAAAACTGTCCTTCGTGTCAGAGTGTCCTCTAAGCTTACTGGTTGAGTAACCAGGCTTTCATAGTCCTCTTATGAAGCATCTTATTTTGAAGTTGGCACTGAAGGTGCTGCCTAGAAGGACAGCAGAAGTCTCGGAATTAAATCATTCAACGTGACAAAACCACAACAGCACCAGAAGCAGCCATTTGAGCAGCAAATTTTGCTTAACTTAACTGGTGACTAGAAATTGTCTCAGTAAAGATTTTATAGAAAAATAACATCAGGTAGAGAACCACTAGACATTGAGGAGCATAAAACAGTTCTTTTGTCCTTGTTTGAGACATTGATTTACTGTCTTTTGATAGGAACCAGAATAAAAATAGTATATCATCATTTCTCACGAATCGTGTGATTTATATATGTGTAAAACTTAGGCACTGTGGTAGTAAGTAATTCCATATTAGTTTGTTTATTAGATGTATCACACAGTGAAGAAACAGTATTATTTACTGGATGACAAGTTTCGAACAAAATTTATTGTGGTTCATAATCATATCAATTATAATCACACGACTTCGAAACTTGAGTTTTATAGTTTTCTTTGTTCTCTCCTATTTTCGTCGTTTGGGTAGTAGAATTTTCCAGATATCTGGGACAGGTGTTGAATCATTCCTATTACACGTATTTTCAGTTGATTCGATAAACAAAGCTTCTGTTGTCAATCTCTCCATCCACCCTGCTGTTACATTAGATTTTAAAACTGTCATCCTATCCCATCGTATTGTCTGGTTGTGTGTAAGTGCATGTAGTGAATGGTATAGCTGAACTATTCTCTAGATTTCTTATTTTATTCGGGTCAACCAATCTAGATTTTGCTAGGCTTTTATGTTCGGCTAGTTTGACCTATGTATTTGACCTGACAATCATTCCAGCAGGGTATTAGATAAACTAAATTGTTTTGTTTTAAAGGCTCCACAGGATCCTTTAACCGACAAAGCTTGTTTCTAATTGAGTTTGTGGGTGGTTTGAATGCCAGCCACTTTTATTCCTGCCATGTTCGAAACGTCATCGTGTGATTTATCTTGTGATGGAGTTACTATATTGATCTATCATTTCTCACACATATTGTCATTTAGTGTGAGATCAATTCATCGTCTCTGTTTCACCTTGGTCTCTGTCGGATCACAGCTATCCAATCAGACTAGCCATTGCCAGCCAATATGAACAATTCGTTCTCACGGCTGTGAGCCGACTGTACTATGGTAAATAAAATGTATAAATGTATAATGTGTTGTTCCTAAAATATACAATATCTTACAGTCACAGGTCAGCCTTCGTCTTCAAATATTTGCATAGCTCAGTGAATCAGAAGGTGCAACGGACAAATAGGCATATTAGCGTATCAGTCGAGTTCATTACCTTTTTAAAAATTAGCAGGCGCAGACATAACAAATTCCCAACAGGTATATTCAGTTCAATGCAGTTACAACACTTTTGAATAATTTATTGTAAAGTTATTTGGGTCACATTTCTGTATATAAATGACGGTTTATCAACTATATGAAGAAAAGAATTTTGCATATGTATAACCTGGGCTAACGTAACCCTCCATCGATATATTGCGTATAATTTTTTTCTTATGCGTTTTGTTTAAATCTATTAAAATATGACCTCTACTAGTATTGTTTATTCTGGCGAATATTTAAAAAGTTTAGAACCTGCTGATTCACCAGTTTCTATTAAACATGAGGTGAGAAAGCATTATGGTCGATGGCAGCTTATCCCAATACATGAGATAACTGTTCCTGAGTGGTTTCCTCCTTGGTTCATAAAATGTACTTTTGAAATGTTTATAAATGGCATTCAACAAAATGTCGTGTATTTCCCGGAGGAGACAAAGAAGAGATAACATGGTAAAGTTCTACAATAGAGTCCCAAGGAACGAACGCACAAGTGACCTTGAACCGACCAATCAGAAAAAAGGATGATTTTTGCATAAAATTTTACGTATTTTTACATAAATAAGCATGAAAAAATCAAACAGGGTACTTTTCTCTAATATGAGTTAAAAAATGTTCCAATTATTAATAGGAGTTTCAGTTTCGAAATTAAAACAATTTCTATACATGTATTTATCCAAATGACTGAAAATGACTTCGTTTAGTGATCCGTTGATAGCTCGGATTCTCTTTTTCAGTCTTTCCCAGAAACCTTCGATGGAATTATTATGAGTACCGGTGACAGGGTCGACGAAATCATTCGAACGGTTCACTCTATGATGTATATATACATTGGGATATATATATCCCAATTGCGATAATTGGCTATATCCCGAGCATTCATCTGTGTGAATGGTGGTGCCTGGTAAGACGAGACGCTGAATAATAGGGAGGAGTGTATCAGCACTCCTATCTAGAATCAGCTCCATAAATCCTTTGCGAATCTAGGTGTCATAAATTCCTAAAACCCAAACGTTATTCGCTCTGGCACCCAGTAATTGGACAGAAACAAGATATTCATCAAAGACAGTTTCAACTTTTCAAAGAAAGTTCCTAGAAGACAATTAGTTCAGTGTCACTTACCAGTACGTACAATTATTCGCGCTAGAATAATGGTGAGCTTCCTCAACCAATGACTAGCATGCGTTCAGGGTCATTGGAACATTCACAAGGACTTTGGAACATTTACAATCCTGGGACTCTATTGTTGAACTGCGCCGATAACATAATGTAATGGTTTTCATCTCACGTTAGATTGAACTGTGTCACACAATCTACTGTCAATTAAAAAATCGCCCTCGTTATTTTTGTGACTCGTCAGCCGACTAGGCGTGTATTCCCCCAGGCAGTATCAATGTCCCCGGTGTGTGACTCGAACCCGATACCCGTCACTTTAAACGCCAAACATCCCATGTAAGAAAATGAGGCTGACCACTTCGCTGCAGATACATCAGCCAGAAATTATAAACATAAATAAGTGATTTCAAATCATACCTGTTGAACAAGAAGAGGTGGCTTTTTTGTGGAACATCGGCCTAGTGGACAACGTTTTGACGTTCCAATCAATATTGCGTTTCTCATCTCACACATGAGCAGCCACCGACGAAAGGTTTCCTAGATTTTTGTAGTCCTGTGAGTTCATCTTTAGTCGATGATTCATACATATTCCATCTTATTTTAAGGAATTTTGTTAGCTAGATTTACTTGCTACCTTTCACAGAGACTCAGACCTAGCACTAATCGTCTCAGTCTCCGAAGTGTTATTCATTAGGCAACCATCAGTCATCTCAAAGCGTCATTAAACCATCCTCAGTAGAAGCCGCCCGGCGCTCTTCACCGGGTTGACTGTCCATTGGATGACAGCCTAGGGGAGATGGCTAAACCCTGATTCCAAACCTCCAACGACTGGCGTATGAAGCTCACTGGAGCTCACCGGCAGACGTATGGACAAAGGGCTTGTTGGATGTCCTGGATGTCTGGCCCCATTCAAAACATGGATAGTGTCCCTACTCCACTCCTACTGCCTTGTAGGTCAACTTGGTTGTGTAAAGGCTAGAGCTGCACTTCAAACAAAGGCGAGCGATCTGGGGACATCACTCGTACCAATCAGAAGCTGATATGTCAACCAAGACGAAGCATTTCATTTCAACACGATAAATCAAAACAATTCAAGATTACTTCACGAAATTAATGAATAATACTCAGGGGCTCCGTGCGTCAGGGTAAAGTTAAGAAATGGCGATCCAGGAGTGCAGACGCACCAAGGACCTTGAAACGACTTATCAATTTCAAAAGGCGAATTTGGATCGCTTACTGAACCTTAATCTTAATCTTCCCTTATTATTATTATTGTTTCCTTTAATTCCTAGAGGAACATAGGGCTACAGCCGTACGTCTCCATTGCGTTCTGTTCTCTGCTAGAGTCTTCACCTGGCTCCAAGTCTGTCCACACGCTTTCATCTCCTCTTCACATGACCTCCTCCAAGTCACCCTTGCACTGACGACCAACTCGCCGCTTCCAATACAGTCGGGTTCCACTCGAGCAATGGCTTGTCTAGTGATGTCACTTGATGGTTTCCTAAGAGTATGTCCAATCCATCTCCATTTCTTCCTGCCTATTTGTTTCACAATCGGTTCCTGTTGTGTTGGTTCGCTCCCAGAGATCCCTACTACTGATCTTTTCTGACAGGCCATCTGATCTTGAGTATTGAGCGAAGACAACTGCTAATGAAGGTCTGTAGTTTGTTTGAGATGCTCTTTATGACGCGCAGTGCAAGTCTCTGATCCGTATAGAGTAGCACTGACTGACTTCACATTGGAGTTGAAAATCCGGATGTTATTTTTGATGCTGAGTGCTGTTGACCTCCACACAGACTTGAGAGTAGTGAAAGCTTGTCTTGCTTTCCCGATTCTTGCTTTGATATCCTCGTCAGTTCCGTCTGCCTGTAGTTGAAACGATGCTTCCCAGGTAGGTAAACGAGGTTGTTTCTTTCAGGTTCCTCCCATTTATGCTGATCGTTGTCTGTTGTTGTTGTTCTTGTCCAGGAATCTTCATTACCTCTGTTTTCTCTATGTTCACCTGAAGTCCCATCTTTGATACTTCCCTTAAAGCCACTGAAATCTGACCGAAAAACACCTCTAATCCTCCTATAGCTTAATATCAACCTATTCCTAATCTATTGCCACCTTTACCCGACTAAACCCTAAACTAACCAAATATCCCATTTGATATTCTCATACACATTTTCATCAGTTTTCTACGAATATAGTGTCTTTCACCTGGTATCACTGAATTTCCTCCTCTGTATGTTCGTTTCAATGTACACTTGGTGCGTTTGCACTCCTGAATCACTACTCTTCTACTTCGCCAATGGTAGAATGCTCGTTAGCCAACATACGTATGACGGATTCAATTCCCTGTCGACTCAGATAAGAACCTCACTTAGCCGGTAGATAGGGAGGGGGTTGAACTTCGGGCTAGTAGTCTCACTCCGTCAAACAAAACTGTCGCTACTGAAACTCCAAAGCTTCCAGCCCCTCTCTTTCATTTGAGGAAAAGAAAAACACGTCGGGGGCTTCAAAAACAACAATTAAATCAATAATAATATATGGGAGCATGTCCTTATTTCTCCAGAGGAGAAGGTCTTTATGCTTTGAGATAACACTTTTAAAGAAGATATTTCACAAATAACGCTTACTTTGTAAACCATGGTGCATCAGAAGAAATCTGCATCAGTCTATACGCTAAAGCATGCCAATAAGTGATTTGTTGATTACGCTTTTGTAATTCAATTAATTTATTATTCTCTTCACGATGTTCTTTCAACTGTCTACTCATCAAAGCAGAACAATGAAGCATTTCAGATTTGATGTCAATTTGACTTAGCACTGATGCTTTACGTTTTGTTCGTGGAGATGGTGGCAGTCTGGGAAATGAAGGTGATCTTTTCAATTCAATTTTAATATCTGTATCTTTATTGTATGATTCTGGTAAAAGATATGCGTGCAGTTTATTGATCATAACTTCTAAATATCGTTTTTGATCATGACGAGATCTGGCGATTTCTTCACTTGCCTCTGCACGACACATACTTTGACTTGATGCAGCACCGACTATAAAATGTGCAGTATACGATTCAACCATCGGTTGAAGCTGAAATGAAGGAAAGAATAGACTCTGAGGTATTGAATTCAATTTGAAAATTCCTGTTAATTGATTGGACTGAAGTGCTCGGTCTCAAGTTGCCATATCGGCTCCTTGTGTTGTTTTTTTCATTCCTTCACGTTCCCAGTGGAACATAGGGCTTCAAGCTAGAGGCTTGAAGTTTCTGTATCAGTGTTTACTTTTACAGGATAAGGTTGCTAGCCTCATGCCCAACCTTTCCTCTTCACCAGCTTTATTTCTGGCTTAGTGAAGTAAAGGAGTGCACCGGCCGGGGATCGAACCCCGGACCATATGCATGGTCGGCGAGCGTCCTAACCTCTATGCCAACGACGCAGCTCCTTGTGTAGATACTTCGAATTCAAGTGGAATCCATGATGTGCATTTCATCCTACTTGGGACTCGTCACAGCTGGATTTATCTGCATTCCCCAGTGAGTGACAGCGTTTGAAACTATGGGTACTGGGTTCGAGGCTCAGTGGGAACACCATCCATCACCCATTGGGGAATGCAGGTACATCCAGATGAGGAGTCCCAAATAAAATGAAATGCGAATATTAGATTCCACCGCTATTCACCACCCAACAATTTGCTCCTAGACTCTGTGTTAGTTTGATGATATTTCTACCGAAGGATACTAATTGTTTTCAACAGGTTGCAAACTATAGCCAGTACCTGCTCGACAGTGAAGAGCAGATAGTCAGTCAGAAAGCATAAGCGGCGAAGAGGTTTAGTGAGAACGAAACATATATGGAATGGATATGCTCTGAAGAAACATTCAAGTGACAACATCAAGCACTACGCCTGAGGGTGGGACCTTAATGGGAAACAACGAAATGGGTGTCTGAAGCCGACACAAGAAAATGAATGTTGGTTGGCAGTTGTTGAACCACCTGAAAGTCATATCCTAGAACCGGATATAATGGAGATGTTCAGCTGAAGCCCCATTTTTTACTCAGAGCACAAAAGATAAATAACAATGATGATTAACCGTTTGTAGCCTGTGTTGGATAGTTTAATTACCGTGTTAAATATTCTGTCCTCTCATATTCCAAGAAGACGCCACTAAGTCTCAGTTAAGCTTAACTTTTAATGAACCACATAGAATTAAGCAGACGAAAAGATATTTTGATTGGACACTAGTAACTAATGTGACGTGTCTAGTCCTTTCTTTGGCATAGACTGAATTCTATCAATCAGGTTTTGCAATGTTGCCACCATCCTAGGTAGCTCTCCAACAGGGTTGCGGATACGCCCTGCTGATGAGTGCCAACTAGCACAAACCTAGATCAATGCTTCCGCCGATTGCCTCCAACTATCTAATATCATCCAGACGAAAGGATATACAACCAAAACCTGTGAAGCATGAATTTTGCCTAGATCCGACAAAATGCCATATACGAAAGTTGAATTCAAGTGGAATCTGCCTACCAACATCTTTTAAGGTAGGATCTCACAATGCCTGAAACGAACATTCGTTGCAGTATACCTGAAAGTGGTATTTTCTAGTTAACTATTACTTTCTGATCACTTAAACAAAAAAATCCCGGTTTGACTTCTTCTGTGGAGCTAGATATGTCTGCAGCTCAATGGAGGCTTGCGCAGGAACACTATCCTGAGTAGTTATGAAGACGAGGTGGTGAAGCTATCATAAGCGTAATAAGTAAACATCTGACCGAAACTGGTCATCTTATATTCACAACCTCTTCCTTTAAAGTTATCCCTTATCTGTACTTCTGAAGCCATAGCTATCGGAACATGATGGCCACAGCAATGTGGATAGTTTAACCACTCTTTATTTCATGGTATTAATAAGTATATGTTAAATTATTGCAGTCCCTATTTCTACCTTGGCTTTAGGCTAGGAAATAGGGATATAAGCAATTAAATATTTCAATATAGATAAAGAATCCCCATTTTGACACTTAGAAATCAAAAGGATTGAGCGAAGAAATATTTACTTTTCAGTTAGATCCTTATCTCTGGCTCTATTCATATATATATATATATATATATATATATATATATATACTCTCTTCCTTTTGCTGTTTGTTGCCACACCTCCGGCATAGGCTATGTGTCATTCCAATTGCGCGTGTGCTGTGTCACATTGATCAACAAAGATTCAGTGAATAACCTCTCTCTCTCTTTCACTCCACCTAACTAACTGTATTACTTTTTAATAATTTCACCCTGTCCCACCTATCGTATCGTGTGATTACACGCAAGTGTTAAATGCAATGCAATAGCTGAGCTTTTTTCCAGGTTATTTAACATACCAGGCTCAGTCATTCTGCGGTGGTGTGATACAGACAATGGGTTTCAATAGTATATTATTCTCGTAGTAAGAATCATTGTATTTGTTGGTGTTAACGTCTGAATAATATTCCCACAGTTCAACACTGCATTAGCAATGGAATGCTATGTATATTTGAAAATTCTATATAATGTTAGAGACAGAGTACTGTTCCCACAGTTCAATAATGCATTAGGAACAGAATAATATAAATTTATTGGAACATTCTGTTTCATGTCGTTTGATGTATACCAAAATCACACGCTCAGTGATTGGTCAAAGAATATAAACTGTATAGATATAAGTAGCAGTTTAATCCATTGAAAACATACCTTGGCTTCCGTGTTTTGCCTTCTGCTGTTATAATTCTACGTCTAGCCACATTTTTATTTTCTATTTTTTTTATTTATCTTTTATTTTTGGTTAAGGCTTGTCACCACACCGTATTTTCAGTACGAGTATGGAATTTCCAGCATGGATATCGGTAGGCCAAATTTTGCAGGCCGACCATAGGTATCGGGTGTGCGTCGGCAGGGGACCGAACCCCGGACCATGTGCATGGTTGGCGAGATTCCTAACCACTGTGCCACCGATATACTAGCTTGACCTATGTGACTGACCCCACTCACAGTCATTAAGTGGTACTTGGTAGGTCACATTATTTTTCTTAATGGGATCTGTTGGGTGGGTCCTTAAGGTGACAAAGTTTATCTATGAGAGAGATGGTTGGTTAGTTTAAGTGCCACTTAAACTAATTCCAGCCTCATTGATAATCCTACCTAAGGCCTCTGACGTTCCTTCTTCATATGGCACTACTACACCGGTTTTGAATTCTATATTATTTTCTTCATCAATTTTGTTATCTTCATAACTAATCTTAACTTTTTCATGGTTCTTCATGTATTTCTGAATAAATTCTGGTGGGCATTGTGTGTTATTCACTAGTAATGTTTCCGGTATTTCTTTGATTTCATTACTTAAATCTTCTGACTTATTAGTCAGGCTCCTGGTTCCGATACCATTTTTTTAAATCCTTTACGTTCCTAGTGGAACATAGGGCTTCAAACTAGAGACCTGAAGTTTCGGTAGTGGTGGTTTTTTATTTTTACGGGCTGGGGTTGTTAGCCTCATACCCAACCTTCCATCTTTACCACTCTTACTACCGGCTTAACGAGTTAAAGGAGTGCGTCGGCTGGGGATCAAACCCCGAACCACTTGAGGCGTGGTTGGCGAGCATTCTACCGCTGTGCCACTGACGGCCCGATTATTTAGACATTTAACTAAACCTGTCTTTACGGATTCTGGATGGGAATCACATAAAGTCCAAGTATTCATAGCATTTTCGATACTATACACAACATTTTGCCAATCATCAAGTGGCTAGTAGAGTAGAGCAGAGATGAGGATCTACTTGGAAAGTAAATATTTCTTCTCTCGTCTTGTTTTTGATGATCAACTTCTCACCTCGTTATATAACATCTTATTTGCCTACTAATTCTACTAGATTCACACCTTTATATAACATGTATGCATCTCAAGAACAAAATTACATGGGCTGTTTTGTTATGGTCACGAGTATTTTGTCTCAGTACACATTATTATTATTATTATTATTATTATTATTATTATTATTATTGCTAAGCATTCAGACCTAAAACATACTCAAGCACAGTGGCTGCTTACATGAAGTATACTCACTGTTTAGTGAAGCTGTTCTTTCTCCTTTCCTGTTTTCTTTCTTCTTACATGACTTGCCCCATTCTGATGTAGCAACTTTTGTCAAGTATGCTGATGAACTCTATGTTTCTATGCCTGTCAACTCTCAGTCAGACTGTTCCATATTAAATAACTTTCTCTCAGAAATTAGTCAGTGGTCCTCTTCAAACGGTCTTAAGCTGAATCCGTCTAAATGTCAGGTAGTAAATTTTACTTTCAGACGAAAACGTGGCCTTCAACAACTAGCTAGCTCACATGGTCCCACTATCATTGACGGCATAGAGATTGAAACTACATCTAATGTCAAGTACCTTGGACTGAATACTTCCTCCGATCTTTCCTGGTCCTCTCACATCTTGTTAGTGACTAGAAAGATGTTTCGCTTAACGTTCTACGTTAGGAAATTAAGGCAGTCTGGTATAAAGCAGTCTTTGCTTCCTCAGTTTGTCACTTCTTGTATTCTAACCATCTCTCTTTACTGCTCCCCATTAATCTTTCCTAGACTACTTAAGAAAGACTTTGCTTCGCTGCATAGGGCACTAAAAGCTGTTAGTAGGGCAAGTGGGATATCGTTAAACCAACTGGTTAACACCATTGTGGATAGACATATATTGTCATGTAAGAAACTAGCGAATTCTATATTGTCAGACCCCGAACACCCTCTCTATACGCAGCTCTCTCCTCGCATTTCATCTGGTAAAACTAGAAGCAACTATAGGAGGCTATATGCCAGGACTACCAAGTACAAAAACTTCAAAATACCTTATCTGGCACAGCCGTTATGTGATGAGAAATCCATTAGGTATGAAACGAACAACTTACTGCGGCACTCTAACAAATAGTTCCCATTAGCTTTTGTTCTCCTTTCTTTGTTACTATTATATTGTTGCTCACATATTCTATTACACACTAATTTTATATTTCATATCCTGTGGTGCATTGTTCAAATATGTGAATACAATGCCGTTCTTTTTAACCAATCAAATCCCTACAAACCAACACTTGAATATCAATGAGATGCTCACTAGTGACTTGCCCTATTCAGGTAGGTAGTTGCCTGGGGTTCTAGTGAGAAGTCATGACCAGTAGGGTGCAGCAGGTCGGGCGCGAGAACAAATACTCGCCGAAGGCATTGGCCAGCGGTCGCGCTATGTCGTGAATTGGCAGAAGTTAGAATTCATGTACTGGCCATTGGATCGGGTCCCAGTGGCTTAATGGTATACGAGCTCTCCTTGTAACCAGAAGATCCTGGGTTCGAATCCCGGTGGGTGCGTACTGCTGAAGAGTCCCAAACTAGGACGAAACAGCTGTCCAGTACTCCCAGGTTTTCCAATGGTTCTCTAACTAATGTCAGCTCATGATGAAAATCCTGTAACTTTTTAATTTCTTTTATTTCTCTTTTTTTCTTTTTGCTGTTGTTGCTTTTATTTTTAAAATCTTATGAAAATTTATGAGGTAGTTAGATGCAATATTGTAATGCGCGCTGAAAATTCCATACCTGTACCACAAATACTGTTTGGAATAAAGCTATTATTATTATTATTATTAAGCTTTCTGGCTTGAGTTTTTTATGTTGTTCTCTTTGACTACTGAAAGAGATTAAAGTAGTAAAAACTTACATTTCAATTATCATATTCAACGGCTATATAACAATGCCGCACAACGGAGAACTCAGTAGAGACATCAAAATGAAGACAGTAGTAAAACAAGGCTACATGCTATCACTGATGATATTTATAACTGTGGTGGACTGGATTATGCCTCAGATCATGCATAGGGAGCGAGAAGAGAAGAATACGTCGGATTGATAAGAAGATTTTAGATCTTGAGTTTGCAGATGATTTATTTCACATAAACACGAAGATAAACAGGCCAAAAACTGACAATTCGGCAGAAGAAACAGTGAAGATATTACTCCAAGTGAACAAAGATAAGACGAAGGGGATGAAAATAACTAATCAACAAAATAACAGGCACCAATCACTGTCAAAGGGAGAAATTTGAACGAGGTCACCTATTTCGCTTATCCAGGAAGCATCGTATCAACTACAGACGGCACAAATGAGGATGTCGAACGCAGTGCCGAAAAGGCAAACTAAACACTCATTATTTTGAAATCACTTTGAAAAGTTTCTATACTCAGCATAAAGAACAAGATTCAGATTTTCACCAATGATATTCCTAATTGTGGTGGACTGGATTATGCGTCAGACAGTGGGAAACGAGAAGACAGGGATATCCTGGACCGACGTGAAGAACCTAGAAGACCTGGATTTCGCGCGTGGATGATTTATGTTTGATGTCACACAAAATCGAAGACTTACAAGCGAAAACCGACGAGCTGGTCGAAGAAGCAGCAAAGACAGGACTCCAGGTGAACATAGACAAGACGGAGGTTATGAAAATAACCAACCAACAACAACAGCAGCAGCAACATCCAGCGACAATCACCATCAAACGGAGGGATTTGAAAGAGGTTACTTCATTCACTTATCTAGGGAGCATTGTCTCAACCACAGGAGGAACGGACGAACGAGGATGTCAAATCGAGAATCGGGAAGACGAGAAACACATTCATCAACCTGAAACCAATCTGGAAATCTTCCGCTGTCACTCAGCATCAACAACAAAATGATTCGGATTTTCAATACAAACGTCAAGTCGGTCAGTTCTTCTATACGGATCAGAAACTTGACGGGTCACAAAGAATATTTCCAACAGCCTGTTGCAGACCTTTATCAACAACTGTCCTCGCTCTATACTGAAGATCAGATGGCCGGAAAGAATCACCAACAAGAAACTATGGGAACAAACAAACAAAACAAGAACCAATCGCCCAACAAATATGCAGGAGAAAGTGGAGATGGATTGGACACTCGCTGAGGAGACCGCTGGGTGACATCGCGCGTCAGGCCAGTGCTCGAGTGGAACCCGAAAGGGAAGCGGCGAGTTGGTCATCAGTGCAAGGGTGACATGGAGGAGATCGTGTGAAGAGGAGTTGAAACAGTATGGACTAACATGGATGCAAGTGAAAAGTACAGCAGAAGACAGAAACAAATGGAGACGTGCAGTTGAAGCCCTATGTTCCACTAGGAACCCAAGGGAACAACAATAATAATAATGTGGTTCACAGACTTGCAGCGTCACGAAAAGCATTTCTAACAGGCTGCTTTAGACAATCATCAACAGCTTCTTTCACTGACTTCATATTGAAGATCAGATGGCCGGTTAGAAAAGATAAGCAACAGGGACTTTAGGAACCAATTAACCAACAATCCATTGCAGAACAAATATGCCGGAGGAAATAGAAATGAATTGGATACATCTTCAGGAGACCATCGAGTGGAGCCTTAACGAGAATGGACGAGTTGGACGTCGGTCGGAGGAAGACACAGTGGAGATTGTGAGGCATCGTTGAGCCGGTTTAAAATACAGAATGAAATAGTGATGTGCTGTTGAAGCCGTGTGTTCCACTCGGAACCTATGGGGATAATAATGGAATGCTGGAATGCTAGCCAGCTACACCTAAGCTTCATCTAGTTTACTATCCTGTCGTAAGCTGGGGAAAAACAGTGGAGGTAGGACATACAGTTAGCGATCTTACCCCAATCAGAAAGCAGAAATAATCAATACAATAATAACTTACACGATTTTTCAGGAAACATTGCCATTCCCCGTCAGGTATAGCTCTGTAAACTTTAAAATTCTCTAAGAAATCCGCTGTCATTTCTGGTAAATTAGGTGTTAACTTTTCCATTTCTAATAATTTACTATGATCTTTAAAAAGTTTAAAGATAATCGGTGTTATGTGTATAAATAATTCTTGAGACTCGGTGTCATTTTGACCTGCTAGCGTGCCTAAATTACCCGTTGATGCAATGGCTTTCATTTCGCATTGAGAGTAAAATGATTTTTCAATGAATTCAGGTGATACAATACTGGAATTCTTGGTACACGCTGCCTCTCCTTCTTCTCCTTGTTCTTGTTCTGTTCTTGTTCTTCGTCGTCTTCTTCTTCTTCTTTCTCTTGTAATTTACGCATATTGACAAATGTGTGAAAATCTTCAAGACGTGACCACATTTCAATGACTTTATCCAATCGGTAGACAAGAAATGCAATCTGAAGTATTAAAAAAGAGTTAGTGAGTCACTAGTTTTAACCGGTAAGGAATATACATTATTAACACACACACACACAATCATTTATAGGATCTGTGCTGAAATAAAAATCCAGATGAATTATCATTCTGAAGTGTTGGTTTGCAGGGCTACAAATTAGATGGCGAACTGTCAGCAGTTAGAGAATCATTGAAAATCAGAGAGTACTGAACAGCTGATAGTTACCCTACTGTTCCCTATTGACTGACTATATGATGCAATTTTTGGAGTTCTAGTGAAAAGCTGTGACCAAAGGAGGCGAGAGGGTACTCAGCAAGTAGGACATGGGAACAGATACTTGTTGATGACATCGCGCCACCTGGCGCGAATTGGCATAAGTTAGATTTCAGTAGTTATTGGGTCCCATCCTACTGGTTGAACGATCAACGGGGTTGCCTCGTGACCAGAAAGTCTTGCGTTCCATCCCCAGATTTTAATGGTTCTCTAACGGACCTTCTGGTTACAAAGCTAGTGAGCTCGTAGACCATCAAGCCACTGGAACCCGATCCAACGACCATTGCATGAATTCTAACTTCTGCCATTTTATGAAATAGCGCGACCACTTCGCAATGTATTCTTTGATGAGTTACTGCCTCAACTCAATATAAGCACATTCGGAAATAATATTAGTATTATCAATAAAATACAATCAGATAAGGTGTTTTTGTAGTAAAATAAATAAGTAACTTGTTAGAATGTTATAATATGAATCGAATGCATTTTAAGATTATTTATTATCCTCTGATTTGACTAGTAATAATATCTTCCATACCTCTGGTATTTGCGTTGAATCATTTCTGTTGCATTTGTTGGGTGTGTTGACTCGATGAACCAGACAGGATTCAGTAATCAACCTCTCTCTCTCTTCACCTACCTATACTACTTTTTATAATTTTGACTCTGTCCCACCCACCCTATTGTGTGGTTGTGTGTTAATGCATGTAGTGCGATTGCTGAGTTTTTTCTACATTACTCATCTTCGTGGGATCAGTCATTCTAACCTTAGCTTAATTCTTATGTTCTGATATACTGACTACTCCCGACCTACCAGTTTGACCAATGCAGCTGACCTCACTCACAGTCATTGCAAGGTATTTTGTAAATTATATTTTTTTGTTTAATTGGGTGAAACTAGTAGATCAGGAGTTGTGAGATTTTCAGAACATAAGAATTTAGCTAAGGTGAAAATGATCGATTCCACGAAGATAAGTAATTTAGAAAAATACTAAGCACTACATTTCACCGCATGCATTGACACAAAACCACAAAATAGGGTGGGACAGAGTCAAAATTCTAAAAAGTAGTATAGGTAGTTGAAGAGAGAGACTGATTACTGAATCCTGGTTCATCGAATCTACACCCAACCCATTTAGAGCAGGAACGACTCGTTATTATTACCACAGATATGGAAAATAATACTAATAATTAAAACGAGACATCAAAAAAATGGAATTATATAAACGAAGTTAGAAAGTTATGTGAGCAATTTGTGATAAATTGTTATCGAACCGTAGTCAACAGTAAATATTACTGTATAAGAAAAAAGGCACAAACAGCGAAGAAAATTCTCTTTTCGACGATTCATTTTCATGAGCTGTATAATCGTAATTATAATTAACAAAGAAATCTTCAGACCAATCAGATACTGGTAGACTATGTCTTTGAAAAATTGTATTACATAATGTAAGGTGTAAAGAAGGGATGACTAATTGTAAGTTAGAAAGGAGACAGAAGTTGGCATGACGTAATAAGTGTGAGATAATGACTAATCAATAATCTCGTGTACAATGGACAGGAACTAGTGGAAAGACTATAAAGTGTTTTTGTATAAAATATGCATGAAAAAGCAATGTCATCGAGCACCCCACACGAATGCTTCACAGTGTTACACAGAGTCCCTCAATATCGTACAAAGGGACTTAGGATACACCATCTGTACATAGCTGAAGCATTAGGTATTCGAGATCTGAAACCGGACCTCTGCATACAAAAGCGATACATACATTCTCTTGCCTTACCATGGCCAGAGTAAAGTTCTTATCACAATTTTACTTCTTTCCTTTATTATGTAAGTTCACTATTATTACTATTATTATTTTATTTTATTAATACTTTTACTATCATTATTGTTCCCATCATCCACATTTTATTACCACTCTATTACTGTTTATTAATAACATTGCTTTTCATACATATTTTATACAAAAACACTTTATAGCCTTTCCACTAGTTCCTGTCCATTTTACACGAGATTATTGATTAGTCATTATCTCACACTTATTACGTCATGCCAACTTCTGTCTCCTTTCTAACTTACAATTAGTCATCCCTTCTCCGTTACACCTTACATACTTTTCGAGGACAAAGTTTACCAGTGTCTGATTGGTCTAAAGATTTCTTTGTTAATTATAATTACGATTGTACAGCTCATGAAAATGAATCGTCGGAAATAAAATTTTCTTCGCTGTTTGTGCCTTTTTCTTATGACTCAATATGGGAATATTTCGTTCATTACTGTATAACACCACTCTTTGATTGTATCGAAATAAAATTTGATCCATACTGGGTTGTTTGACCATATGATAAGTCAAACAGTAAAGAACTTGTCATGTAAAGCTAGAAACCAGGGCTTCAGCCACCTGTAACCTCTTGAGTACTATTCTTAAAGATTCACAAACAAAGATAAAAACAGGTGTTCAGTAGTTTCTCAAATGAACTCACTCACTCACTCACTTACTCAATAGTTCACCCGCAAAAGACAATCAAAGCTGAACTAACTTACCTCTTCATAACATGATTTTGTCTCAAATTGACAAATAATATAATGCAGTTTTGCTAATGAACGAACAAATAGACGTGAATTTGGACAACTTGTATCAGTAATCCACATTAAAAGTAAGTGTAATGCTAAAGCTTGTACTTCTTTCCATTGAGATGAATTCACCTCCCAGATAAGCAGAGATTCTTGTAGTAAATTTAATACTGCTTCCATTAGCTTCCAAATATTGAATGACAAAAAGACGAAAAGATTAGGCATAAAATCCAATTGTGCGTTTTATATAAATGATCTCATTGAAATCATATAAAAACAATTGATGAGTTAAAAAAAAAATCTACAGCCTACTGAGTAACTTTCAGTTGTTGTTGTTCATTACTAAGGGTTTGATTGAGTTAAAGTTAAACCACAGGAATTCAGGTGAACATAGAGAAAACAGAGGTGATGAAGATTCCTGGGCAACAACAACAGACAACAATCAGCATAAATGGGAGAAACCGAAGGAAACAACCTCCTTCTACCTACCTAGGAAGCATCGTTTCAACTACAAGAGAACGGAACTGATGAGGATATCAAAGCAAGAATCGGAAAAGCAAGACAAGCTTTCACTACTCTCAAGTCTGTGTGGAGGTCAACAGCACTCAGTATCAAAAATAAGATTCGGATTTTCAACTCCAATGTGAAGTCAGTGCTACTATACGGATCAGAGACTTGCACTGCGCGTCATGAAGAGCATCTCAAACAAACTACAGACCTTCATTAACAGTTGTCTTTGCTCAATCAACTCAAGATCAGATGGCCGGCCAGAAAAGATCAGCAACTGGGATCTCTGGCATGAGCGAACCAACACCGCAGGAACCGATTGTGCAACAAATAAGCAGGAAGAAATGGAGGTGGATTGGCCATACTCTGAGGAAACCACCAAGTAACATCACACACCAGGCCATAGCTCGAGTGAAACCCGAATAGAAAGCGGCGAGTTGGTCGTCCAAGGGTGACTTGGAAGAGGTCATGTGAAGAAGAGATGAAAGCATATGGGCAGACGTGGAGCCAGGTGAAAACGTTGGCAGAGAACCGAACTCAATGGAGACGTGCAGCTGAAGCCCTGTGTTCCTCTAGGAATTAAAAGAAACAATAATAATAAAGTTAAACCACAGCCATGGCGGAATAATCGTCTGAGAAATCCTCCCTGAATGATCTATTTTTACAAGATTGACACTGACACTAACTTTGTAATAACCGTCTTCTATTCTCCTACGCTGTTTTGACGTCTGTATATATCATCTCTTGACTGACTGTTTATTATTCAACTTTATTCTTGTGTAATCCCTGATTTAAATGCTTGACGGTGTATCGAAAAACGCGTTGATTGATTGACGACTGCGATTTTATTTGATTGAATGAAGTCAAAGTTATTCTGGGACTTTTCACTGACTGTAGGAAGTATTTGATGCTTGATTATTGTTGATACAGTTTTTAATCCCACCTTGTTGGGAATATTCCCTATTGATTCTCAAGTACTCCCTTACGGTTGATTTTTTGATTGGATAATTTTATTGCATAGCACTTGTTTTATAGTTCAGAATCTTTAGGATCTATATGTATCTGCCTAATGCCATTGTTGAGGTAATTTTATTGAATAGTAAGTACCAAAGATTTCATAGCGACTGACTACTTTTCGCCCTCTTTGGGAGATTTTGGGACTGTGCTTAACTCAGGAAGTTTTGGTTAGCTATGCAGTAGAATCCAACGAGAGGTTCCCTGTACTCAGACCACAACACATCAGTTTTAGTCGCTACAACAACTACTGATGAAGAGTCTCTGACTACGACAAAACAGATGTCCAATACACCTTGGTTCTCTAACTGAAGTCACTTTATGACCTGAGCTCGTAGCTGTCTGTTTTTGCCGTGGATATGTTTGGACCAAGTAGGTCCACTGTATTTTGGAATATGGATGTGTACCCCACATTCCACTGTTGGCCACTATGATACAAGTAGCCTTGAGTTTTTAACCCTGGTACCTATTAAAGGAGACTATTTACCAAATTGTGGCTAATCAATCCAGTTCATATATATCAGTGGGGAAATCACAATTATACCTGTTGCACAAGTGATAGCTCTTGTGGTTCAGTAGCCCAGTAAATAAAACTTTCGCGTTTTAAACAATGCTTGCTGAATACAAGTCTCAGTGAGAATATTCATCACTCACTGGAGATACCAGCACATCTAGTTGATGAGTCCCAAATAGGTTGAAATGTGCGTTTCGGATTCCGTCTTCCCCTTTTCTATTGATTGCGTTAATTATAAAGGTCAATGAGGAATAGAAGGTTGAAAAATCTTGTGTGTCGACAATAGTCATTCCACACCGAAATGATACGGCTGAACAACTTCAAATATTGCGCTAAAGATGTCGTCTAGAAGGACGACAAAAACTCTGCAACTAAACCAATCAGCTCAGAAAACACTATTAATTGCAAAACTTCAAAGAGCGCCTGCTTCATATAGTGTTAAAAAGTCTATTTCAAGCCCTCTAATTGTTTAATTAGCGTCAAAGATGTATTTCCTAAAGTGATACCAAATAACTGTGTCTATAGGATAAAATGTACAGAATGTGGGGCTTGTTGCATAGGTAAAAACAGTAGATAAGGGAAGGTCAGAGTGGATGAACACATGTTATGCACGAAACGTCCGCCTAAAATTGAAGTACAGTTAAAGAGTCTTGAAAAAAGATCAGCTATGGCAATGTACGCTAACGTCGATTTCGACAATGTAGAAATTCTAGGAAAAGGCTTTCATTCACACAAAGAAAGGCTGACCTCTAAAGCCTTGCATATTTTAACCACATCGAATACAGTAAATAGGAGAGAAGGGATAGACTTATCACCTATATGGCAGATTCTAATGAGGCAAAATAACTACCCAAAGAATTTCATCAACAAAATCAACACCGACGTTAAATATTGTCAAAAACGTATTCCGAAGACATGGGCCTCGACAGTTGTCATCCCATACAGATCAGAGACGTCATCCAATCTCAGAATAGTACTCAATCAACACAACATCAGAATTTTCAGCAAAACATCAGGCACACACGCTACAAGGCAACCTTGTCCATATAAAAGACAAAATCCCTAACGATTCTCTATCCAATTGTGTCTAAAATGCTTGGAATGTGATGCGATACACATAGGACAAACATCACCAGAGAGAAATCAACATCAGAAGAAATGAACAACGTAGAACATCTGTTTGACCACCGAGAAATCCAGTTGAAAAATCATCAGCCATAGAATCAGGTCACAAAATTGATTTTGACAATATTGAAATAATCCAGAAAAATTTCAAAAATCACAAAGAACGTCTAATATCATCAGAAGCACTTCATATCAAATGGAATCCAAATTGTCTGATTAACAGGAATGATGGACTAAAACAGAATCTGACCTGGTTACAACACCCCCACGTCCCCCACAAAATGACACAATCAACCCGAATATGATAAGCAATTTCACTATGTAAACACATACTGCTTTTATAATTTTACACACTTATCAAATCCAACAATCTACACCTGGTTTTGTTATCTCTACCAACTGGCAAAGTTGATAACGTAGAAATGCCCCTATGCTGATGAATGATGATTAAGTTGTTATATTGAAGCTCAGTTAATATTACTGTACAACACTGTGTGATTCATCAAAATGAAATCTTATCCATAATGGAGTTATGCTCTACCACAGTGCCCAAGTTTTATACTTATGTCAATAAAAGCTCGGATTTTTAAAATACTGGTTTAACAATAATACTTTGGTAAAGCTATTAGCAGCAGTATTAAGTAACGAAACGTCTATAAAAACAGCAATATCGTTTTGTTCTTCATTCATTCACTGGGAAATACACAAACCTCTATAATAATGAAAGATGATAGAAATTTATTCAATCCTATACAACAAACAGCACAATCACATATCAAGAACTTAGTAAACATCGTTTCAAATTCCAAACGTCAAAGGTGATGAATAAGGGTCAAGCCTTCAAATCACTGCGTCAAGCAGGGATAGGACTCAATGCCTCGTAGTGTGATAGCTGCTCGAGCACTTACGTCTCCCCGACAAAACATTAAGTCGTCTACAAACGATTTAGTATCCTCACGCTCATACCACAATTAGATATCGTGTCGACCCCTACACCCCGAAATCCGGAGCATAGTTTATGGCCATCGCTCTGGCGTAACACCAGACCTAATGGGCCTAGCCGAACTCATGGTCCAGTCCAGACACCAAAAGGAATACGTAAGCTTGCCCAGCCACGTGTCGGATACGGAATGTACCGTTGCAAATATGGACGGGATTCAGACTTAGAGGGATTCAGTCTTAATCCTTCAGATGGCAGCTTCAAACCATTGGTCTTTCGACCAGGCACATATACCAATTGTTTGTCTGAACCTGCGGTTCCTTTCATACTAAACAGGATTACCATAGCAACGGCCAGATTGTACTTCACTGATTACTGTACTCATTAGTAGGGTATATATATGATACTGTCTAGTAATAGAATCCATGATAGACGTATTGATTTATTTGGGATTTTTTAACTGGATGTTATTGCATCCCAATATTGACGTTTCCAGGAGAAATTTCAGCGTGACATTAGTAAACTGACACCTGTTATACAAAATGTGAGAAGTCCAGTGTACTATGTTACAGCATTAGTGAAAACATCGATCAGTCGAATGACAGTAAATTCAAGTGGTGATCTCCTGTATTCCAGAAATAAAACTGTGATGTAGTTTAGGAATTAATAAGTCAAAGCGTGAAATCACCTACCTCTACTCTGTATTCATCATCAATTAAATTTATATGATTACATGTGATATCGACTAAAAATGTCATAAACACGTAGATCAATCGTTTCACGCGTTCTTTATCCACCAATCCTGGGAATGAAATATCTTGACCTGAAATAAAAATACAACAGGTGCATAAACACATTTGCATTTTCATCAGTAATTGTTAGTTAAAACGGTGAAGTTTAACAGTAGTAACCCAAGAAAGTGAGTTGTAGATGAATGACATTAAAGCGGTCAGTTAGAGTAGTTAATCAATATAGTAGTCCTCAGCAGTTTGTATATTTGACTTCTTTTCGTTACTGGAGTGAACAAATTAGGCATTAATTTTGGAGGCTTGATCATGAGCTGCTAGAATGCCAGGGAGTATCAAGCAGCTGTTTGGGACTCTTGAGCAGTACGCACCCTCCGCCAGAGTTCGAACCCAAGACCTTCTGGTTACAAAGTGAGCTCTTAAGCCACTCAACCACTGGAACCCAGTGAAAAACGGTACACTGATGTAAAACACTATCCGAAGAAGTGAAAGAATGTTAAACAGACTAGTATGCATGATTATTTCTTAATTTAGTATGAGGGCATCTGTGTAAATGTCGAAGTAACTGTCGTTTAAGGACAGGAGCGGAGGTTTTGAGGTAGGTATACATTAGAATTAGATTAAGGTTAAGAGTTATAATAATAAAGACACTTTATCCATCGACTTCAATATTATCTACAAGAACTCTGAGTAATCACGTCAGGATAATTCACCTGTTTGTTTTATGTTCGCATCAGGCCAATGTCGATTTTCATCAACACTTGCCCCCCCCCCCCTTCGCTCGATTATAAAGATCAGATGGCCAGGTAGACAGGATTAACAACAAGGAACTTGGCAGTAAAACAAAGAACCTTTTGGTCAGCAAATATGGCTAAGTAAAGGTGTAGTGAAAACCATTAACAGTTCGATATTGGACCATCTGGTGCAAACCAGCCACAAAGCCAGCGTGGAAGAATCCTTCTCTATAATCTACAGGGTGCCTAATAAATTGCCAAAATCATCGAAACACAGCATGCTCCAAACAACAGAGGCTATTGCAATTCGCCTCAAACAACCAGTGCTCTGTGTTCAAAAGAAGCAAGTCCAGCCCCTACTACTGCCCTGGACTTCAGTAGACACTATAAATTCATGAATTTGTATTATTATCTTTCCTAATTTTTCCGACATTCAGCTTATTTTATGTTGATGCTATTGAGCTGTAATCTATCACTATTATTAATTTGATGTTATTTAAACATTAATGTTGTTTATAGCACTAATTCATTCATTCACTATAATGTATATATAACTGTAGAACCTGATGATGAAGGGGTTATCGTAAAGAGTATTCTTTGTTCAGTATCCATTCTTTTGAAAATATGCAAAAAGAAATGAAGATGAATTGGACATATGCTGAGTAGACCTTCATATGACATCACATGCCAGGCCTTCGAGTGGAAGGAGAATGGGCGGCAGCGGCGAGTTGGCTGTTCTAGAGTGATATGTGAACAGGAAATGAAAGTCTATGGGTAGTCACGGGGTTCAGGTGAGTGTGGTAGCAGAGGATCTAACACACAGGAGAACAGTATTATTTTTTATTCACAGACGTATCAGTTGGTGTAATTACATATTTATCTTAAGGGAAGTAGAATTTCTCAAGTATTCGGAAAAGGTGTATGCCAAGGTCAGTTGGAATAGTATAGTCAAAAACCCTTAGCGAAATCTAAACTAGTAGACTACAATAAGATAAGTGATCTTAACAAATACCAAGCTGTGGCGCCACATACATACAGTTACACACAAATAAACAGTAAGGTGAGACAAAGTGACATTCCTAAAATGCGTCGAGGTACAAGTTAACAATTGAAGCTTTATTCATAGATTTCATCATGAATTGAAATCAGTTAGAGGACCATTGGAAAACCAGCTGGGGTTACTGGACAGCTGTTTCGTCCCAGTTTGGAACTCTTCACAGGACGCACCCAATGATAGGACCCAGCATAATATAGTATATCATCCTTTCTCACGAAATGGTATATTACCCTTTCCCACGAATCGTATGATTATCCTGTGATGGAGTTACTATGTGAATCTATCATTTCTCACGTATGTTGTCATCTAGCGTGTGATCAATTCATCATCTTTGTCTCACCTAGTCTTTGTCGGATCGCCAATCAATGAGAATACCTAATACCAGCCAATAAGAACAGTCCATTCCAAGGGTTGTGAGCAGACTTTATTGTGGTAGAGAAAATGTATAAATATGATGTGATGTTTCCTAATAAATATACACTATCTTACAGTCACAGGCCATCCTTTGTCATTTGATATTTGCATGGCTCAGTGAATTGAAAGGCACAACGGAAAAATAGGCGTATTAGCGTACCATTCGAGTTCATTACCGTTATAATAATTAGCGGCGCAGATATAACAGCCACTGAGGTTCGAACCCAGAAACCTTTTTGGTTACAAGGCAAGCTCGTAGATCATTCAGCCACTGGGACCCGTTCCAACGGTCCATAATGAAATCCTGAAACTAATCAAATTCCTGCAAACCAACACTTGAATATCAATCTGATGCTCACTAGTGACTGGCCCTATTCACGTAGTTAGTTATCTGGGTTCTAATGGGAAGTCATGACAAGTGGTGTACAACAGGTCGGGTATGAGAACAAATGCACATCACAGGAGTTGGAATTCATGGGATGGCCTTTGGATCGGGTCTCAGTGGCTTAGTGATGTACGGTCTCACCTTGCAATCAGAAGGTCCTGGGTTCGAACCATGGCGGTGGGTGCGTACTACTGAAGTGCCGGTCCCAAACCAGGACAACGGAAACAGCTGTCCAGTACTCCCTGCAGGTTTTCTAATGGTCCTCTATTACATGTCAGTTCATGATGAAATCCTGAAACCAATCAAATCCCTGTTAACCAACACTTGAAGCTCTATTCTTTGAATCAGTTGAGAAGACAAGGAATGAGGATAATACAACATCTGTCCTAGATATCTAGAAAATTTTACTACCTCTACGACAAATGGGAAGGAAGAAAGTTAAATGATATAATTCGAGTTTCACATTTCTGTAGTTACACAATTGATATGACTGTGAACAACGGACATCAATCCGTGATCAAACTGAAAAATATTGAATCCCTAAAAACTAGCTCTTGAAAATTAATATGACGCTTGCTAGCGACTGGTTACAGGGTGAAGTTTCCTGGAGTATTCTAGTCAGAAGTCGTGACCAGTAGGTTCGACCAGGTCGGGCATGAGGATGAGTACTCGCTGATAACATTGAGTAGCCGTCACACTAAACATTACAAACCGACAGAAGTTATAATTAATTGGCCTCTGGATCCTGGTCCAGGTAGTTGGAAAGTCAGCGATATTGGTGTTGTCAAATGGAGGTTTTGAGTTCGACCTCAAGTAGAGTCATCGATGAGTACTGATGAAAAGCCTCAAACTGGGACAAAACAGCTGTCAACTGCCACCTGGTTTTCAGCCATTCTCTATGTGACATCAATCTGTAATCATACTTGAAACAATATAAATTTCGTTTGAAATGTCATCCAGTAAATAATACTGGATCACGCACCCGCAGAATACGAATTTTGACGTAATTACACTGCACTGAGTAGGGCTTGGATCTCTGTATACCTAAATTATGTATATCATATCTTCAACGCACCATTTGCACAGATCTTTGTGTTGTGGTACTTCTAGACTTCATAATGTGTTTTTTGTGTTTCTTCCACGTATTTCATGTACCTTAACAATGCTGTATCATTTGCCTTCTCTGAAATCAAATCTATCTCCCCGATATTTGATATTTTTATGCCGATGAACGTCTCTTTATATACTACTGATAAATCTTATCAGTAGCACTCGCCACACTACTATACAGTCGAAGTTTTACACATATATATGCATAAAAAATGTACACTGGGTATAACAGAAACGTTATTGTTCTAATTTGTTTTTTCTTGCGAGGGGGAGGGGGAAAGTAAATAAAAAAAAAACTCACTAAAATTGTTTAATGCTTGTTGTAAAGAATCAATAATCGATTCAAAGAGGCGTTGAACAATCCAGAATGCAGGTTTCAATAGGGTATTTTGAGCAGTTATCTCCATAAGTGATACTAGAGCTCTATAGTAACCCTATAAGGCAAAATAAAAATAAATAGTGTAAGGAAAATAAGTTACAGGGACCCTCAACAATGAGTATGTTTCTATAATGTGACTAAGATGTGTGCTTGGAATCTGAAATTTGCTTCGTTTTATTCATCTTGTCTGAAGTGAGTAGCAAAAAGTCTTACACGAACCAGTCGTCTTCAAAGAGAAATATATTGATCAAAGTTATAGATTAACACAACTTCTCTTCAAAGTTCAGAGTAAATTGCATATTTTATCTCTTAACAAGAGGATTATGGATGTGTTGAGTACTTCAGCAGTAGTTCTCATGAATTACCAGAGATCCAATTGTGAAATTTTTGAAAGATTGGAAGAAATGTTGAAATTTGTGATAAATGATAACCAAATCAACGGAATCATCTTCTACAACTCCATACATGAAGATTATGTTTAACAGGATTAGTCTAAAGTTCTGACCAGGCAACCTTGTGGATGTATTTTCATCTGGGTCATACTATCTCCTGAATTAAACGGAGTCATTTACTGTGCATGAAAAAATACAACACTGAAAGCAGTACTGATTAGTTTTTGAACAGGTTGAGTACCAATCCACTTTCTTTCTAACATTTATATTTTCACCAGCTGATTTGTAAGGATTAGATTTGCTTTTACGAGTTTGATCACGGATTGATATCAGTTAGAGAACCATTGAAAACCAGGAGGCAGTGGTTAAACTCGACAAACAAATCAAATCCATACATATCAACTCTTGAAAACTAACCTGATGCTCACTAGAAACTTGCTAAAGTTCTAGTGAGAAGTCGTGACCAATGAGGTCCATCTAGTTGGAAGTGAGAATGGATTTCCCACCGATGACATTGGTTGGTGCCAGTCGCGCTACAAATCACGAATTGGTAGAAGTTAGAATTCAGGAGCAGGCCATCGAATCAGGTATAAATGGCCTTGCCTTGTAACCGGGTAGTTCTGGGATTGAACCCCAGTGGGTGTGTACTGTTGATGATTCTCAAACTAGTGGGATGAAACAGCTGTCCAGTACTCCCTGGGGATTTTCAATGGTTCTCTAACTGACATCAATCCATGGTCAAATTCGAATAACATTTATATGTTGAAATAAACAAGAAAATCAATTTTTGTAGAACGTAATTAGCCTAACCATTCATGTTTGTCAGTAGACAATCAACCTAATGATTTCTGACTTGCTGAACTAAAAAGTTACGTGTCAGCGGACTTCTTTGAGGAGCTGAATGCGAAACAAATCCATACTGTCCTAAGTATGCTTTCATTCAGTCACTAAGTGAAAGTTGGATGGTCTGTATCCTAAAAAATTCAGATGATTCCTTAGATGTGCTGATATCAGTGAATGACTGTCCTCATTCACAGACCACTACATTCCACAGATCAATACCACCTATAAGAGTTTCAGAAATTCATACCGAAGCTCTAGTTATAAGTATATGCTTCGTAGTATTCAACAAAATCAGAATAAAATAGCTGTCTCGAAACCCTTGGTTTTCGATGTCTTTCGAATTAACCTCTTTCCTTAAGTAGACAAAAGTAATCAAACTTTAACACCGAAATCTTAATGGCGACCTCTATGCGACTGGTGGCTACAGCATGAATGTCTTGAAGTTTTTTCTAATGAGATGTGAAGTAGGTGCTCATCGATAGTGTTGACTGGCAGTAGCACTATGTTGCGAAATGAATTCAGAGTTCATTCGATTCCACATAGGTGGCTGAGCCATAAAAAATATCATCTTGTAACCTGAAGCTCTTAGATTAGATCACAGGTAAGGTGACGGATGCTCACTGATGAATTAGCGTGATGAAAGAGCTGTCCAGTGATCTTTGGCTTTCAACGATTCATTCATTCATTAGGTACATGATATTATTTCGTTAGTATGAATGGTCTTAGAAGGTTGGTATCACTCAAATGTCAACAAGACGTAAGGAAACACTCTTCAGTTGAATATTGAACTGAATAACAACTGTCAAATCGTGAATCTCAACAGTCTGTAATAGAGTCCCTTAATGGGATATAGCAGATCACGAGTTATCATCCGATCTCAAATACATCATTCCATTTTTGATTACTAAAAATTACTCATTCGAACAAAGTGGAGTACTAATATATGTGTAAAACCTGGGCACTGTGGTAGTAAGTAATTCCATATCAGTTTTGTTTATTAGATGTATCACACAGTGAAGAAACAGTATTATTTACTGGATGACAGTTTTGAACAAAATTTATTGTTCATAATTATATCATCAATTATAATCACACGACTTCGAAACTTGAGTTTTATAGCTTTCTTTGTTCTCTCCTATTTGTCGTCGTAGGGGTAGTAGAATTTTCCAGATATCTGGGACAGGTGATGAATCATTCCTATTACACGTATTTGCAGTTGATTCGATAAACAAAGCTTCCGTTGTAATTAATCTCTCCCTCCACCCTGTTACATTAGATTTTAAAACTGTCATCCTATCCCATCCTATTGTATGGTTGTGTGTAATTGCATGTAGTGGGTGCTATAGCTGAACTATTCTCTAGATTTCTTATCTTATTCGGGTCAACTAATCTAGATTTTCCTAGGTTTTTATGCTCGGCTAGTCTGACTGCCCCTGTTCTACTACTTTGACCTATGTATTTGACCTGACAATCATCGCAAGCAGGGTATTAGATAAACTAAATTGTTTTGTTTTAAAAGCTCCACAGGATCCTTTAACTGACAAAGCGTGTTTCTAATCGACAAATAGGAGAGAATAAAGAAAACTATACAACTCAAGTTTCGAAGTCGTGTGATTATAATTGATGATATGATTATGAACAATAATAAATTGTGTTCGAAACGTCATCCAGTAAATAATACTGTTTCTTCACTGTGTGATGCATCTAATAAACAAACTAATATGGAAAGTGGAGTACGTTGAAAATTTGTAATATTTTGAGGCTTAAATTTACTTCTTTGGTAGTGACTGTCAGCAGAGTCAAGGAGGCGCGTTTCGTTCTATTAGGTACTCATCAACTGGATGTATCTGTTCCCTACTGAGTGGTGGTATTTCCCCAGTGAGACTTTAACCCACGATACCCATCGCTGCAAAGAAACTTTGTTTAAACTAACATATATTCAGTGTTGAACAGTTGAAACAAGATTCAGATTTTCAATACTAATGTCAATTCAATCAGTGCCTCTATTTTTTGATGTGGTTGTGTTCTCTGAGCTGGATAGTTAATTTGCGAAGCTTTCATTGCCCTTCCCTACTAAGCAACATCTTCAGCGCATACTTCAATTTGTTGAAGTGAGCTTTTAGATTTCTCTACGAATTTATTAGTCATCTCTCCTGGTGGGTGACTTTGAACGTGATTGTTCGTTTTCGTGTGTTTTCACATCCTCTAGGCTACTTGTGGTATTGGAACTGATTGTTTCCTTGACTTGAAGTTTGACCATTTGTGTGTGAGATTTCCTTCTTATTGGTTGGTAAATTTTGTCTATCTCGATGTGTCTATTGATTGACGATTCACTGGAATACCAGGCAGCCTTCTAAAAATTCTCTAGCATTCTTGGTGTTTCCTCTGTCTAATATTTGAACACTGGTTGTCCCAGTCGAATTGATGTCCATGGTTGTCTGTTTGCAGTGAGGCTGTATGAGGGAGTGTATGTCAAGTCTTTTGAAGCCTAGTTAATGATCATGGATACGAAGACGAAGGGGACGACCACTTTAGCCAATGTAGTGTTTTCCTCAACCACCGCGATGGTGATTTTATTTCTTTCGTTGTTGAATATTTTGGTTGACACAGAACAAGCTGAGTGAAGTGATTTCGTTGGTTTGTGTGCGTCGTCAATTCCTATAGGTTTGAAGAGTCTTGCAGTGATTTCTGAGATGTCCTTTATATATGATAGGGTGATTTTCTTTGTGCTTTCCTTGAGGGTGTTTGATTTGATAGGTCGTCTTTGGGGTATATGTTTTTTGATGAAATTCCGTGGATATCCATTCTTTTGGAAGACGTCCATGAGACATGTTTCTTCAATTTTCCTTAAGTTGGGAGTGCTGCAATGAGTCCTGGTCCTCTAGAAGAAGACATTTCACTACTAATGTCAAATCAATCAGTACTTTTATGTGTTTTTGGAAGACTTAGTGCTTCACAGAAAGCATTTCCAACAGGCTACTACTGAAGACTGTCACTGACAACTGCTCACTTCACTTTATTCTGAACATCAGATAGACATAAAGGATTCGCGAAAAATACTCATCAAGACATTGAAATAAGAACAAATTAGATCAGCGAAGAGTCTCTTTTCGGCGAATTCATTCACTTAGCTGTACAGTCATAAATATATACAACTAATTTTGTGTGTGTACATTAGGTTTGTCAAAATCCATTCAATCCTAACCCATTCAATCTTTTCACCTATTATCTAGTTTATTTTCATAATTGTCTCCATACTCCTTCACTAACATCTAATCTTTCTAAACATGTCTATAATACCTAACCCTACTCACATCTTACCAATCTTCACCCCACTTACTTACAACTTTGATTATTAATCATACATTTTAATTTCTTTATTATTTTGATGATGTAATTAACAACCCACACTAACTGTTATTTTGATTCTGATTTTGACAAACCTAATGTACACACCGGTGCGCCGGTGGCATAACGGTTAGGACGCTTGCCGACCATGCATATGGTCCGGGGTTCGATCCCCGACCGACGCGCTCCTTTACCTCGCTAAGTCAGAAATAATGCTGATGAAGAGGAAAGGTTGGGCATGAGGCTAGCAACCCCATCCTGTAAAAATAAACACTGCTACAGAGACTTCACCCCTCTAGCTTGAAGCCCTATGTTCCACTGCGGAACGTGAAGGAAAAGAAAATGTACACACACACACAAAATTAATTGTATATATTTGCGACTGTACAGCTAAGTGAATGAATTCGCCGAAAAGAGACTCTTCGCTGAACTAATTTGTTCTTACATAAAGGATTAGCAACAAGGAACCCTCGCAACCAACCAATCAGGAACCTACTGCCCTACACATATGCCGAAGGAAATGAAGATGGATGGGACACTTGCTGAAGAGATCGTTGTGTGACATCACGCGTCAGGTTGAATAGGAACCGACAAGTTAGACATGGGTCTGAAGGTGACATAGAAGTGATCGTATATGTAGAGAAGATGAGGGCTTATGAGTACTCGTGGAGCCAGCTAGAGAAGACCAAGAGAACAAGATTTGATGGAGGTGTTCTTTTGACGTCGTATGTTCCATCACGAATCCAAGCGAATAATAATAATACTAATAATGATAATAACAGTAAAATTTATGAAAATGTCAACAGAAAGGGGGGAGGGGAATAATTTAACTTACCAACCATGGATCATCATGTGTAATTGTTGTACTCAAATGCCAACGTTCCAACTGACCAGATGACCATAGAATTTCATGTAAACAAGTGATAATTGCTTCACATAATTTATTTTCTAAAATTTCTGTATTTTCAATAAATACTTGTTCAGAATTGTTTACACTATTACTACTACTATTACTACCACTACTACTACCACTGTTTTTGTTTCTGTGAATAGTATTAGTGTTTCGGTATTGTTGATTGGTTGACGTATAATTGACATCAGAATGTCCTGACACAGAAGTTGGATGATTTCGATTCATTAATAAACGATCTGGAAAATTAATTGAATTCGATTTTTCTCTAGGAAATGGAAATATCGTGGGAATCTTGATGGAATCGATGGAATCTCTGGATTCATCGCAGACATGTGCTTCACCTGGATTACAACTGCACATTGGATTACTGAATACAGAGTCAGTTTCACTGTTCGTTAGAGATGGTAATCTGGATGAATGAATTTGTGAAAGCGAGGATGATGATGTTGATGAATTGATTTCTCTAGCTGGTGAAGCTGTTATTGAACCACCACGACCTGAATCATTCGATATCTGGAAGTATTTAGTTTTTTTGAGAACAAAGAAAGGCAAGAATAAAGTATTATGATGTAAAAAACAGGAAAGCACACACAAAACTCTTACAAACCATGGTGTAAAACTCAGCCAGCTCGTCACTACTTTAGTTGATAGGCATCTGAATACATGCGAAAAATGGTCTAAAACCATGTTCTCCGACCCCTAACACCCCCTCTATTTCCAACTCTCGCCTTGTATCTCATCTAGTAGAACCAGAAATCAGTATAAAATAGTCTATGCTCGTACAACCAAGTACAGGAACTCAACGATACCATACTTCACTCGTGTTCTAAGTGATAGAGACAATGTTAAGCGCAAAACCTATGACTTGCTTTGTTGTTAATAATATAATTTTAGGCTCTTTTATTTCTCTCTTATTTTGTATTCTATAGTGAACTCCTTCTTAAACATACTTAGCTACCTAAATTATTAACATTGGCTTACTTTTTTGTACTTTACTGTATTCCTTCTATTGTGTATCTACTGGTTCCGACTCTATTAGCACTATAAGTAGTACAAAATTGTCCTGTCATTAACCACTGCCATTGTCACCACCTTAAAAAATTTTGTATTATTCAGGATTACTCACACTACCACTACAAACGCCGCATTAGACCTGACAATAAAGAAACAAAACAACAACCCTGAAATGTTTTAAGATTGTTTAGAGTTGTTTTAACCAGATTAACTGACCATCTTGGCGATAAACATTCTTAAATATCACTTCATAACTTCTTGTATGACTACAGCTTTACTGTCACCATGCATAATCATATCATAGCTTCCACTACCCAATACTGAGTTATTATTATATGATGTCTATTTTCATTTCTACTTCTTGGTACTTTTTCGCATTTATAATTATTTTGTGTTTATCCTGTGTGTTTTTTTACTGTTGGTGTCTTTAGATTTATTTTTTTGTTTGTTTAATACTCCTTTTAAATGTTTGTAAAATTAGATGCAAATATTGTAGATATGTGCTGAAAATTCCACACTGTACCACAAGTACTGTTTCTGGAATAAAGCAAATTATTATTATACATTTGATGGTGAGCAGTCGATATACTAAGTCCCCACAAATGATAGAAAGTTTGAACCCCGTAATCCATTGTTATGTCGTCAAACACTGATAGTTTTTTCATTGGTCTGTCTTCCGAGTGGCATATAGGGCTCCAAGTCTTGAGCTGTGAAATTTCAGTGGCAGTTTTGATCTTTTTACTAGTTGAGGTTATTAACCTCACGCCCAACCTTCCCTGTTTACTGAGCTTCCTACCATCTAAGAAAGGTTTAGAAGTGTGTCGGCCAAGAATTAAACCTCGGATCACTGAAGCACCGACGCACAACTCATACTTATAACTCACCATAAAGGCAATGAAACAATATTAAATCCTATAACCAATCAAATCCCAACAAACCCACACATTTGAATATTATTCGCTTTTACTTTGAAAGCGAGAAACCGATCTCTACCTTCTGCAGTACAGCCGATAAAGCCTCATTGAGATACGCGCTATCACTAAACTTTCCAGACAAAGGGGGAAGGAATTCCATATTAGGCTGTTTATCAGATATACCACACAGTGAAACAGTATTTACTCAAGTTTCGAAGTCGTGTGATTATGAACAAGAAATTTTGTTCGAAACATCATCCAGCAAATAATACTGTTTCCTGACTGTGTGATATATCTAATAAACAAACTAATATGGGACTGATTTGTTCGTGTGAAGGTTTCGAGTTACTAGGGGAATAGCTACCCTTTTGAGTTACAAACAGATATGATTAAATAGACAAGAACAAGAGGTTCCACTAGACCTGCTTGCAGTAATGTAGCTGCATGCAGAAACCTATTCTAACTACAGTCTGATTCAGTGATAAAAGATATCCCATTGGCCATGATTCAGTCATGTCATCTTTCAGCTCAGTGCAAGTTAGGTAAAGTTCATTTTCTATATTTCATAGTGTGGTGCAGCTGGGGATAAACTTTACCAGACTGAAGATTTTCTAAAGTTGATTCTCAGCTGACGGACTCCTAAACCCCACCCAGTAGGGAGGAAGGTTGGGCGCGAAGCTAGTAATCTTACCCTGTGACAGGAAACAATGTCACTGTACTGGAACTTCAAAGTCTCCAGCCTGAAGTTATATGCTCCAATCACAACTCATGGAACTTAAAAAAGTTGTAGATTCTCTAACTTACGCTAAAACGATTTCGTGTGAAACACACACATCGACTCCAAATAGAGAGTAACGAAACCATCAGAAACCTCATAGAATTATCAAATAATTACTGTTTTATCCTGGTAATATCTTAAAGTATTAAAACTCAATATTATCGGTTTGATAAAGTTCAGCATATAAATGCTAAAAATGCATGCTGTTAGACTTTGTCTGGCAAGTTGTACATCAGTCTAGGTGGAGGAAAAGAAACCACATTGATGATGGATGCATAATAAAACAGAATTAAGGTTAGTAGTTAGGTTAGGAATGTAGGAACACAAAGATTATTCTAATTCTTAATCAATTAGCTTTGTTTCACTCCATCTGACAGTCGAATGTTTAGCTCAACTGACTGGTAACGCAGTCTAGTGAGAGAAAGCTGGTTGACATTTATGCACAAATGAATGGCGTTTCTAGTTGTGGAATTAGCCATCAATTCATTCCGTTAACAGAATGAAGTTTGATTATGAAACTCTTACTTAAGCAACAACAGCCCGACAACTCTATGGCATATATATATTATATATATATATATATACGACTTCATCGGGTGAGTATATGTTTGAAATAAGGTAAAGTCAAACAGAGTAATCTTACATCAGTAGCCTTTGAGTTTATTCTGTTTATAACTCTTGCAGGAAAACGAATCCTTGACAATCCAAAACGAGATGCTGACACTCGATCACGACGATTCATACTCCTAGGTGAAATAAAGAGAGAAATAATTTTAAGAATAAATCAAATAAAAAAGTAGATTTGATTACTTCATAATTCAAATGTTGTTTTGCAAGGATTTGATTGGATGGATGCGTACTGTTGAAGAGTCCCGAACTAGGACGAAACAGCTGTCCATTAATCCCAGGTTTTCCAGTTGTTCTCTAAATGATGTGTCAGTTTGTGATCAATCCTGTTACTTCATAATGGTAAAAGAGAAGTATCCAAACAACTGAAGGATAATTTCCTTTTTATTCCTTTACGTTCCTAGTGGAACATAAGGCTTGAAGTTTCGGTATCAATGGTATCCATTTTTACGGGATAGGGTTGCTAGTCTCATGCCCAACCTTCCCTCTTTACCGGCCTTATTACTGGCTTAGCGAGGTAAAGGAGTGCGTCGGCCGGGAGTCGAACCCCGGACCACCTGCGTGGTCGGTGAGCATTTTACCTCTGTGCCACCAACCCACAAAACCTGGGAGTACTGAACCGCCGTTCCGTCGCAGTTTGGGCTCTTCATCAGTACGCACCCACCAAAGGGGTTTGAACCCAGGAGCTTCTGGTTACAAGGCGAGCTTGTAGACCATTAAGCCACTAGTGATAAAGTTGACTGAGAACTAACTAAGTGAAAGTGGTACTCAAGCTAGAGAATATGAACTGATAGTCTGTTAGCAAAGTTTTTCTCAATACAGCCGTTTACTCACCACTAATCTTTCTTTCAGATAAATGTATAGAATGTAATTCTTGAGGAGGCTATCTAAGATTTATTTGAACTGCTAGACTGTCAAGGATTTGATGTGTAGTCATTGTGGAGTAAGTGAAAATCCTGGTCTTGACAGGATTCGTACGATCGGCATTTATGTTAGCGATGGTGACCTGACTATCATTCCGATTCTATAGATCAGAAGACTGATCAACACGCCAATAATCAAATAGCCTTCACTTGGATATCAACGTAGAAAAAATTTACGGTAGAGTCTTTTATTATAACGCAGGAAATTAGTCACCTCAGAAATCATTTGCAGGTGGATTCTATCAGTATTAGTTATGCGTAGACGTCAGTCAGACAGTAGTCAATAAGAACGAGAACTTAATGATGGTTTCGTCCCAATTAGAGCCTCTTCAGAGCAATCATTAACTAGTAAACACCCGCCAATTAGTCAAAATCCATGCATAGACATAAATCAGCGGAAGTTATCAATATTGGTGAGACAAAATGGAATAAATATCAAATGCTGTTAAAATACATGAGTATACTAGTTATTCAAACACAGTAAACATTCAGCCTTCTAAGTGTTAGCTGAGTATGCACTTCCCAGTAACGGATCAGCGGCGAAGTCATTCGGTTAAGACAAACACAAGCACAAATAGTGAGAGGGTAGTATTTGTCCACATTGTCAAACTATATGTTTCAATAAAGATTTCATCACGAACTAAAACTAGGGTGTACTGCAAAGATGTTTCGTCCCAGTTTGGAACTCTTCAGTGTTGCGCACTCACCAACCCACTAGGGATCAAACCCATGACCTAAATATCAATCTTCCCCTCACTGTTGGTTACTGGATGGATGTTCTGAGGTAGTAATGAGAAGTCGTCAACAGTGGGATCCATCACGTCAAAATGAATTGGATGCTGATCCACGGCAATGGTTACCGGAAGAGCTATATCAGGAAATGACAAAGGGTCACTGGATGTCGATCCAAGTGGTTGAATCGTCAACGAAGCCTGCCTTAGCAACCTGAAAATCTCGGAACGAGTCTCTGGTAGTGTAGTAGGTGTTCACTACTGGGGGCTCCCAAACTACGAAGAAACAGTTGTCCAGTGCTCTTTGGCTTTCAGTGATTCGTTAACTGATTCTTTCTAACCGGTTTGTGAAAAAATGTACATTGAAATTATTTCAAAATCCCCAGAAAAAAGGCTGTAATCTAAATTATGTATGAATTAGGATTTTAGTTTCTTAGGGATTTGTTACTGATTTCGGTACAGATTCCGTCTCGAACTGATATCACTTATAGAATCATTGGACACTGAACAGCTGTTTCTCCTTAATTCGGAAGTTTTCAGCCGTCCACATCCACAAATTCAGGGGGGAGATCAAACTCAGTATCATCAGGCTAAGAAGCTATCCGTGCTGACTGTCAACTATAGAATGGGTGTCAAGATGTTATAACTAAATGTCATAGCTCCAGGATCCTACCGTGGTGGATTATTCCCAAGTTTATTGGGACGACAGATGTCTGCTGATCACAAGAGATCACAGCGGCACCATGTCACGAACAGACAGGAGTTAGAATTCATAAGTTACTGAATTTCTTAACAGTTGTTTCAATGGTGATCTGTTCACCTCGTGACCTACAGGAGCTTACTTCCACTCTCATGGGGTCATATGAGCGTATTGCTCAGAATTCAGTTCCACAGTGAGAAGGAAACAACTCTCCGCCGTTCCCCGGTCTTTAACAATTCTCAGAATGATGTCGGTTCTCGATGAATTCTATCTTGTAATACTACTTGGTCAGGAAATTCTCTGGTGGCTATCTACAAACACTTACCTTTCAACGATAAAAATAGTTAAAAGTCAAATATGAAAGGAAAATATTCTTTTCAATATATCCTTCTCTTCAGGTTCTTATAATTATAAAATAGAATATATTTGTTGTCGTCACAGTAATGGCCAGTTATGCGGCGGATACATTTTTTTTCAACGTAGAATAACAGATTAGTTATGGGGTGTCAAAATAAATAGTCGTATTTGAGTGACAAACGTGTTAGGCTGAAATCAATTATAAAATACTGTGAAATGGAAGAAAATGGTGGTGATTAGTCATAATAGATTTGTAGAGTGTGGGGTAGGAAAATTGACAAGTCAGTTCAAGGTTATGAAAGGTGTCAAGTGAGTGAGTGGCAAGTACAAATTGGTATGTTTTAAAGATGAGACAGTAAGACTGCAATGAGAGGTCCATCATGAAATACCGAATGTGTGAAATGAAACAGGTGGAGGCATGTATTGAGAAAAGAGATAATATCACTAATAATAAGTCAGGATAGTATAAATGGAAAATCCGATAGTATTGAGAGAATGTTTGAATGAAGGGTATAAATTATGATGAATATTATTAATAATAATTGTAATAATAAGTAAAGAAAGAATAAAACCAAGAGGGTTACGGGGGAGAAGCACTCTTCGTGAGAGGAAGAATCATGAGTCCAAGTTTGGCCACAGTAGGAACAACGTCTGGAGGTGTTCTTTTTGGATACAAAGTTCATCTGACACCTTTTATAACCCTGAACTGACTTGTCAGTTTTTCCTACTTCACATTCTACGAATCTATTATGACGACTAATCACCACCATTGTCTCCCATTTCACAATATTTTGTAATTGATTTCAGCCTAGTACGTTTGTTACACAAACACGATTCCTTATTTTGACACCCCATAACTAATCTGTTATTCTACGTTGAAAAAAAATGTATCCGCCGCATAACTGGCCATTATTGTAACGACAACTAAAATTATTAAAACAATTAGTCCCTTTGATAACTTTGAATAAGGCATTTAGAAGATAAATTCCGCGAGATGATATAGTTATTTCGTAGTTTCTTTACAATCGCTTAACAACTAACATGGTTACCAATAATAAAATAAAGTTCATGACATATAAAAAACAATAGTACATACTAGTGAGCAGTCATATTTAAAAAGGTCAAGTAGTCCTACCAATCAAGGGTGACCAGATTATTCAGTTGACAGCTCGAAGACTTCAGTCAGCCATCAAACGCACATTCTATGCCGCATTTGTTTTTCTTACATGCCGGACATTGTCAGTCTCTGTACCTACGATTAAAAGACGAAATTCTCTGGACTCTACATCAAACTGTATCTACAAGTTCACCTGCAGTTGCGGTGACACCTATATAGGTAGAACCAACAGAATGTTCCAATGTCGTCGAAAAGAACATGTTCCAAAATGGCTACTAAATCATATAGAAAATCCCAATGCGAGTAATCTGAATAGAAATCCAGCATCATCCATTGCAAAGCACTTAATAATTTCAGGTCACAAAATCAATATTAATAACTGCTTCACAATTATTTCACATAACTCTAATTCAAGGTTGGTTATTGAAGGTGATGGAAGCACTTTGGATTAATCATATACAGCCTAAACTGTGTGTACAAAAATCAATAGACTTCAATCTTCGCCTACCATGAACTGACTACTTGACCTATTCAAATATGATTGGTCATTAGTATGTACTTTAATATCAGTAAAAAGTTTGAACATTGTGGATTAGACCAAATAAAGTATAATTATATTTCAATAGTTTACACACAATGATAAGTTTTGTTATTGGTAATATTTCGAGCAAAATTACTGCCCGTGTTCACACCAGTGTTGGAATTGTTTGATTCACACATTTATGATTTGTACTCATATATATAGTTCATTATTTTTGTTCATTCATGTTTTTTTTTTTGTGTTTGAGTTATATTCCACGTTCATTCATGTGTTTGTATTCAGAATTATATTCCAAGTTGTTGACAGTTGTGCTGCTGAGTCACCCTTGTTACATGTATCCGGTGTGACTTTAATGAATATCGATTCTGTTATAAGTCTCTCTTTCCATTTGTTCATGTTAGTTTTTAGAATACACACATTGTCCCAATCGATATTGTGGTTTTTGTCCCATGCATGTGCAGCTATCGATGAATTTTTTTCAAGATTTTTGTAGGCTTGTGTTCCTGTTGGTTGACCTTTGGTTAGGCGTTTATGTTCATTCACTCTTATTTTGAGTGATCTGGACGTTTGCCCCACATATTTAGTCGGACAGTCAGCACAAGATATTTTGTAAATCAAGTTGTTTTTATCCATCATTTTTATGGGATCTTTCAGTTGATTTATTTTATTTTTGATTAGATTTGTCGGTTTGAAAGTCGTGTGAATGCCGATATTTTTGAGGTTTCTTTGAATTGCCTCTGATGTACCATTTTTATATGGTATTGTGACTGTCTTTTTGCATTCTTCCATCTTGTTATTCTCCGGTTTTACCCTCTCTTTTCTCTTTTGTATATTATCTTTTATAAATTCTTTTGGGTAGTTGTTGTCGAGTAGCATTTTGAATAGGACATTTATTTCTTTATATTGGTCCTCTGGCGTTGTTGTAAGTCTACGTATTCTATCTGCAAGTCCTTGTATTAATCCTCGTTTCACCGAGAGTAGATGAGCTGAGTGATAATCAAGAAATCTTCCAGAGTGTGTGGTTTTTCTATATAGCGTTGTTTTAATGCTACCATCTGTTATTCTTTGTATGTACTTTTGTTGTTTTTTATTTAACTGAGTAATTGTAATGCATTTTATTTTATTATTGTTAACCTTGCTAATTTTCAAGCATTAATTTTGAAGGGATTTTGTTTGATTGCATGGAGGATTTCATCATAAATCCATGAATCCATCATAATAGAAATAGCCACTAAACACTTGGGAGAATTATATCAGAAACTGTATTGTTGGGATACATGTATAATATGGAGTGATAGTGCGTTATTTAATATTCAAGTATTGGTTGTGTAGGGATTTTGTTTGATTGCATGGAGGATTTCATCATGAGCTGACAACAATTAGAGAACCACTGGAAAGCCTGGGAGTACTGGACAGCTGTTTCGTCCGAGTTTGGGACTCTTCATCAGTACGTACCCACCGAAGTTCGAGCCCAGGACCATTGAGCCACTGGGACCCGATCCATAAGGTCCTGGGTTCGAACCCCGGTGGTTGCGTACTGATGAAGAGTCTTAAACTAGGATGAAATAGCTTTCCAGTACTCTCAGGCTTTCCAGTGGTTGTCTAATTGATGTCAGCTCATGATAAAATCCTCCATGCAATTAACCATGTTAGTTGTAAAGCGGTTGTTAAGAAATGACGATATCATCTCGTGAAATTTGTCTTCTAAATGCCTTATTCAAACCAATATTATATCTTATAATCGTGAGAACCTGAAGAGAAGGATCTATTGAAATGAATGTTCTTCGTTCAGATTTGACTTTTAATTCATATGATATGGAAATATTTCACACTGTTATTCAGTCTTATAAAAATAGTTAATTATAGGAAAAACAAATGGAATTGAACACTGATAACTCATGGTGGTGAGAGCTGGCTGCTTGCCAAAGTTGGTAGATAGTAACTGACGTCAATGTTTATGTCCCCAATATTGGTGGTGAGAAAATGAAAACAAAGGCTTTGCGTAGACGGATACAGTTAGCATATGGATGATCTGACACAGCCACAAAGAGATGCAAGTTTAACTTTCTGTGAGAAACAACCAATCAAAAGACTGTATTTTCTACTAACAATAATCTACAATAATGTACATTAAAATCTATAAATATGTGTTGATTTTCCTTAATAAACGATCTGTTGACTGACTCTTGCCTTCTGTCGTTACAATGGTAATACAAAAAGAGTAAATGAAGTAAAATAAAAAAACTTACTCTCTTGGACATTTAATGATTAACTGGAAGAATGAATCAGGGAACGACGGTACATGACTTAAAATTTCTATTACATATTTAGGTGATTTATTGAAAATCTGTATTAAGGTATTGACAGCTGATAAACGAAATTGTATAGGACTATTCTGTAACAACTCCCAAAGACGTAATAAGCCCATGATATCATATGAAGGACCTAGGTTAAAAAAGAAAAAGAATGATAAATTGAATATTCCCATAATTTATTCAGAACAAAATATTTAGAGCGAACAATTGTGGTTTCAATAAATTCTTCTTCAGGCTCTACAATTATAAATCCATTAATTTAAGCATACAATAGCCAGCCAGTAAAGGCAAATTAGAATCATATCAGAAAGTGTATTACCATTATGAACCTCGCCTAGATTACTAGGTCACTAGTATTCTAGCCGGTCCCAAGCCCGGATAAAGAGGGAGGGTTGGGGCGTGGTGCTAGCAACTCCACCCCCAAAACTTAACCAAATTGCTACTAAAACTTCAACGCACAAATATATTCAAAATTCTAAAATTACAAATAGTGACCTTATTTTTCGCTGGAATCGGGGAAGTGAAATGACGCGGGCTGGTGAAAGCCTTCGGGAAGCCAGTCAGCCGATGTGCCTTCTTTCGATGAAAGCGAAAATAAGGATGGGGACGTGGAATGTTCGTACAATGTACGAAGCTGGGAAGGCTGCTCAGGTAGCCGCAGAAATGAGGAGATATAAAATAGAAGTGTTGGGAATCTGCGAGAGCAGATGGAACGGATGTGGAAGGAGCCAACTATCAACTGGAGAGACAATAATCTACTCCGGTCACCCAGAGGACAATCATGAGCACACCGAGGGAGTAGCCATCATGATGTCACCAACAGCGGCTAAAGCTCTCATGCAGTGGGAACCAATCTCCTCCAGGATAATGACAGCCAGGTTCAACTCAAAAGGAAAAAAGGTTACAATCATTCAGTGCTACGCGCCTACAAACGCCTCAGAACATGAGAAGAAGGAGGATTTCTACAGTCAACTACAAACAGTAATGGACAACGTCCCAAAGAGCGATATCAAAATCCTGATGGGCGACATGAATGCGAAACTGGGAGGAGACAATACAGGAAGAGAACTCACCATGGGTCGTGAGGCCCTCGGTGAAATGAACGAAAATGGTGAACTCTTCTCAGACTTCTGCGCCTTCAATGATTTGGTGATTGGTGGCAGTGTGTTCAAACACAGGGATATACACAAAGCAACATGGATTTCACCAGATGGACACACCAAAAACCAGATAGACTTCATTTCAATCTCAAGGAAGTGGAGACGGAGCCTACTGGACACAAGATCGAGGAGAGGAGCAGATGTGGGTTCAGACCACTATCTGGTACAAGGGACTTTCAAGGTGAAGCTGAAAGCCTCGAGGATACCTGGGGATAGGCCACAATGCAAGTTCAACACTCACAAACTGAAGGACACAATCACACAGGACATTTTCACTGCAACTGTCAGAGCAAAGCAGGAAACACTACGTGGCACCACTGAGGAATCATCCGTGGAAGACCATTGGAACTCTCTGAAGGTAATTTTCAACGAAACGTGCTCAACGGTTTTAGGAAGAAAGAAGAAACAAGACAAGGAATGGCTCTCAACAGACACTTGGAAACTAATAGAGGAGAGGAGAAAGGTGAAAGAAAAAATGATTCAATGCAAAGATGGACAAGAGAAAGAGACGCTGAACTCAACTTACACAGCACTGGACAAAGAAGTGAAGAAGAGTGCCAGGAATGACAAAAGACAATTCTACGACAACCTGGCTACTGAAGCTGAGAAGGCAGCAGGCAAAAGGGACCTGAGGACACTATATAAGATAACCAAGTCTCTATCCGGGAAGAGATCAACACAAGTGAAACCCACAAAAGACAGCCAAGGCAATCCAATTACCAAAGAAGAAAGACAGATTAAACAATGGGCGGACCACTTCAAAGGACTCTTGAATCGACCACCACCTACAACCCGTCCAGTAATACCAACAACAGCACGTACACAACTGCAAGTTGACACCAATCCTCCAACGAAAACTGAAGTCATGAATGCGAATAAGCTTCTGAAAGCTGGAAAAGCAGCTGGACCAGATGGAATACCCCCGGAAGCACTGAAAGCGGACCCAGAAACGACGGCAGATATGCTGACTCCATTATTGCAAAAGATCTGGAAAGAGGGAAAGGTGCCTACTGACTGGAGGAAAGGTTACCTGGTGAAACTACCAAAGAAGGGCGACCTGGGACTCTGCAAGAACTGGCGAGGAATCATGCTCCTGTCGACGCCAAGTAAAATCCTGAGTCGCATCATCCTGGAGAGAATCAAGGACGCGCTGGATACAGAACTCCGACCAGAACAAGCTGGATTCAGGAAAGGCAAATCATGTTCTGACCAAATTGCAACTCTACGCATTATCATCGAACAAAGCATGGAATGGCAATCAAACCTCTACCTCAACTTCATAGACTTTGAGAAGGCCTTCGACAGCGTTGACCGCGAAGTAATTTGGAAACTACTCGAGTACTACGGCGTACCCCAAATATTCATCAACCTTATTCAACAACTGTACGACAACGGCACATGTCAAGTGATCCACAACGGAAAACTCAGCCAGGCGTTTCGAGTAAACACAGGAGTCAGACAAGGGTGCTTATTATCACCAATGGTATTCCTAATTGTGGTGGACTGGATTATGCGTCAGACAGTGGGAAACGAGAAGACAGGGATATCCTGGACCGACGTGAAGAACCTAGAAGACCTGGATTTCACGCGTGGATGATTTATGTTTGATGTCACACAAAATCGAAGACTTACAAGCAAAAACCGACAAACTGGTCGAAGAAGCAGCAAAGACAGGACTCCAGGTGAAGAAAGACAAGACGGAGGTCATGAAAATAACCAACCAACAACAACAAGAGCAGCAACATCCAGCGCCAATCACCATCAACGGGAGGGATTTGAAAGAGGTTACTTCATCCACTTATCTAGCGAGCATTGTCTCAACTACAGGACGAACGGACGGACGAGGATGTCAAATCGAGAATCGGGAAGGCGAGAAACACATTCATCAACCTGAAACCAATCTGGAAATCTTCGTCACTCAGCATCAACAACAAAATTCGGATTTTCAATACAAACGTGAAGTCAATTTTGCTTTACGGATCAGAAACTTGGCGGGTCACCAAGAATATTTTCAACAGGTTGCAGACATTTATCAACAACTGTCTTCGCTCCATACTGAAGATTAGATGGCCAGAAAGAATCACAAACAAGAAGCTATGGGAACAAACGAAACAGGAACCAATCGCCCAACAAATATGCCGGAGGAAGTGGAGATGGATTGGACACTCGCTGAGGAGGCCGTTGAGTGACATCGCGCGTCAAGCCCTCGAGTGGAACCCGAAAGGGAAGCGGCGAGTGGGACGTCCAAGGGTGACATGGAGGAGATCGTTTGAGGAGGAGATGAAACAGTATGGAATAACATGGACGCAAGTGAAAAGAACAGCAGAAGACAGAAGCAAGTGGAGACGTGCAGTTGAAGCCCTATGTTCCACTAGGAACCCAAGGGAACAATAATAATAAATAATAATATTACCATTATGGGTAAATTTTATTTTTATAGAGTCTCACAGTGTTATACAGTAATATTTACTGATGACGTTTCGAGCACAATTTATTGCTCATAATCATATCAAGTTAATCACACGACTTCCTAAATTCATTTATATAGTTCCATTGTTTTTCACTTGATTTGATTGGTAGTAATATTCTCCATATTTCGGGTATGAGTGATGAATCATTCCTATTGCATGTGTTGGGTGTAGATTCGATGAACAAAGATTCCGTAATCAACCACTCTCTTTCTCTCCACCTACCTAGATTACTTTTTAGAATTTTAACACTCTCCCACCCACTCCATTGTGTGGTTGTGTGTTATTGCATGCATTGCAATTGCCGAGCTTTTTTCTAAATTACTTATCTTCTCTGGGTCAACCATTCTTACCTTAGCTAAATTCTTATGTTCTGACAATCTGACTGCCCCTGACCTACTAGTTTGACCTATGTAGTTGACCTCACAGTCATTGCAGGGTAATTTGTAAATTATATTATTTTGTCTAATTGGGTCCACTGGGTCCTTTAACCTACAGAGCTAGTCCCTGAGTGAGTTTGTAGGTTTAAATGCCACCCTAATAACACTACCAATCAAATCAAGTGAAAATCAAGTGAAAAACAATGGAACTATATAAATGAATTTAGGAAGTCGTGTGATTACCTTGATATGATTATGAGTGGCACTAAATTGTGCTCGAAACGTCATCAGTAAATATTACTGTATAACAGTGTGAGACTTTATCAAAATAAAATTTACCCATAATGGAATTACACTGTACCACAGTGCCCAAGTTTTATTCTTATATCAAGAAAGTGTATTGTGGAACAAGTATAAGATGGGATAGAACAATAGTCAGATAGTTTTTTAATATGCATGGTCAATGAGAACATGGGACAAAATCAGATGAAGTAATTTAATTTAATGATGTATATATATATATATATATAAATATAGTCAACAGAAAATACAGGTTTCGAGAGTGTGTGTAATCAGGGTGTGTGAGACAATATGAAAATAAACCAACAAATGGGGCACACTAGACATAAGTTCAAGGTTGAAAATAACGACAATAAGAATGATTGTAAAATAATAATAATGAATATGATGAAGTGGAATGAATAGGATTTTGTAAATGCGATAACAAGTTAAAAAAGCACTATTTAAACCTAACGTAATAAAATCATAAGAAAGGTCATGAAATCATAAAAGTCGAAAATGAACGATTGTCAATGAAACAGAGGAATAGAAGAAGAAGGAAAGAAAAGAAAAGAAAATTGTGAAAGGAATTTATAGTGTTAATGGAGGATTTGTTGTCTTTATTGTAGGCCAAGGTAAACATAGAGGTTGAACATACTTCTTCTGTATGCAAAGAGATCGTCTTCTGGTATTAATTGCCACCGCTTCAGCTACTGATAGAAGACGTAGTCGAGCTCCTCTAGATAAATTACTAGGAACGCTGTAAATAACTGAGAACGCCTGGTCAAGTTTTATCCGGTGTCCCGTATCTACCAAGTGAGCTAAGACTGCACTATTTGCACA